CTTGTCAATGTCCCCCGGCTGGGACCGAGAACTGGAGCGCGAGCGAGAACTGGACCGTGACCCCGGGGGAGACCGGGATGGTGATCGTCCCCGCGCTTCTTCCTCCTCCTCCCCTGACGGCTCGGGTGTGTTTCTGTCTTTGGTGTCTCCCTCTTCATCGCTCAAAGCAATACGCCTATTACCCGCCCGAGGTTTCGCCTGAACGTCCCCATCCGAATCTGAGCCGAACAAGTCATCCATGGCCTCTGTCTCCGTCTGGAGTTGGAAATGCAAAGCGACACACTTGCTAGTCAGCACGCATTTAAACCGGTTATATCATAAAACCGGTTGAATGACCGGTCCAACCATACTGGAAACCAACTTCCCATCGCTGTGGTGTTGAGCCTATCCTCAACCTCACTCGCGGGACACTTGCTCTCGTCAAGTGTCGTATAGACATGCCAATTATATGATGGTAGCCCTTGAATGAAAGTAACATCCGGCATCAAACATTTTCAATGATAACTTGAGCAGTATTGATACCCAGTCAAGGGTTTAACTGACTGGATCGCAATACAGATTGGAGCGTAAAGCTACGGTTCCCGTCACGACTGTTTTATAGACTATCACCCACTATGTACTCGTTCGATGTCTTTCCAATTCAAGACTAGAAATCTTCCTCGTTCTCCTTACTTGAAACAGGCATCAATGGGCTCCTAGCTGTCCCAAAATGTGCAGCCACTTCATGTATGCTCTCCTTTGGTGGAAAAAAGGCTGGGCCAAGATACCTACAGTGAGATATCATTACTCCAGATACTGTACACATTTTGAATCGTAAAAGGATGGAAGCATTTTTCTATAAAAGGAGCCAATCCATCAATCAATGATCGATCGTACACAAGAAGCACCAGCTGTTCATCAATTAAGCAGCTACACTCACGATGAAGCTCTTCATTGCCCTCGCTCTCCTCTTCTTCGCTCTTACTCAGTGTATGATGTCTTTATCGTCGTTTACTTTCCGGGTGCCTCCTCATGCTAACGTTAGTTGTCAATATAAACCCCGTGCGACTTGGGCAAGAAAGAGGTTACATGCAGAAACGTACGCAGGCAAGAAAAACTAGATCGTGATGGGACTCAGACCAGAGTAATCAGTCAGTCACATGAGTGTCATGTGCCTTGATGCGTCATCCAGCACAAGATCAACTTTCCCCAGCAGAATGTTCCTAGTCTGAAAAAGACATATTCTAAATAGTTTACAAAACGATAGATAGTATGGACCACGCAACGATACGGGCACTGAAGAATGCACTCCGCAAGGATATGAGGAAAAGACTAGCGCAAGTGCCAGCAGACATTGTCAGGAAGGAATGTGCGTAGGCAAAAAGGTCGCGTACAACCACCGAGCGTTGGTCTCAACCTAATATTTGTTCGAGTTCAGCCAATATCGTCATACAAAAGCTATTTGCAATGAAAGAATATCAGCAAAGTCGAAATATTAGCGTGTACATTAGTATGCCCTCTGGAGAAGTATCAACAACGGAAATCATTAGAGATCTATTTGATAAAGGTAAATGCCCAATATCTTCCAGATACGGGACACCCTGGACTCATCCATTTTGATTTGGAAAGGCAAAAAATGCTTCATACCGAGATGTGACGGTAACGTAATGGTAAGTTGGAACCAGCCCTTATACGCCTTATCATTCCACAAGTAATAAGTACCACTTCAGGAAATGGTACGGTTGGTTTCTTGGGACGACTACAAAGCACTACCAACCAATAAGTGGAATATTCCTGAACCACTCTTGGACGAGGCAAGAGAGAATGGTAAGCATCCTGAGCATTACATCACTGCGAGGCGTCTCGGTCTCACCAATTTGGGATCAACAGCCTTGCAAAGTGAAGGACTGGACCTTGTTATTGTACCAGGTAGTAGACAGATGATGTTGGGATGAATAAACTAAGCTCATTATCTTGTTCCATCTTCATAGGACTCGCCTTTGATGGAGAGGGATGGCGTATGGGCCACGGAAAAGGGTGAGGATCTTCCTTATTTATTCTATATGCTACTCAGAGATTGATCGGGTTACGTCTACAGATACTACGACCGCTATCTTCGAAAAGTCGCGGACTGGTCCGCATCAGCAGGAAAACCACCACCAATTACAGGTATGTCTCTCAACGCAGGGAGTTCCCATACTGCTTCCCTGATTCTTGCGCAATAGTGGCGTTGGCACTGTCTGAGCAAGTTATCGAATCGCCTGTCCCACGGGAGTCCTTCGACCAGAAACCGCATTACGTGATTACACCGACAGGCGTAATTGAGTGATCCTGTCTGCATTTAAGTGTTTCCCAATAATATATACAATGATTCCCATCCCTACTCTTCGTCATCGTTCGAAACATCCGCATCTTCATCGGATGCATCAACCCACCCTTCCCCTATTGCAGTACCCAGATCTCTCAACGCTGACTTGTACACATATCTACGATCTTTTTCAGCCACGCCAACAGTATCCGGTGGGGCAGATCCTAAAACAAAGTCTATGAGCCAATACCCTTCTGAAGGACTTATCCTCTTCGTTTACCATACCAACGATGTCATCGAACGCCGGTGCGATTGCACATTGCTCATCTGTCAATTGCTTTCCTAAAATCCAAATCTCAGTGTCTGGTCCAGTCAAATCTCGTCAGATTGTAGTACCTTTTGCTGAAGGTAAGAGATTCCGCATATATTCTTGGGCCAGTATTCCTGAAAAAGCGCAAGCTCATATCATTAGTAATTTCCCACTTGTAAAAAGCTCTCCTGACAGATACGTACCCAGAGCGATCAAAGCCGAGCCATTCATGGAGTAAAACATATCCTGCAGTGTCCCATCTTCAAATAGGGGCAAATGTTCTGTATCAGTATTGTACAACTGAGAGGAGTACAGGTGGATGGCGTCCAAGAGCTCCTTTAAAAAGCGCCCGTTAGTACATTGCCCTGCGGTAGTCAAGCGTCCATTCACCCACAGAACTCGGCAACCGAAAACGGATGGAGTCTACAGAAAGCCCCAATCAGTATTCCCTTCCAGTGCTTCTTCCAGACATTCAAGTCAGGTAAGTTACGCTCAACTCGCACCAAAATTTGGATTGTTTTGTGAAACGTCTTGTTGGTCTAGAACGGCCGTATCTATATCTTCCATCACGATCCTTTCGGCATCTTCAAGCTGGCCACTATCTTGAGGTCTAGTCATAATTCGGTTGAAACATGCAGTGGATAGCATCCAAGTGTGTGCGTGTTCTTACCTTTCATCATTTGGCGCATTTGCAAGATTATCTGCTTCTCGAGGACCTTCATGGTTTTCGGAAGCCTTTCCACCGTGATGCAAAGTCAAAACAGGTAAGGGCTGCCCTCTGTCAGTGGGCAAGCCTTCCCAATTGCGGACTAGTGTATTGAAAACTTGACGGCCTTTTAGTCCATTCTCCATGGATAGGCGACTGTACGTCGCGACTCTCCCGGCAACTTTTCGATCGCCCACCCTTCTTGTTCTGGAGGCATCCCCCGCCACAAGAACATCCACACGCTTCTTCCCCAGAAAAGCTCGACCATCTATTGCAGCCACGCCCGATGATCCTTTTCTGGTCGTGGACGTTATCTTTGAAAAGTGGCATGGCCGGTTCTGTTCTTTGCAAAAAGTGCAAGGTACATTCGCAGGGCTCCCGTCGCACTTGATATTGCCATTCCTCGTGCGACACCTGTCGCACATTCGTTGGCGCCTCCGCGCCCGAGCCATGGTGTTATGCCAGGCAATGCCAGTGGATCATTAGCGTGCGATCTGCTGTCCAGAAAGCGGATCTTCACAACCAAGACTTACGTACAAAGCGCAGATCACCAGTATGACACGTGACAAATGTCAAGGTGACTATCCCACATATTTGGAGGCACAGTAATGCTGACAATTTTCTTCCAGCCAGAGTTTGTAATCTGTAGAAGGGGCGAAACGCCTTGAAAAGGTCCTTCTGCAGTTGTCAAATTTCCTTTGAAAATCAAAACAAAAGGTGAGCGTCGATTTGCATTCGAGGGAACGAACTGACGATGGAGCGTGGTGAAAGGAATGGCTTTGTGCTCTGCCATGGGACTGGAAGGGCGATGGGGTTGTAGCGGACGGTGTTCATGTGGAGGGCATTGTATCGTTGGAAGCGGGAGGGAAATGAGGCGAGGACAATTGGAGGGGAGGTTCCACCGTCATGCTTGGTCTAACGCCGTATATGTGGTCGCTCTCCTCGTTCTTTAGGAAGACAAAATGGGTCGCCGTCCCGCTCGTTGCTACCGCTACTGCAAGAACAAGCCGTACCCCAAATCCCGGTACTGCCGTGGTGTTCCTGGTGAGTAAGACATTGGTGTTTATTTCTCAGGGGAATGCGAGGAAATGCGTATTTGGGGTTTCAAAGTGGAAGCAAAGTGGTATTACTCAATGAAGCTTTGTGAGGATCGGCGGCATCCATGGCATGTGCTGCTGACATTGGAAACTGCGGATGCTTGTTATTGCGTTCATGCTGACAGATGTTTTCCTCAATAGACCCGAAGATTCGCATCTTCGATCTCGGTCGGAAGAAGGCTGGTGTCGATGAGTTCCCTCTGACGGTTCACCTGATCTCCGATGAGCACGAGCAGATCTCCTCGGAAGCTCTTGAGGCCGCCCGTATCACGGCCAACAAATACATCGTCAAGATGGCGGGTAAGGATTCGTTCCACATGCGTGTCCGTGTCCACCCCTTCCACGTCACCCGTATGAACAAGATGTTGTCCTGTGCCGGAGCCGATCGGTGAGTTTACGTGATGTTTCGCATGTGATATTTGTGAGATCTAATTGGCATCCTGCTTGGTACAGACTCCAACAGGGTATGCGTGGTGCTTTTGGAAAGCCCCAGGGTCTGGTTGCCCGTGTCAGCATTGGTCAGGTCTTGCTCTCTGTCCGAACCAAGGACAGCAACAAGGCTGTTGTCACTGAGGCCCTTCGTCGTGCAAAGTACAAGTTCCCTGGTCGCCAAAAGGTGCTTGTGTCCAACAAGTGGGGTTTCACCAAGCTTTCGCGTGAGGATTACGTCGCTGCCCGCCAGGCTGGTATGCTTCAACCCGATGGTTGCTATGTCAAATACCTTGCGGAGAAGGGCCCCCTTCAGGCTTTCTTCGACCGCCAAGAGAGACTGGCCGCTTAATTTTGGCAAAATATTGTTGTAACCAATAAATATGAGCACGTTGTCTTCCTCGTAAATGCATCGTAAATGTTGTGATTTTTGTGAAATGCTCGAAGGACTGAGCAGAGACCCAAGAATGGGTTGAGCATGACATAGCTTCGTTTATCTAGCCAGTTGTTGCTGTTTGTTTATTAAACTATAGAGTGGCCTAAGTAGGTTCCTATCGCTAGATAGCTGCGAATGATGGCAATGTCATCCACTATCCTATCTACTGCCGTTGTCCATGCTTCCAATCCTATTCGATTTCCCTTTGTGACAAAACTACTATCAGATTTCCTATGTCCCCGGATGTATCAAGGTTCTCAGCAACCGGACCTGATGGACTGGTCGTTCACCCGCCGTGCAACGTTGATATGAAGACTATCGTATCATCGTCCTTCAGTACATATTCAAGCTCCCCTTCCAATTCCCAGTCCGCGTCATTGATCAATACCAAGATTCCGGGGCGTCTACAGGAGCAAGAATTAACTGAGATTCCAGGCAATGTAAGACTGATCTCTGTTCGGGTCCTTACACCGTGTCTCCTTGCATGAATAGTTCAGCGCGCTCGCTGAGCAGGTTGTCACGCATCCATGGTAGAAGATCCTTGAGGGTTGCAAGGGCTGGAGTAAAGGTATCTGGGAGAGTCACGGTCTTTTCCTTTTCGTTATTGAAGAGGAGTTCCATTCCTCCACTAGATCAGAAAAGTAAGCCAGGGCACATGTTTCTGGGACGATGGGAGGATCAAGTAAGGTACTCGTAGCCTCCGTACGCACCTAAATTGGAGATGTATAGTGAGGCCCATCGACAGTTCAATCTCGTTGGAAATCCAAAAGATCTCAGAAGAATAAAAACAAGGCTGTCAGGATGACGGTATCGCGTAGCCATTTCAGAGATTGCTTACGTCGCCTTCAATCCGCTCACCTGACGGCCGTGGGTTGCGGTTCCACCATTACTGAACACCATTTTCGACGGCAATCCTCAACGTACATTTATAACGCAAGGGCAATGGAAAACCAGGAGCAAGAGACTATCCAGCTAATTATAGACACGGATGTTGGTATAGATGATGCTACCGCCATCTTGGTTGCTCTGCAGCATCCAAAAGCTGTTGTAAAGGTACGATAACGGTCGTCGTTTGCAAATGTTGCACCCTGGAAGTCGTCAATCATAGAGTAACTGTATTATAAGGCTTTCACAATAGTTGACGGTAACGAAACCGTGGTTTCAGACGCTGATCTCTCGCCAGATCTACATGCTGATCTGGTTCCACGCAGGCAATGTCGACATGCGGCAGGCAGTAGAAAACTGTAAAACACTCCTCTCAGTAGCCCATCGAAAGGATATTCCTATTTACCCTGGAGCAGACGGTCCCCTCGTTCGTGGTATTGTCAAAAAAGAGCTGTGGCCTGGTCACGGCACCGACGGGTTGGGAGGCATCACGACTCATGAGGTATAAAGGGTTTATCCTCAGCATCACGCACGCTCTTGCTAACTATCCTGCAGGATTTGACATTGCCTGGCGCACACGATATAAAGGAACAGAAGGAACACGCCGCGCTTGCGTTGATTCGAATGGTCAACGAGAACCCTGGTGTTTATTCGATTGTGGCCATTGGACCATTAACGTGAGTATCATCCGTCAACCATCCATTTTTCGACGGTCCTATAAATTGACTCTTGGTAACTTCAGCAACATAGCTATCGCCATCACGATAGATCCGACTTTTTTAACAAAAGTCAAGTCTGTTTACATAATGGGCGGATGCTTGTTCGCAAAGGGTAATGCCAATCGAGCGGGTGAGCATGATTGTGTGCTACGATGGCCTCTGCCTCATTAATTCTTACACATGTTCAGCCGAGTTCAACATTCATTGTGATCCCGAGGCGGCCCACATCGTTTTCCATTCATCATCACAACTCTCCACCCCATCCAACCCTCCCAAACTCACCCTGATCACTTGGGAGCTAACGGTTGAACATGGCTTCCCATGGTCATTCTTTGACTACTTGACTCAGACTGCGCCAGTCAATGAATACGGAAAATTCTTGCGAACGGTCACAGGCTGTGCCGAGTCGCTTTCAAGAGCACAACACGAACTTCTTGCTGGTGGTCCTGGCCCCACCGTTCCGACCGCCGTACTAGTCAGCAAAGAGCAATTGGGTGTCTCTACGGATGCGGTTACGGGACAAAAGACAAGAATTAGAACACAGCACGAGGATTATTTGTACGGCGCCAACTCGTTCTTGATGTGAGTCTTCCGACGTTGACTGTGTTTGACTGGTCACAAGTTGTCTCTAATTTCACTTTTTGTAGGCCGGACTTATACGCACTGGTTGCACTTCTCGATCCCTCGAGTGTTACCAGTTACAAAGATTGGGACGTTCAAGTAGAGCTTCACGGACACCATACAAGAGGAATGACGCATATGGATTGGTGGGGTGCTTCACCGGTGCCGGGGCCCAACGTGCGGGTTGTGCTCGCAATGGATAGGGAAAAGGTGAAAATGATGTTGGAAAAGTCATTCAAGACTGGTTTCTAGACAATCATGTGGACGCCTAGAATGCATGTAATGGTTGTCAGAACGGCCGAATCTGGCGATGTAAGTACATCTGGGACTGTTGAACTGATTTGCCAGATAACGATGTGCTTTATGGACTCTATTTAATAAACTAGAGAGAGATGCATTAAAGCTGCAAATGTCAGGTGCCAGCTCTTACAATCCACATCCATCTGATTTCCCTAGTCTAACTTTGTATTAGTTATGCCCGGCTAAGTGCAGACAATCTGCGGAGGCGCCAATGATATCAGCTGACAAGTTGACAAGAAGGCACCGATGTCATGTACATACGCTTCCTCCACAAAGGTGTCGGATCGTATTCGGTTCTGATCCACACCACTTGGCCGCTGATTTGACTTTTCCGCCGCGCCAATGTTTTTCATTGCTGTCATCGCATTCAAAATCATGCCATGAGCAGAGTATCGAGAAACCTTTATTATGACGTAGGGGACTGTCTTACCTGCGTCGTACTGCTCCTTTGTTATCCAACCTCGCCCAGTTACATCAAATATGCGAAACAATGCTTGTAGGTCGCCTCTCGTAAACAGTATAAGGGATTGACCTCTAGCCTAATGACGCCAGTGGTTAAGGCATTGTCGACGAAGAAAACTCTATCCTTTGTGTACCCTTGCACTCCGCATTTCCTCCAGTTTCCGGACCATGAACTCTCTTGGGTCATCTGTTAAGAGCGACGTGTAAAGATCAGTCTTATTTCATTATAGAGGGACCATACATCATGATTTCAAGACTGACCTGGTTGCTCGTAAAGACACGCACAAATGAGTTGCTGAATAATCTGCGGTACTTTGTTCTTGTTCAGATACTCGGCTGCTTCACGGGAATGTTCTGATACAGACGCATTTCCAGATTTCGTGCTTGTTAATGATGGCATGGTGTGCGTGCTATTGATCGGTTGACAAAAGGTAAACGCTTTGTGAAGGACGTCGGGAGTTGCTTTGGTAAGATGATCACGTGTCAGGCTCACGTCACGCGTTTTGCGACGATCGCCGCAGCCCAACCCAACCTTGAACTCTTTACTACCGACTGACCACGGAGGACACTCGAGTGATAGGAGGTTGGTACTATTGTCATCGCCTTAGCATAAAGGCTATTTGTAGTTTGCTGCGTAGATACTGATAGTGTTGGGGAGTGGGAACTATACTGTTTGACAAAAGTTTGACATGTTTTGGAGTTTCCGTTGACTTTGTGTGAAGGTAACCGCCAACCGCAGCAGGGCTTTTAGGCATTTTGGCAAACCTAGTATCCCGAGGATAACAATGACGGTCATCAGAGATGCATCACATGCCGGGTCCTGGTACTCTGGTTCAGGTGCGCATCATCTTTTACTAGGCACTGTGTCCGTCAAAAATTGAACTGCTAAGGCCATCTATTCATTTTCTTGGAACATTAGGAAAGAGACTTTCAAGCGAACTTAATGGCTGGCTGGCTCAAGTTCCTACCTCTGGCAGTGATGGGTCGTTGAGTAATTTTCCTTTGCCTATAACAAAGTGTAGAGCAATCATTGCACCGTGTGTGTCATATGGGATGTTGTTCGAAACATACGTTATGAGCACATGGGGCTGATCTCTCGTTTCCGCAGACATGCTGGATACTCTTACAGCGGACCCGCTGCTGCATATGCGTACAAGTGCGTCGATGTAGAGCCCATGTAGGTGTCGCACAAGCATGGTAGTCATGGCACGCAAGCTTAATCTGCCCCGGACTTTTCATCTGCAGCAAACGAGTTTTTGTACTAGGGTAAGGAACTGAATATAACGTTTTCGGAATCAGAATCTCTTTCTAATATAGGAGCGTCCCTTTTTGTAGTCCGAGCCATCACTTCTATCTCGACGGATGTGCCTTGTCACAGTGCGACGAGTACGAAACACCTTTGGGAAACTTGAAACTTGACAAGGATGGTACGCGCCGTCCAATAAGCAAAACAACCTGATGCGTTCGATTAAATCTGGCCCATCGCTCGTAAGTTATCGCTAAGCTCAAAGCGACTGGAGAGTTCTCCTTGATGAGTCAGCAAGTGGATGAGGATGAACACAGCATTGAAATGCACATCCCTTATGTGTACAAGATTTTTGAAAAGTACGCTGATACTGAGAATGGCACGAACTTCCTACCCGACTAATGAGACTGTTATAATAGAAAGCAAGAGCCGTACACCATTGTACCGATTCTCGTCGGTGCCATTTCTGCAGAAAAAGAAGCAAAGTTCGGTCGACTGTTAGCATCTTACCTCGCAGATTCTCAAAATCTGTTTGTGGTTTCCTCTGACTTTTGTCATTGGGGCTCACGGTTTTCTTACACGTACCAAGGAAATGGGAACAGAGACACCCCAATATATCAATGTATTGAAACACTCGACCGTGAAGGGATGGAGATCATTGAAACGATCGACCCAAAGAGTTTTACGGCATATCTCAAGAAAACTCGCAATACGATTTGCGGAAGACATCCGATTGGCGTCTTACTTAATGCAGCAGCCATACTGATTAATGGTCAGACTGAAGATGAGGACACAAGCGGGAAACGGAAGAAACAAAAATCGGATGGCGCCGATAACATCGCCGGGAGAGCAGCTAACGGCAATGGTACCGTAAAAAAGGCAGAGATCAAGTTTGTTCATTATGCTCAGTCTAGTAAGGTTACGAGCACTCGTGATAGTTCCGTGTCGTATGCTTCGGCGTATCTGTATCTTGATCTGTAGGGATTTTGTATCATTGCGCCCAAGATAAGACTGGGCGGCGTATTTGTTAGTAGCCTGATTCAAGTATAGCCATATTGTTCAGTTGAAGAGTTATGTTCCTCTTTACTTAATGAGAGCCTTTAAGTAAGGATCAGTCCCATCTATTAAAACATAATTAATGTTTTTTAATCTGCGGTTTGGACCGCACTGGCCCCCTCAGCGCCTTCTGGCTTCGTCTCCCACGGCTTTCTTCTTGGTGCTAAATGACTCTCACTAGGAGGAGCCTCATTGATCTTATTCGGTATCGTTCGTATTCCCGGAACTTCCTCCCCTCTTGCGACCATCTCGCAAAGTTCCTGAAAGCTGCGTGGATATTGGGGCTCTGAAACTTTCTGTTCAGAGGGTTGCGGTAATATATCGTTCTTTTCCTCCTTCTCGCCTGTCGAGCTTTGGCTGGCTACAGTTGGCATTATGTCATTGGACATATCCGGAGAGGGAGACGCCGAACTTTGGTCAGTTTTCCACTTTAGATATTGTAGGTAATTTATCGGACGAAAGAACCTATCAATAGGCGAGCGGGAGTGGTAGTTGTTAAATCGAATACATCTAAACGAAGAAAGCTCCAGATGCCTTACTTGGAGTAATAGAAGCATTTTGCTTTCTCAATAGCTTCCTCTTTCTTTGCGGAATCGTCATACGATTTCGTCAGTATGGACTGTAAGCCTTGCTGGAACCGTTGGTCCTTGTCCCAATTGTAAGCAGTAAACTCTCTAAAGATGGCATCTGGAGATGATGATGTGTGAGACTGAGTGGCCGACATGTCTGGAGAAGAAAGGTTTGAAATTCAAAAGCTGCATCATCATCCAAAGTATGAATGACTCACGCGATCAGGGCAATTTGAACTTTGGAGATCACCAGAATTGTTTCTTTGGCGTCTTCTTTGTTGCTCTCCAACTACCTCAAACTCTCCAAATCATGTTCACTGGCATTGTTGAAACCATGGGGACGATCGCAGAGATTGTCCCAATGGATACCACCTCGTCTGGTGGAGGTGGTTTCTCCATGACCATTGGTAATGCCGATGTGGTCCTCTCAGACGTGCATATCGGCGACAGCATTGCGGTGAACGGTATGTCCATCTCATTAAGCAGGGTACAGCCCACTTGGAATCGATCCTTAAGTTTGCGTACCATAGGTGTATGTCTGACGGTCACAGAGTACAATGACGCTAGGACTTCATTCAAAGTAGGCATTGCGCCAGAGACCATACGGAAGACCAATTTTGGTCTGTAAATGACTATGATGGCTTTCTTTAGACTATTTGTTAATGCCATTTTTCAAATCAACAGGCGATCTGAAGACTGGGGAGAAGGTCAACCTTGAGAGAGCAATGTTGGCGAGTACCCGGTTCGGTGGACACTTTGTTCAGGTAAACTCTTGAGGGTTTCCAAGACATATCTGGCACTGTGATTGACCCGGCTCATTGCGGATAAAGGGGCACGTTGACACAACAGTGCGAATACATTCCATAACACCTGACCCGCCAAACTCACTCATAATGCGGTTTACCGTACCCAAACCATCTGAAACTGGCAACATCGATTATCTGCGGTACATCATACCGAAGGGTTTTATCTCGCTGGACGGGACATCGCTAACAGTCGTCGACGTTGACAATGCCGATCGCACGTTTTCTGTAATGTTGATTGCGCATACGCAACAACATGTCATACTCCCTCAAAAGAAACCTGGTGAGAAGGTGAATGTGGAGGTAGATCAAGTCGGCAAATATGTCGAGAAAGTGGCGGTGGGAATGCTTCAAGGGAATGGGGAAGGAGACAGCGTCTTCTCTGAGATGATAAAGAAAATAGTAGACGACCGCGTTAAACAACTACTCTCTGCGACGCAATAGTGGTTGTATGCATCATTACTACGGGAATGCGTATCTATTTTACGAACGCCTATGTGATAAGATATTCATACTTTTGCTATCATACATTCAACTTGTTACATCAAAATCTCATTGTGCTGGCTTGCTTTGATATCCTTGTGTGGCAAAACAATGCAATTCCGAATCGCAATCTCGTCTGCAATGGTCACGTCCTTGCCCAGAATCGTAGCAGAAGGGATCTTGTAACCCTTGACAGTGGTATTCAAGGCTGTACTCTCCCCTGGGGCGCCTTCTACACGCGACCAGCTTCCCACCTTCGAGTCCCAGCCGATCACAGAGTTTAGAATACACGAGTCATTTTTGATCTCGACATTGTCCAGCAGGATGGAATCACGCACACGCACACCGCGTCCAATCAGAACACGGGGGCCAATACTGACGTTAGGTCCAAGTCTGGCCGAGGGGTGGATGATAGCAGTTGGGTGAATGTAGGCGGGTTGAATCACTTCTGCAACTCCCTCGTCCGCTTTGTTCGTGATGTCGCTCAAGGACGGCTTGGGTGCGTTAGACAGCTTTCGTGGCGCGGTATGGAAGAAGTGCTGAAGATACAACCGGTTCGCAGGGATGACTGAACTCCCTGTCTTGATCTGCATCCAAAAGTCTTTGCCAGGCACACACACGTACGCGTAAAGCTTCTTGGCGGAGGTGAGCAAGCTAAGAACTTCTTGCTCAAGTTGAATTCGCTCTGATCCGCCTCGGATAGTAGAGTCGTCGATGCCCTGCTCCTCGAGCTTAGCTTGCCTCTGATCTATTGCCGCCCGCACCACCTCAAAAATCTCCTTGCGGAAGAGGTAAATACCACAGGAGATCATGTCCGAAAGGAAGGACTCTGGTTTTTCCACAAAATGAAGCACTTCGTGGGTTTCTGGATTGGCGACTACACATCCAAACTTTGACACCAAAGATCGGTCAACTCTAATTCCCAAAATCGTGCTCACACCCTGATGCTTCAGGTGAAAGTCGAGCATGGCCTGCAATGGGAAGGAGGACGCGATGTCGGCATTGAGAACAAAGATTTGGTCAGGATCTCCACGGCTGATTTGATCACGGAAGTGGAAGAGACCGCCACCTGTACCAAGTGCCTGATACTCTCGTAGATATCTGGCGTTCACAATTTTTCAGTTAATACAAGCATGTCTTGCTGAATATCACCAAAGAGTCAAATGAGGCACTAACCTAATGGGCACATTTGGAAATTCCATTTGGATCTCTGTCAAGAACCGATCAAAGATGCTGTTCTCAAAGAACCCAACAATTAAAATCTCCTTCATTCCAGGGAGCTTCGCGAGTGCCGCCACATGATGGAAAATCATTGGGCGTCCAGCAATTGGAAAGAGGGGCTTCGGACAGTCCATCGACAATGGTCTAAACCGAGTGCCCACCGACGGGCCACCAACAAGGATGACTCCTTTGAGACTTGGAGTGGTCGCCATTAGATAGGAGGTAACAGTGCTGTCACGATAAGATGGAGTGAATTTTCACGTTCCTTTTCAAAAAGCCTGGCGTCCAACAAGCAGATATCTGTCTGGCCAATACGCTGATTCGAAACATCGCGCACTTACCAAAGAGTGGACGTTAGCTGTGGAGGTTTGATGAGAGATGGCAATTTGCAGATGGACGGTGAAAGCTGCCGTCGCGTCAGGGCAAGTCTTACACGTGCAGCCGCGCCACATTTGGACTACCGGCCGCGCATTGGTTTTTGGAAGAACTCGCCAACGCAATTCGCAAAACAAATGACACCGCCAGAGATCGTTTCGCCTTCGTTTATCCTGCGAGGACACACCGCACCCGTCTTGTGCTTGGACTTGTGCTCTAAAGCGACGGCCTCCAAAGTAGCGTCGGGGGCGGAAGACGGTACAGCGAGAGTTTGGTAAATATCGGTAATGGGCTGTACTCGGGTACACCTTACTTATTAGCCTCATGACCAGGGACATTGCTACGGCCAAATGCGTTCGAGGCTTGAGGGGGCTTGAAGAGAATACTGAAGTGTCAAGTGTTTGTTTTTCTGGGGACGACCTGCTGTATGTCGCTGCTGGCCACCAGGTACCGCGAGACATGTGGTCAAATTTCTGAAGCTTGGTCTGCTAACATGCAAGTGTCCAGGTGCGGCTATTTGACCTCAGAAGTCCTGGCCTTGTTTTGAACCAATCGACTCAGATCGGTGTTTCTGCAGAGGATGAAATAAATCATGTATGCTTCATGTCAACTACAGCCCGTATATGTGAAAATTCAAGAACTCAGTGCCCGCTGATGTAAAAGAGTACTAGATCGCCTTGAACGAGAAACGAACCTTTTTGGCGACAGCTGACGATAGCGGACATGTAACCGTGACGGATCTACGCACAACTCGAGTATTCAAACGCTTCCGCCAGCGTCATGAAAACGTATGCACTGCATGGCGTGTCGTCAAGGGCTTCCTGCCGATTTTATGTTGAAGTACCACCTTCTTCTAGTTAGCCACATGCGTTCGATTTCAGCCAAACAGATCTTGGGACGTGTGGAGTGGGGGAATGGACAGCACGCTAATTCACTGGGATTTTTCGAAAGGCTGTCCTGTCGAACAATTTCCTTTTGGTAATGTCTTATTGTATTGCTATTGTAATAGTTTTCAAGCTAATCGGATGTCGTCAGCTACATCTGAACAATCGCAAAGCGCACAATCTGTCAACCCTCCCTTTGTGCATTCCCTCGAGTTTTCACCTGATGCCCGTTTACTTGCGGCCGGTCTTGGGGATGGTTCGGTAGCACTCCTCAATGTCAGTGGCAAGAAAAACGCCGATGCAGAGCGATCGACGCGGAAAGGCAGGTCGAGTTCTGCTTTGAAAGCTCGGTTAATGGATGGGCATAGCTGGGCTGTTAGCGCTGTGTGAGTATGGTGTCAGTTCACAGCCTGGCCTGGGACTCTGTATTCACTTGATTCTCTGACAGAACATTTCCACGTTGTGAGCGGGGACCACTACTATCGGGGGGAATTGACGGCAATATTGTACTGTGGGATATTCCAGCAAGCGATGGAGAAGGGGAAGGCGTCATTAAGCGGCGCTTGCATATAGGACGTAAAACTAATTGCCTAACTTCAGCATTTTGCTCTGCTCGAGGTTCTACAGAGGCAGCAAAGGACTCAACAAACCAGGCCGACGAATCGTTCCTAGTCTTTGGGGGAGGCACCTTGCTACCGGGACAACGCATAACAGACACCGGAAAGCGTTCTGAAGGAGATATTGACGTGTTTGCAGTTTCATGGCCTGGATCAACGTGACTCGGGATTTGATGACATTTAGTATCATCCATCTGCTCTTGTAGAGTGGCATTTTACGCATAGCAGGAACTCGTCTGATGCATACCAATGCAAGTGGCACATGCCCTACTACTCTAGTTCTCCAGATTGAGAGATAGAATCCTAGTCTATGTACAAGTGTGCTAAAAACAAAATCCCCTTGCCATTGGCCTTCGCCACTCCATATGCCAGCATATTGTATCCCAAACGGTATACTCGTTTAATGAGCAGCTTAGCAGGATATCAATTACTCTGAGTATCATCGTCAAAGAAGTCCATGGATGTATCGGGAGGACGAGTAGCTCGGGATACACTATTCGATCGAGCTACCCGTTGTCGTGATAAGTCTCGTTTCGGTCTTATCATGCGCTTGCGTGGCGATGCCCTGTTCGGTTCCAGTCGCGGAGCTCGAGGTCTCACGACGGATCGTGGTACGGAAGAGTCAGTCGATCCACTGTCATCATCAGAATCTTGTACTTCCGTAATTCGGGGCCCTGGCGGATTCTTTGGTCGTACTTCTGAAGTGGTATTGGCTAAATTTAATGCCACTTGCCCCTACGGGTATCTTTAGAATACTAGAAAGGGACGTGAGCTCCAACTATGCATGGACATACCGAAAGCACCGCTTGAATGATCTTGTTCCGGATGGTGTTAAATGCAGTTTGTCCCCATTGTATGACCATCTGTCTTGCTGCTTCTTGCGCCTTTCCCATTGCGCTATCAATCTCTGGTTCATGTTTTGCCAATGCTGGCTGCAGAAACTGATTGTACAGCACGAGTGATCCCTGAGCGTGTATTGAGGGAAGTAAATTTCAAGTCGCCAAGCCAACAGAAGAATTGGAGTCTTACCTGAGTGTAAGGCAAGACCAACCATAAGATAATAATGAGCTTTAGCTCATAGTACAATGGAAGCCTGACGTAATTCGAATGACGACAAATCAGTAACCCGCGCTCTGCGGTAGATTTCCTATTTGACTCACCAAAATAGAAGAGTATCTCCAGCAATCTCCAAGATGGTGAAAAAGCTCATCACGATCCAATGTATGAGCCATCGGTCTAGTGCTCCTGCGTCACGGGCCTTAACAGCCTATATGAGAGAGTATCACTTAGAAATCCGACCGTTTTGAGAGAACGAGTGGGATCCTTTTCGACATACCTTGTATGAGAGGTAAGCAGGATACAGATAGCCTGCGAGATTCCTATACAAAGCCAGGGTTGAGCGACGTTTGAGGTCCCACCATGATGCTGCAAGCACACATACCCGACAACACGCGATAAATAATAAATGACAACCATGACTACCGCAAGACGACCTTGTTTACAGCACCCTGTTGTTCGAACCCACCTTGCGTGGCGAACATGAGGGAACTCAATCCCACGATGGCTACTGGAGATGGGGCGGACGGACAGTGGTGGCTTCGAGGTCGGTGCGAGTTGGGCAAAGTTGGTCCCAATTTGGTTCCATCTGCGGACTTGGATGCTTAGCTCATGATACACGTGATTTAGTTTTTTTTTGGTTTTCAAAAGTCGCTCGGCCATCTTTTTGTTGAGCATCTCTTTAGCACTGATTTCATATCCCATCCCCCACAGGTGAGTTTATCTCAGTTCTGACAATGATGTGTGGTCGTCTGGGCGTACTCGCGCGCAGTGTAATGATTGCACAAGTTATATCCATTCTCTGACTGGGTCGCTGCCTTGCACCGCTTTTTTGGGAACGTTGGGATGAGGTTCTCTTATTTCGGCTTCCTCCTGGAAAGTTGGGGCATGGTGGGACGGGGTTGTTGAGGGGAATCAAACTTTAGAGGTGGTGGTAATTTCTGTCTTGCCGATTGTGGGAAGATGGGGATTTTCCCTGTCTCAAGAGTAGGTTCTTTTCGTTTTCACCTTTGTTAATGGCTCAAAGACGATCTTACGGTTCTGAACATTGCGCGGGGATCCCCAGTTGACCTTCTCTGCACGCTTCAACATGCACTTTTCCTAACTCTCCTTTTCTGGCGACGTTTAGAGCCAATCACAATGCATTTGATGTACTATCTTGACGAGAGTGGCAAGCGTGTCTACACGCTAAAGAAGCTCACTCCCGAAGGTTCTGTCACCAAGTCCGCCCATCCAGGTTTGCATTATGATGGATTCCGTGTTTTATTTTGTTAAGAGTACTGACGCAGTCCAATCTTCTAGCCCGCTTTTCCCCAGACGACAAATACTCCCGCCACCGAGTAACATTGAAGCGCCGATTCGGATTGTTACCCACACAGCAAGCGGCAAAAACCTCGTACTAGCGTAGCATGAACTCACCATATATGCGACCAGTTTGGCACGAGCGGGGACAAGCACAGGATCGTGGATCACCAGCGCTCGACTGATGACATCGACTGCTGGACGCAGTCCCGCCAATGAGAGTAGGCTGAAACTCTGTTGGGGTGGGATTCTTGGCCTGTCCCGCTTGGCAACGCTTCTTTTGTACTGTATTACTTGCATTTGATTGTATTTTTTTGTAATTAATTTATCATCAGGCTGAATTATTCCTGGTGGGCGGATGGCATCGCTTTTGAGATGATCCAACCGAATGTCCTTGCCGGCTTCATTCACCAGCCCAAGGAACGACTAGTAGTTTTGTAGTGCGTTACCCGGTCTTCAGACCGAGAAACCACACTAGCGAGCCTCTCCCTTTAGCCAAATAAACATCCACAGTCTTACGAGACTGTTTATAAATCAAAAGTTAACAACGTGTACTGAGTGCTGACGAGGAACCTTCAACCTAATTGCAGTAGACTCAAGACGATGACAACCGACACGCGAAACGTGATGGGACGTACAAGATCTGTGACGATCATAACGCGCGAATGCACGCAACACCGCGAGGCAAGGAGCTGCATATGGGCAGCGCATTGCGCACCAAAACAACATTCGGTGTGGAAGGAGTCGGTAAGCTGCCCGTCAGTCAAGTGACTATTTTACTGTTTTCCTCATGCCCGCTACTTCCCAGGCGGAGGAGGAACTGGTTATTCTCAATATCTACCTAGGAATGACGCCAGACTTTCGCTTTTCCCCAGTAGCCTCCCGAACGCCCCTCTGCCCGCCGCCCATGCAACCCCCTTATCAGAGCGCCCTCTCCTATGCCTCGACTTGCACCCTTCACAAAAGCATATAGTAGTCGGTTCCTCCGACCACGCGCTATATGTCCTTTCTCTACCCACTCTCAAACTCACGCGTACGCTTTACACCAAACGCAGTGGACACACTGAGTGGGTAACATGCTGCGTCGCACTTCCGTCTGGCCGCGTTCTTTCGGGCGGAATGGACTCGAGGCTCCTCCTATGGGACGCGCACGCGCCAGTGTGCTCCGAGCTGCGAGGGCACGACGGGTCAGTGACGAGTGTCAAAGTAGATAGAGGAGAGCGTATTGCTGTGTCCAGTTCATATGACGGGACGGTACGTGCATGGGATTTGAATAAAGGCCGGCTAATGTCATCTTGGGGTGGCGATTTTGAGGGCAATTTGGCAAGCGGTGACTATATGGCGGCAACGAGGAATCCTATATTGGAGGTCCTATGGAGTCCGAGTGAGCAAAGTGCGGGAAACTCTGCGCCATCTGACCGATTGGTGGCATCTACAAGAGAAGGGAGATTACTGGTTTTTGATATGGATGCAAAATCTTCTGCGCCTACAGCTGTGATTCGGGCACATAATGGTCCCGTTCGCCATGTGCTAGTGGGATCTCATCCATCACTTATCATATCTGCGGGAAATCTGGACGGTGCAATAAAAACCTTTGATTTACGCATCCCGCCAGACCGAGGACGTTGTGTGCGCAAGATTGAAAATCTGCATGCTGGCGGGGTGACCAACCTGGTCGCATGTGGGGACCAACTTGTTAGCACAGGAGGAGGAGACGGGACGCTAAAGGTCATGGATGGAAAATCGCTGCAAGTAACGAACACCATTATGGCGGCTCATGCACCAACTGGGTCTCCCGGAGCATCGGCATATGCAGTCTGTCCGTATCAAAACGGCATCTTGTCGTCCTGGGGGAATGGTAAATTGGTGGGCCACAATCTTGACCACGGAAAAAGGACTGTTGAGTTCGATGGCACTGCTCAAGGAATCAAAAATGCATTGAGAGCTCTTGTGGTGACAGGTAATGGAGAGGTCGGAGCTGTGATAGGAGCAGGCGATGACGGGGTCGCTGTAGGGTGGACGGCTACTCGTCAAGCAATCCCTGGCTGAATCATCAGGGCACGAATAAACACATGTCGTACAATGCACACAGGATTTAATTTCTGCACGAATGCAACGAGGGAATATAGTAACAGATGAAGCAACCCGAATGGCAACTACCACACACCATCATTTGCGTCCTAGGAAGCTACCCAACAATATGCCAACTATTCACTATCTGACAGAAGCAAGTCACCAGCGTCCTCATCGTCGTGCACTTTCAGTCTAAACTGAGCGACTAGCGAGACGTGGTCACTTGGAACTCGAGGTGTGGGCAGCTTTCCGGTAGTTTCTTTCTCAGTCGGCGGTTTAAGGTATCGTAAACACTCAAGGACTGTCGAAGGTTTTTTAATGTTTCCTGGGTGGGAGCGAGCTTGAGCTCGCAATCCACCAATGAAAATGTAATCCATGACTTCCTTGTCGTTCTCATGCCATGAGGTAAAATATGGCCGTTTTGTTTGGGGATCCACATATGGTGAGTACACCGACAGTAACTCAAATGGATGTCGCACGAATCCTCCTGCCGTGTCGCGGTCCTGACGTCTCTGGAACGCTGGAGAGGCCTCCCAAGCCGTCCCTATCCACGGGGCAGAAGATTGAGTTACGGATTGAGCTGGCGGATCCTCAATGAATTCTGGAAGATCCAGATCAGCATCAATGTCCAGGTCCATTTTCACAACCTCTGAGACGGAAAAGGACTGTTGCAGATGCGTTGTTGTTTTGTGCCCCTTCTCCACTGTGATAGTGGCACTCGCACAACTTGTCGTAACCCCCATGCTCAGGGAGGACTGCTGTGACTGGCGAGGAAAGCTCGATTGCAGCAGGGGTAATAGTTGTGGCTTTTTGCCTTTTCTACTTTGCTTGTCAAATTGTCCTGACATGTTTTTAGGATCGGCGTCGGCCATATTCATGACACCTAAGACACCAAGTCGGTTAGGATGACGTTATCGAGAAACCGTAGAAAAGATTGTTAATACCCGAAACCAAAAAATTGTAAAGAACGCTCCCCGGGTTCAAATTAAAGTCTCCGCAGAGCACTAAATGAATGGGGAAGTAGATAAGTACACCTTTTCCGGTCAATTCTGTTTACCTCCCATACCCAGCGGGACATTGGCACCGGACTGTTTCTCATGGTCCTCAATCATTTCCTTCATGTATTGGGTCAATTTGAGAAATTGAGTAAGCTTGACGTCTCCGCGCGATGGTGACCACAATAGATGCGTGGTAGCCACGCATATCTTCCGTCCTATGGAACAAGCTCCTTAAACGGCCCCAAATCCAACAAAGGTGTAACACTATATACCGAGGTTTGGGTCTCGAAGGATCATAATGATTGCTACGTTATCTTTGGCTGGATGATATTGGATATGTTGATAACACTCAACAAAGAACCTTTGCACAAATACTGTGAGCATCAAATGTCCATCAGTAAGCTTTCAGCAATCATTACCTCTTGGCCTTCACAAAGATCGCTACGCCGTCTGTTTTGGTTCCAGTACATCGTACATATGTGCCCTTGTACCCGTGTCGTGCAAGTTCTGGCTCGAAGAATGACCCAAAGTATCGGTCATCCACTTCCTTGGAATCGAGAGGTCAGGGACAATGACAAAATAGCGGTTGAACAAGAGAGCAGTCTTACCTGTAGACACACAATATCACAGTTTCTGTCTAATGCCGGTTTAGTTGCTTGCTGATAGGCCGAGATCGCATGACCGGACTGGACCGGCGACAAACGTACCAGCAATTTCCTTTACAATATTTGGTCCACGAACGGTCCACTTTAGAACTTGTTGCCCATATTGCTTTTGCTGCGATCCGTAAAGCCACGAGTGGGCATTTGCCAATGACGGGGCCAAACAGTTGTAGGTCATCAGTGTGAATGTGCAATCTAAATATCTCTTTCATTAGCAGCGTAATTGCATTAGATCCCTTTTAAATAGTGCAACATACCATTATCATCCTTCTCTGGGGGAGCATCAGGCATCCAAGTTCTCTCTAGGGGCTTGAACCGTGGTCGAACTTCTTCGTTGGGACTTGAAGATCGCCTTCTGCTTTTCGGCGAACCCTTCCGAGGGTAACTACCGGAGCGCTCAACGTCGTACTTGTTTCCTCGCGACTGTTTGGAAACATACTCTTGTCGTCGAGCGTCCCAAGCGGGGGATCTTGAACTTTCAGAGGACGAAGACTGTGAGTATCGACGGCGATGTGGACCGGCGTCCCGCTGTGGCGTGCAAATGTCATCCTTTAGCTCTCTCGTTGTAGGTGTAGCCGAATGCCGCTCGTGCGATCGTCCTTTCCGGCTCTGCCGTGGGTGACGTCGACTAGCTTCATGGCCATGCTCGTCAGATGCGGTGCTTGTGCTACTGTACTCTCCAGTGCCCGATACTTTAGTATAATATCTGTCAGTCATGTCAGAGTAGATTGATGTGATCCCAAAGGCAAGACGCTGATATGCATGAGGCTTAAAAGTTCCGTTAAACAACCTCGTCAACGACATGAACGTCGGGCAAAAGGTTGTGGGGCTCACTGATGACATGTCGATGACTAACGGGGTCACGTGCGTTATTTTTGTTTTTAAAAAGTCGATCGCCGCGCACTTTTTGGTCTCTTCAGCTTTTCTTCTCCAGCAGATGAAGATCGCCTCCATCCCTTCCTACAAGCTATGCGTGCAGTTGCCGTTGTTTTCGTAGGAAGCGATTACGATGATCTACGTTTGCGGCAGTCTTTGCTACCAATGACATTGACATATTGGACTCTTTGGTGATGAAATAACTTGCTCCTAAACCCAGCTCTTCGAAATGCACACATTTTGTTGCGTTCGTGAGAAGGCAGTTTTTCTGAATCGAGTCGAAATGGTCTGCCATACACTCTGCTTTTTGCTCACGTCAGTGTCAAACTATGACCTGTCTGTCGAGTAGTTGAGAGCGATATGCCATATTTCATGTTACAAATGTAAATCCTATACTACAATTCTCGCGAGCACGGCCTGCCAACACGTATTGAAAAAATGAAAAACTGGCCAGTGCTCTCATGCTGCGCAAGCGATACACCATTCCTGCAGACCCATTCCACCTTTTAGCAGAACCATATTCAAGGGCAATCCGGATCATCGTTCGTCATGAGCTTGGACCACTCTTTAAAGCCAACCACAAACATGACGAGGATCAATGGGAAGCTGCAAATCCCCATAACGGTTCTGACAATGGAACTGCTGATTGCGTCGACGGATGCGAGCTCCAAAACGAACCAAAGAAGCGTCAGGGCGATAAATACCCAACTCAGAATGGAAGTTCCCAGAGTGGTGCCATTCGAAAGACAAGTCCCACAACGTCCAGGTTCCGGCAGGGGCAAACCTTTGGGTTAAGAGTAACAGTTAGCGATAAACATCCACATAACAACATGGCATTCTTGATTTGGTTCGGTCTCGTACCAGGTACATAGTGCGTAGGCGTCCGACAAGTATACGGGATAGGAACCGTAGTGAGGATTGTAGCTGCCAACAGCATCTACGCAAACCAAAGTCGATCGCAAGCACTACTGACAACGAGGACATCTGAACACTTACCAGGAAGGCATTGCGCAAAGCATCTGCAGCTTTGGCAAAACGGGGGGCCTGGGGGATTCATAGAATATGAGATGTCATTTCAAATGCACTATATGCCTCCATTTGGATGACAAGAACGCAATACGTACCCATTCACCAGCCTCCTGAGCTGCCCGGAATTCCGCAGGAGGTGTCCCTAGCAATGGGAGAGTCTCTCCTCTTTCCACAGCTTCCCCCGCACGACGCTCTATGTAAGAGGCGACATAGCGTCCGAGCAGCGTCTATTGCATTGTGACAATCGAGTTAGGGTGTACTGCTTCCACCATTGCCAGGAAAAGTTTGGATCCTCACCAAACCCCAGAGCAAGAGAAGAGTCGTCACTAGGGGAAAGTATCCCAGCACAATTATGGTTAGGCTTTGATTTCCCAATGAAAGAGAGATAAAAAATGGACATGCACCTGCAATCCATTCTGATTTCGCATAATCATAACGGTCATAATATGGATGGGGAACAAAGAATCCAGACCGATTGGCATCCTTGTGGTGTTTGAGTAATCCGGCTTCGTCCCGGGTCACAAGGTTGGCGACAGTCCCAATGATATCGGCCGACATGAAGACTCTGTGATTCTGTCAGTATCTTCGGCGTTCCGTCTGCTACAGAGAAGTCTAATTGGACAAGACGAAAAAAAGTTGGATAGAAAACTTCTTATCCGTTCAGCAGAGAATAACTCTGGTCGTGGGAAAAAGGTTTCAATACGAGTGTTGCGATGCGAGTTCATGTGAGTGCCCCAGCGACGTTGTTTACGTCAAAAGGGACCATACGGGGGGACGGGGGGCTTGCCTGCCTGCCAGCGTCCCTTTCAAAACATGATTTTTGAAGCCATTTAGGCCTTTCATACCATCGTTAAAGTAACCAGAATGAATCTGGTTTTCATCACAACTGCGGGAGCATCGTTCCATAATCTTGTAATATTTTATTCCTTGTATCAGCGCAATCCATCAAAATTCTAAACTGTTCTTGTTTGCAAAAGCAAGGACGTTGAGCAAGTTTGAAACCTTTCCGCCTAGCACCGCTACATTCAAGAGCGAGTTGGAAAAACACAGCGACCATCTGGTTAATCAAATACTATGAGGTTTTGGGACATCCCGCACCAGGTTGGATATCCAGCGAGAAAAGGAACTTGTAAGACTTGTCGAAGATCCAGACGATAGCATGACTGTGCCATTCACGAGTTAGATCGGGTTGTTGTCGGTCTCGCTCAACTCTTTGAAAAACATAAATGGTGAACAGCCTCCGCAGATCGAGCTTACGATGAGGACAATGCGTGGGTGTCGGGCATACCTGTCCGCAGGGGTTGTGGACGGGATTTCGCATGCGTCAACCGTGTCTTGCTCTTTTGCACAAAGGTTAAGACGACTCTTGCAAATTGCGTTAGCAGCGCTGATCTAACGAGTTCTAACCTATCCGGCTTTTATAGAAGGGGCTTGCATGCATCAGCTTCAAAAAGCGAGCGACATCTTGCAGAAAGTTTGTACATGTACACGCATAGGGTCGCAGGTCCAGGGAGGAAGTACTTTGTGCCACGCTTTCCATTGGCACATCCATTTTCGAAGCGGTTTTCTTCCGGTCCTTCTGAACCAGTTGAAATTTCCAGCGAACTTGTTCCCCAATTTCGTACTGCTTTGAAAGGATCGAATAATATGGAAGTGTGCTGGAAGCTCTTCCTGACTATCACTACCGCTGCAAGCACCCTCTCGGAGCTTACTCACGCTGATTACCGCCACTTACTTGTAAGGCTCCGCACATATGCTCACCGATCTAGACTGGAAAGACTTCGTCGCGTGTTGGACCAAATCCAGCTGGCAGGACTGCACCGGAGTGCTTTTGAATGGAATTCAGAGTTGGATGTTCTCGTCCACCATGGTCAATACGAGGAAGCTCGGGCAACTTACGATAAAATGATTGAGGCGAACATCGAGCCAGATGTGGATACGTATAATATTATGACTCGCTGTGAGGCTACGGCTGCCAATCCTGATGCTGCCAAGCACTGGATAAAAGAAATGAGGGCCAATGGTCACTCACCGCACATTATTGCCTATTCGAACTTGGCCAAAGCCTACATTGCTGCTGGCGACATCCATGGTATGATGCAAGTGTTAGACTTGATGAAGGAGAATGGGCTTACTCCTGGGCCGGACACCTACCATATTCTCGTGCGATATTGTATAACAAAGGGGAATGCGGAAGGGGCGATGATGCTATTAGGAATGTTGGTGGCGGAGGGCCATGTGCCATCCGTGGAGCTTTATAGTAGCCTTCTATCCGTCTATGTGGATAACGCAGACATTGAAAGCACGGAGCGGATATGGAGAGGAATGGCAGATGTAGGAGTCAAGCCGGACACAGAGGCATACGAGGCATTATTGCGAGGTTACGTGGGACGGGAAGATGAGATGAAAGTTCGGGAAATATTATCTCATATGTCATCCCATGGGATGGTGCTATCGCTCCAAGCCTACATATCACTAATGGAGATGTACGGAAAGCTGCAGAATAATGGGGAAATGCGGAAATGGTACAAAAAGATGCGAGCTGCTGGAATTGCGCCGAATATCAAAGTTCTCCAAGTTTTAGATCGCTATCATTATGAGAGAAACGAATCAAAAGCGTTCGTCAGACTGCTCAAGGACATAGGGGATTCGCACATTGCTGGTACAGAGACCAGTGTGCGACAATTCATTCTCATGCGCCTTGACCGAGCAAGTGGTCGCAAAGATATTCGGTATGCTAAGTGGCTGTATGACATTGGCAAGAGATTGGGCTCTATGCCACCGGACCACATACACTTGAAAGTCGCGGAGAAGGCAGCCGCTGACGGACAGTACGATTTCGGGCTACGTTGTCTATCTGATATTCAGTTCCGAAAACGTCGAAATCAAATGTGTGAGGGTTACGATCGTGTCATGCGGCTACTGTTACCGGGACTCGAATTGGAGGATCGCATACGGCTGTTTGAGATTGGCATTTCTGTAGGAACCACTTTGTCGATGAAATCGGAGGAACATATTCGACAAGTTCTTCATTCTGCCGCTCGCTATAGACAGTTGTTACCTGCCATACGTCGATACGTCCAGTCGTCTGGGGGCTTGCGACTGTCGAGGAATATGCGAACAATGGTCGCCGAAGCATTGCAGGAGCATGATATAGATGGGGCCGCTGACTTACTGGGTGAAATGGGACCCCGCTTTTTTCAAAGTGAAGGGGTGCCCCTTTTGAACGGAAAGCAGATTCTGCAGAAGTTGCTGGAGAGCGGGGACATGCAGAAGACCTTCGATTGGTCACAGCGGCTAGCTCCTTTTGGTATATACCTTACCACATGGCAGGCCAACAGACTCCTCGAATATCTTCTCGCTCATGGGCGTATTGATGATGTTAAGAGGTTAATGTTTAGGATGGACGAGGCAAGGAAATCCCACCAGATCGACGCTAGCCCAAACCAGATAACATACAACATCATCCTCAATGGTCTTGCAAGTCAGCATGATCATAAGTTATTCAACAAGTATTGGGCCCAGCTACAACATGCGACACGTTCATCCCCCGACCAATTTTCGTACGCCGCGAGGATAAAGTTCAACCTAAATAATGACGACATGCAAGCAGCCGAAAAGGATCTGAAACGTTTAGAAACGAAATTTGGTACTGTGGATATGCGGATCTGGACACTGTTTATATCGTACTACTTGAAACGTGGCGATATTGCTGGAGCCAGAGCGATTTTCAGCAGGATCGAACGAAGGGGCCAGGCTCCTAACACGGTGATGTTTACGATGTTGTTGAACTTCCACCTGAAGCGCGCAGAATTTGAACAATTAAACGCTATTGCAGTGGAGATGAACGAGAAGAACGTCAAACTGAACCAGGTTTCGTACACTGCTCTAATCAGCGCAGCAGCGAAGCAGGGTGATCCAGCACAAGCGCAGCGATTGCTCCTTAAGATGAAAGCTGAAGGGCTAAAACCTGACGTAATTAACTACACCGCGATGATTGCAGCGTACGCAGCCGACAGAGATGCGGAGGGGGCTCGCACTGCATATCAACAACTCTTGGACGCTGGATTGACCCCTACAATGATGACTATGAACACGGTTTTATCTGCATCCGCACGAACTGGCGACGCTGCTCTCGTTCACTCCTTTCTAGTGCAGATGGAGCAACACGGCGTCACACCTGATAGCAGTACCTACGAGACCTTGTGGCAAGGTTACGCAGTCGCTGGTAATGTACCGGAAATGGAGAAGGCGCTCAACTCCTATCTGCGGATGGCGGGGCACGCGAAAGTGGATTTGGGTGTATTTAACAAGTTACTAAGAGGCCATGCACGGGCTGGAAATATCCCAGGTGCCCTCGAATGTCTCAAAGGGCTCTACGCAGCTGGCTGTACGCCAGATGCACGGACGTTCACGGCCATGATGGAGGTCTGCGCTCGTGGAGGGGACGTATTGGGAGTCGGCGAGTGGATTGGCAAAGCTGAAATGGCTGGGATAAAGCTCGACGCCAAGGCCATTGCAATCGTCGTGGACGGATTTATCAAAAGCGGCAACGTGGATGCAGCGTGGTCTGTGGTGAGACGAGTCACTACAGTCAACCTTGATGCTGCCGTATTCCATCCTTTTGTGGATCTCTATGCGGGTCTTCAAGATGTGGCGAAAATGCATGAAGTCCTACAGGAAATGTACGAACATGGAGTTAAACCGAACGTAGTTACTTGGACATGTGTAATCAATGGCCTCTCAAAGGCGGGCCTCGCCAACCAAGGTGTGAAGATCTGGAGTGCGATGAGGACTGGCGGGGTTGTGACCCATGATACGCTTCAATGGAAAGTGGATCCTTTAGCGGATGAAGAGCTGCAAGCTGGCTGCGGTCCTTTGATCGCTGTCGTTTTTGATGCATTCGGGTTCGGCGACATGGTAAAAGAAGCCAAGCGGTATTGGGCTCAATTGAAAAGCGAAGGCAAAGCCTTGAATGAAAATCATCTTGCCAGTTACGTAGAGTGTCTCTCGCGGTGCGGCTTGGTCGATGAAGCTTATGATATTGTCGTGAAAGGCGACGGTCCACAGGCGGGAACGAAAACGTTTGGGACATTGTTGAGTATGCTGATGAGGGAGCAAAGATTAGATTGGGCTAGAGATGTTTTGAATCTTATTGAGCATCAAGGCGTGTGGGTAATGGATGCTGTAAAAAGGAAGTATCCTGGGTTAGTGGAGGACATCCTCAGTGTGGAGGTGATTGAAAATGGCACTAGGACCCATTATTATCCGGATTAATCCAGTTAATCATATCGCATAATCAGCACCCCCTCTATTGCTCAAAACGGTGTGGCAGGTATTGTAATGTTTTTTTTTTTTTTTTTTAAACTGCGGTGAGGCGCATGCTGAAGGTCTATAAAAGGGGACCTGCTCCCTCTTCCCTCTTGTTTCTTTACCCTCGACTCGAAGCATCTGCGCAACGCTCACGCAGCACTCTCAAGTCCATCATTATGAGAATACAGATGTGGTGGTGCCGAGGACCTCGCCCTCCCGACAAAAACAACATAACCCCTTGCAAATGCTGCTACTACTACATTGCTACGATCGCAGGTATGCATTATCTTTGTATTTTCCCACGCGGATTATCCAGTCTAATTCCCATTACCTTAGTATCTGAACATCCTCCGACTAAAGAATTTCGGAATCAAGGGCTTAGTAGGATTTCTCTCGTGGTGGTGGGCTTAGTTGCCCGGTTAGAACCAACCGTTATCGCATGTGTAATTAGGCCTCGTGGTAGTTAGCTTTTCACGTACCCCAGTTCAACCCAGGCTGGAACCTGTAGCGAGTTAGGATAGGGGTGGGACTCGTTTGCAGGATAGGTTATGAAGGGTTGGACAGGCTGGCTAATTGTAAATTAGAACCGGCTGTAGTGGGTTGGAGGGAGAATCTGTCCCTAGTGACATTTTCTACCACCTGCACCCTAAAAAAAAATACATGATCGACCACTGCTTACAAAACGAATGGATCGGCTGAAGCCACACTTGTCTGGATCTAGCCATTTGATCCTGATATGATCGGAAGTGCTGAGGTGATGCCAGGCGTTTGCCAGTCCTCATCTTGGCATAATGCTCCACATTGTGCCCCTCACAACGGCGGTACCGTCGACAGCTCGTCGTCTGTTCAGTCGACTACTTACAACGAGCGTCGCGGCCTCACAACTACCTGCACTCAAATTGTTCAACAGTGCTGTGCGCCGTCAGCGCAAAACGGCAATAGTATCGCAAGGACAAGAGTACAGTTACGGACAGTTGTTGGAGGATGCAGTGGCGTTGCGCAATCGAGTAGGACATGGGTATGTACCTTTGAAATCGTTCCGCGTATCCAAGATTTGGTAAAACTAAAAATACCTGCATATATGTCAGAAAAGAAATTGACCTGACATCTTCGCGACGCATAGCCTTCTTGTTTCCGCGAAGTTATGAATATGTTGTTGCACAGTGGGGAGTATGGAGTGCGGGAGCTGTCGCTGTGCCTTTATGTAGGTGACTGCATATCGATAACTTGCTCAAAAAAGTTTCCGGAGGACTAACATCGCCACAGGTACAAGTCATCCAGTTCCAGAACTCGATTACACTCTTACGGATGCGGAAGCTGATACAGTTATCTTTCATCCGTCATTTCGGAATCGAATTGAACCATTGCGGGAGAAGCTGAGATCGTTGAATTGGATTGAATTGGATGATATACCTGTACGCAACACCATTGACGATGTGGTCAGTATTGTCGCGCACAAAAGGGCGATGCTGGGCATACTGAATAAAGTACCATGATGTCAGGACAGCAATTTGACCAGGTCCCCTTCCTCAACTCAAATGGAGCTCTGATCATCTACACCAGCGGAACGACAGGTAGGTAGACGACCTGCATTTTGCGGTCTGAACATGGTAAATAAAACAAGTTGCAAGGAAAACCAAAGGGTGTCCTAACGACTCATGCAAACATTGAGGCACAAGTTGAATCACTCCTGGAGGCTTGGAAGTGGACTGAAGATGATAAAATTATCCATGTCTTGCCTTTGCATCATGTTCATGTGAGTAGTCCTCTTCAGCATGGGGGACTTCCTGAGTTTTTTTTAGCTTCTGTCCTCTGACTATTTTGATACGATACAGGGGCTTATCAACGTACGTGTAATCGCCGGTCGTTTGACAAACCATGGGGGGCTTTCCTAAACTTGACTGAATGAAGGTCTTGACTTGTGCTCTATGGGCCGGCGCTACTTGTGAATTCTTGGAGCCATTCAATGCAGACGCTACGTGGCAGCGTTGGATGTCTGAGAAGAAGGACCTATCGCTCTTTATGGCGGTCCCAACAATATACTGTACGCTGTGAACACTAGCTCATAATTCACAACATCACACCATTAATACGTACGCTTCCAGCGAAGTTAGCGCACGCCTATCACTCCATGTCTCCTGAAGAACAAACTAAGGCAACAGAAGCCTGTCGTCCGTTCAGACTGATGGTGAGCGGTTCCGCCGCCCTCCCTGAGACGGTTTTCGCGGAATGGGAGCGTATAAGCGGGCATCGGCTGTTGGAAAGGTATTATATGTCATCGTAGTAATGGCGTATTTTAGGGACGGAGAAAATGAACGCCAGTTTCAGATATGGTATGACGGAGATTGGAATGGCTCTTGGGAATCCTTATGAGGGTCCACGTATACCGGTGTGTGACGTGAAACGGTTGACAGTATTTTCAGAACTCATAGTATTTGCTTACATGAGCAAAAGGGAACTGTAGGCCGCCCGTTTCCGGGGGTGCAGGTTCGTATCGAGAACGAGCATGGACAGAACGTCGTTGACCAACCCGACGAGGCCGGAGAACTAGTCATTGGTGGACCACAGGTCTTTAAGGAGTATTGGAATAAGCCAGAAGCGACGCGCAAGGAGAAAGTGAACGGCTGGTAAGAACCATGACAAGTTGCACTGTCCATACTCCACACTCAACGATGATTTCTGGCCAGGTTTCGCACCGGCGACATTGTTTCGAGATCCCAAGATGGCGTGTTTAGAATACTAGGCCGGGCTAGTGTAGATATTATCAAGACAGGCGGCTATAAGGTATTTTGAAAACTGATGTGGTCGACATGTCATCAATCGACTGGTGCATAATCTGTTCCACAGGTCTCAGCCTTAGACATTGAACGAGAAATGCTTGAGCATTCCGCCTTTCGAGATGTCGCCGTGGTGGGACTGCCTTCAGAAGAATGGGGTGAAGTCGTGGGAGCAATGGTTGTGCTTCGTCAGGTTCGTTCTACACGTCCCCTGCGCACAGCGGTATCAGCAGATGAGCATTATTGATTCTTTCTATTCTCGCACAGGGGCATACTATAGAGTTAAGCGATCTCCGCGAATTCCTCAAAGAACGGCTGGCTTCTTATAAAATTCCTAGGGTGCTCAAGGTGGTTGATGAACTGCCACGTAACGCGATGGGAAAAGTTAACAAGAAAGCTTTGAGGGCATTGTTCTAGTGCAGCGCGCATTGTCCAGCTGATAATTAGCAGGAGTGACTGTATACCATAGCTGTCCTGTTGCTGTATCTAGGTCTTCTTGAGGCGGGGCGAGAGAATAATGACGAGGGTTTATTCGTTTGTTTTTAATGCTGACGGGATCTCGGAACTCAATGGTTTCGAACCGACTCCATCCACCACTCCATCCACCTTGCCAGCGGAGGTCGGCGAACTTCTATCTTGGCCGACTTGACGAAAAATGCCATTTCGCCGACATCCTTTCCTTCCCCGCTTCCAGATCAGCCATCAACTCTTTAGAAATCACAAGATATACATTGGCGCCAGGGCAATGTCGACTTGCACGAATGACCAACAGGCACGCAAATCTGATATTACATGCTCACTAGCGGAAATACGGGAGCGCGTGAAGCAAGCTGAGCAGAAGCGTGGGACGGGGAAGGAGGTATGCAATAGAAAACTGGGCAAGTACTTGACAAATCTTGCTAACGACTTGGGAACGGTAGGTCCGCTTGGTAGCAGTCAGCAAAACGAAGCCTGCGAGTGATCTCTTGATCGCGTATGAAGCAGGTCAACGGCACTTTGGGGAGAATGTGAGTCGCTGATTCCGGGGCATTATCTAGAAAAGTGTAGAATAGAATGACTGACAAGCTCTGTGATTTTTAGTATGTAAGTTTCCTGGGCTGAAGGTCGTGCGCGTTCCCAAGCTTTGGCTGAACACTGTTGGGACGCAGGTCCAGGAACTCGTAGAGAAAGCCGCACAGGTAAACGTGCACAATGTCTCTATGTTCATGTTTCTTTTTCTCAAAATATCTCTGAAAAGCTGCCCACCGACATTTGCTGGCACTTTATCGGGACTCTTCAATCCAATAAATGCAAAACCCTTGCTGCTGTGCCGAATCTGTGGGCAGTCGAAACTATAGGTACGTAATTCCTTGCTGATATTCACCGATTTGCAAGTCTCTTCTCATATTTGCTCTAGATAGCATTAAAAAGGCTGATATGATGAACAAGGCCTGGTCCGGAAAGAGTCAACCGTTACGAGTATTCGTGCAGGTGAACACGAGTGGCGAGGAAAGTGAGTTGAGAGAATTGAATATTTTGTCAACCGCTCATTGAGAATATACATGTGTTAAATGGGTTGCCGTTGCACAGGCAAGAGCGGATTACATCCTACCGAGTGTATTGCGGTAGCGGAGCACGTTGTGACGGCATGCCAAAACTTGACCTTGCAGGGATTGATGACGATCGGTTCACCAGATAGGGATGCGGAGAGTGAAAATCCAGACTTTGTGGTACGTCAAATCAGTATTACCGCTGATTCTATCCTTTGTTAACCCTACGACAGTGTTTGAAACAGTGTAAAGATACAGTCGACCAAAAGCTTGGCTTGGATGTAGAGCTCAGTATGGGGATGTCGGACGACTTTGAGAATGCTATTCATGCCGGTGCGACCAATGTGCGAGTGGGCAGCAGCATTTTTGGTTCACGAAACTATGCAAAACGATAAGGAAACGTCAAGATCTGCTGCAAATCATATTTATTCATCACTTTCTTACAATCTACCTTTACCTACAGTTTGTTTGTATTGCTTACCTCACCAATGACACATGATTACGTGATAACTGCGCTGTTTTGATTGGCGTCACAAGTTGGTATCATGTGCCTTATCCATTGGCACTCCGCTCTTTAGCTTTCGCCTTCCCCCCGTGCGAGTTTTGTTGTGTGTTGGGCCCATCGATCCTTTTTTTTGCCCAAAGGTTTTTTTGGCTATTCCATGTTTACGGCAGGGCTTTCAACCCCGTCCGTCACACCTCCACAAACACCCCCCAAACAGTCCCACGTTGCAACTCGTTTGGCCATCATCCGAACATCCAATCGTCGTTGGCATCTCCACAACAAGAACCAACTGACCTGCAGCTGTTTTCACTAGTCTATTCTTTTTTGCTTTTATTTTCCTCTAGCCTACTTTTCCTCCATCTCGTTTCTTTTTGCCTTACTTTTGAGACAACGATTTGGGCGCTTATCACAGACGACAGGGGACAATCACGAGAACCTGGATCGCGAATTGGCTTTCTGTTGTGAATTATATCACGCTACAATTCCTACGACGCTTTCTCCCTTTCTTTTCTCGACCTCCAGCGTTCTGTTTCCTTTAGCCTGTGCGCAGGGTGCACAAGGACGTTGATAGTAGAAGGATAAAAACTACCTTTCCCTCCTTTCTCAACTGTCCGCTTGAGGTTGATGATTATCTGATTCTCGCTGTAAAAGTGAAGCGGCAGAACTTGTGAATCGATTTTCATATTCTTTGAAGTGACTTGAACCTTGCCGTGCTTCCTTGTTTTGGTTGTGGTGCATTCTTCTACCACGCCAATTTTTTATTTTTGTCGAACGTTGCTGTAGCCAGGTGTGTAAGTCCGTGTACGTTTTTGTATCAGATTGTTTGGACAGCGTAGTCAGCTATATCTGAATGTTCAGTATATTTCGATATTCCCTACTACGCTTAAGCAAAAGCTTTGAAATTTACTGACTTCCCTTCATTGTCTATAGCGTTTCGTATAGGATAACTGTGTCGGCAAGTGCCTTCCATATATTGTCGTTAACGTCGCATGCTTGAAGTCATAAGCGGGGCGACGAAGCGGCACACAGGCATTCATCATCACATGCCGGCAGGTTTATCTGCGACGCAGAATACCACTGGCGTTGCCTCTTCAACATCAAGATCCTTTTCCCCGACACGCAAATTCAGCGCACCTGCAGAACATTTTGGAACAAGCTTCCCATCCCCTCCTTCACCAATTCGAAAATTCAGTGATGTGGAAGATGCCGGCTTGGCAACGGTGCGGGGATGGCGTGCCAGCATGCCATCCTCACCGACGACCGCGTTTCGGCGAGTGAGCGGTATGTAGTTTGTAATTTAATTAATGATTATATCAATTACATTGACACCGGATGTTTATTTTATAGAGGGCCTTCCTCTCTCTGTTGCTAGTTCACCATCATCTGCACTATCGTCCGCGCTGGCTGCCTCTGCGCCGAAATCGGACAATTCCGGGATGGGTATGGACATTTCTAGTGCTGGCCAACTCGGCCTGCGGAAGGTGTATCCTGTGGACTCTGAGCCGCTCTCGACATCACAGTGTCCGTTGCAGGCACCTAGCGAAGATTTCCTGGCAAGAATTGTTGCAGGATCCCCAGGTGTTATTAGTACTCGAGCTTCCCAGAGATCAAATGATGCGATGTGTCTCCGAGAAAGGGTACCATCCCATTCCTCTGTTGACTCTTCCGCTTCAACGCCTCCTGTACCGATTCCGTTCTTGGGTGAGGGCATACATTCACATCGTAGTTCTTCCTCATCGAACGTGTCTCCAGCATCCAGCTGCAGGAATCTTCATCGATATCGCAGTGATACAAACATCAGCCGGAGTCACAACACACCACGAACTCTACGAAAGTCACGACATGCGCGCTCAATGTCCTTCCATCATAGTGACGACGAAGATGATCTTCATTGGCGAGGCTTCCGCGACTCACCGCCCTCCCTGCCTCTTGTTCCCTATAAAAATCAGGTCGGAGGACACGCCTCATTTTTGCGCTTCTCCGACAAGGCAATATGCAAACCTTTGAATGCTAGAGAAAGGGACTTTTATGAGGTGGTGGAATCTACACATCCCGAAATCAAGCCTTTTATGGCAAATTATCTGGGTGTGGTAAACGTCACTTACAGCACCGCTTCGGCTGATGCCGACTACTATGGAGTAGCAGCTGGAACACCTGTTGTCATTTTGGAGGAGAACAAACACATTCTTCTGGATGATCATCATGACAATCCTGACTCGATGAACACCTCGGAGGAATCTGTTAACAGCATTCCCCCTTATAGTAAGCGACTTCAGCAACAAGTGTTCAAAGATGCTTTGTCCCCCCAGAGTTTGAGAGCCCGTTTCGCCCAGCTCAAGACCGCTATTGGCGCTATGAAACGACGGCATTCGATCACTGGTACGGAGCGACCTGAAACCGATGATGCTGTTAAGCAGAGTGGGTTGAAGTGTCAGCAGGGACCTTGGTATTCGATGGATAACGTGGCACACGATTCCTCGCCTTCAGATCCTGCAGTCTCCATTCCACCATCTGCCAACAATTTGGAAACTTCTGATGCTCCCTCGGATTCTTTGGCTCCCATTTTCCAAATGTCTGACGACGAAGAGGATAAGGCTCCGGACGCCCATCCAAAACGAGATTCTTCCAACCCCCGTCACCACCCGACCCCACCTACACGTCTTACTCGATCTCCATCAACGCCAGTAAGATGCATAGCCTCCGAATATCACGACGAAGGAGCAAATGCATCAGATGCGGACCAAGTTCCAGCGTCCGTGACTTACAATCCATGGTCACTTCACCTTTACCATACAGCTATGTCCAAGCTGGCCGAATGTGATAACGAAGAGCGAAGAACGCATCAATTTTTGCTGCTGGAAGACTTGACGCAGGGCTTACGGTTTCCATGCATTTTGGACCTTAAGATGGGAAGTCGTCAACACGGTGTGTATGCCACACCGGAAAAGCGGATATCACAGGAGAAGAAATGCGAGAAGAGTACCAGTAAGAAGCTTGGTGTGAGAATTTGTGGCATGCAGGTACGTCAATGGAGTGTGCGCATTTCGGTATCCCCATATACTGACTTTGTATTTCTGCAGGTGTATAAGGTGAACACGGGAACCTTTACATATCTGGACAAGTACATTGGACGTCAAATCAACATGTCCAATTTCAAACAGTCCCTTTTATCTTTCCTCGATAACGGAGAAAAGTACCTGGTCGGTTACATTCCAAAAATGTTGGAGAGACTTAAGGACCTGCATAGGGTAGTCTCGAAAATGCCATCGTACCGTTTTTACGCTAGTAGTCTCCTGATCTTGTATGATGGAGCATGGGCGCAAGATTGTGACGGGCAGGACCGGGCAAGCGTTCAATTGTCCCCTAGCAGCGCTGACGAAGGCACGGAGAGGGATCCATTGGACCCAACACCTCGCGAGGTCAATATGAAGATGATTGATTTTGCAAATTGTGTAGCGAATGCACACACTCTGCGGCGATTGGATGATTCTGAAACTGTGACGGACGACGGGCACCGCACACACCCCGTTCCCTTCCCACCTACCACAAAAGGGCCGGACAATGGCTATATGCTCGGATTACGTACTTTGATTCGCAGTTTTGAGGAACTGTACCGGGAGTTGGGGGGAGGTGGGCCTTACGTTGACGCGAATGGGCACGTCTCCAAAAGCGCGTTGACCGCCAGTCAGCGGATGAACGTTGGCGGATTCACCGAATCCAGCGATTTGCTGTCTCCTTCACCTCTTCTTTTGGCGGGGAGCGCTCCGACTGCTGGAGCTAATTCTGAGGTGCGAGGGCACAATACACCTTTTGTAGTCATGAGGTATAAGGATGGAACTAGTGCTGGGGCTCTTGAGGCAACAACAAAGGAAGAGCAGGGCGAGGGAGTAGGTCACGCATCGTCGCTACCCCTTTGTTGACATATTGGAGAAGGGTGGCTAGGAAAAGGATCAAGTCGCATAGGGTTAAGGCGGACTGGATTTTCTCTTCCAATCTTTTTTTTTTTCATGTAATTGTCTTTGTTGTGGATTATTGCTTTATATATTTTTCTGATTTTGTGTCAAGTTGACAATCTTTGTTGGCATTCAATATCCTGTCCTAATGATAATATGATGTGGCATCCAAACGATATTGCTTGGGGAGGTCGCGCTGCTAAGCCACGCCATCTACTGGGGCGGGGAAATTGTCTGTTGAGGACCTGTAGATCTACTCTTCTTGCCGCGATCTCTAGCGGTTTGCCGTGTACCCATCTTGTGAGAGAATAGCCACGGTCATCCTTCATATGGTATTTTGAGAGCGATAGGAATCATGTCTCGTCTTCTCTCCCTCTCGAAACCGTGTTCCTTGCGCTGGCGAGCTCAGCAATCACCTCGGCCATGGCGTCCGCACATCCTCAGTTACTCAACGAATCAGAAGGACAATGGACCATCCTTATCAAAGCCACTATTAGTTCGGCAACGAGTACATCGAGGTGAAAATACGGTTTGGACTGTCATGCAGATGCAGTCTCCCGCGTTCGTTGAACCTAGTGAGACTCTCTCACAACGCGGCTGGACCGTCGACCGACAAGTTATAAATCATCAAGTAAATGCATCAACTGGCGCACACGTTGCATCAGCATCAACAGCGGTAAAGTTGTCCTCTCCCCGTTCCATTGCCAATTTCTTGGTTTCGCAAGTCCGCGATAAATTGGCGATGGGATTCTTACCGAAAGGCTATCCGCATTCTGTGACGCCGGATTATACGCCCTATACCATTTATTCGTTCCTGCATTCAGTGTCTGGTACTCTGACAGGTACGCTATCAACGCAGGCCCTTTTGCACGCGCTAGGAATGGGTGCAGCAGCGGCCGCCGGTTTGGCTGCCACAACGAACTGGATTATAAAGGACGGCTTTGGTCTTTTGGGTGGTGTCATATATGCGGGGGCGACCGCCAATCGCTTCGATTCTAGTCCGAAGCGATACCGATTTCTAGCTGCTGTAGCGATTCAGGTGGCGACACTTGCCGAGCTGCTGACTCCCCTCTTCCCGCACTTGTTTGTACCTATGGCCAGTGTATCAAATATCTGCAAGAACATTGGATGGCTGGCTGCGAGTGCTACACGTGCATCCATGCACAAGGGTTTCAGCAAGGAAGATAATTTGGGAGATGTCACTGCAAAAGCCGGAGCACAAGCTACGACAGCTGGTTTGCTCGGAACGGGCGGCGGTATTTTGCTGAGCTGGGCATTTGGAACAGCACCAATGAGCCTGATGACTATCTTTGTTCCTCTTTGTGCGGCAAACATGTGGTTTGCCTATCGAGCAAACGAAGCTGTCGTGACACGATCCATTAATTTAGAGCGGTGCGAGTTAATCATGCACGATCGAGTACGACATGCTTTGAACGGACATGATGCACCTCCACCACGTTTGCCGACCCCAGAGCACATTTCCGCGCAAGAGCACTTTATTTTCCCATATCGCTCCATCTTTTCCACACCGCTGTCACTCGAGCCGTCCCTTCAGCGCCGTCTCAATTCCCTCTCAAGTCCATTAAACTGGCAAGCATTTCTTTCGGGAAGTATGTTTGGGTCACCTGGGCACAAAGAGGAATACCGGGTTCTTATTGTTCCAGGTCCTACTGGCGGCAAGAAGCAGCACAGTATATGGACGCGCTTCACATCTACCGCACCTTCCAATTCTGGAGTACACGTCTGCTGCTGGTACACCGAAAACGCGAAATCCGAAGATATGCTCAAAGGGTTTTATCATGCATGTGTCCTTCGAATGCTATGCGAGTCCAGGACGGATATGTCGGAAGAAACTCGCATGCACCTCGTACGACAGGGCTACGAAGTGGTAGAGCGATCGTTTGGGGACTTGATGGAGAGCCTTAGAGCGGAGGGATGGGAATTGTCGCACACGCATTTGGGTGATAGAAACGCAAGAATTGACGTTGGCCATTCAACGTAGAATTTCCATAGAATCATTGAGACTCACTCACTTTTCACACCGGTGCTGAACTCTTTCCTTCTGCGACTTTGAACTGTGCAGTGGGTCGTTTTGTTTATTGGTATTCCACGTTCTTTGCCCATCATCCTGCATATCAAAAACGACTTTTGGTCGCCGATCATGTTACATAATCATGAGTCATGTAGCGAAATCCCCTCATGTCAAAAGGTTTGTTATTCACTTGCCATGAAAGTATTCCAATGCCTCGTAGATCCCATAAAGGACTCGCACAAATCTGCTTTCTACCAACCGATCCGCCCTGGTTCCAAGCCCACCTCATAACGTCAGACTCTTCCTCCCTTTCCATTCTCGGCACCCCAGCACCTCCAGACGCTCATCCACCGATTCACAGTTGTTGCGCTCCCACACCCTTTTGGGCGCTTCGTATCCGGGAATGGCAAAGTGATGAGGAAGCTCGATGTATTGTTCAGCAATGGGGAGGGTTTGAGTCGGATGTTGTGGAGCTGAGTAGTATTTTTGTGGGATGTGAGGGTGGACAAGAGGTTGAGGCGGATGAGGGAAGGGTGGAGTTTGTTACGAGTTTGCTAAAAGTTGAAGAGGTGAGTCAGCGAGTTTAAAAACTGGGCATACGCTCTGGACTCTTGTTAATGTATGCGTAGGATGCAGAGAAGCACATGAAGCGGTAAAACTACAGACATGTAACATGCTTTATTTGGGTGTGCTTACGTTCAGTCCTTCTAGATACTTTCGTCAACTCACACCAACGACCAATGCGACTATATGTCTGGGTCAGATGTCTCTTGAAAATGTTAACTTTCAACCGTGCAGTTCACATTCAGAGAGCGATGATATACCGGGAACCGTGGACGATGAAGATGAAAGCCATACTGAGTGTTCTATGGATGAGAGCAGGCATAATTCCGATGACAACAACCGAGGATGGTCAGATCGTGAAGGATTTGACAAAAACGACATGCTCAATGCCAACTCTGACGACAATGATGCAGACAAGAGCGATACGGATCACTCATTAGCCCGACCAATGTGGAATGAGCTGGATGCCCAATTTTAAAACATCAAATACATTGCCTGAAATCTCTTGCAGCACGTCTTACCGACAAAGGTGGAGATAACGGCAGTTGCAATTGAAGAATGCAGGAAGTGCACGAATTTTTATTATTTTTTTCAATGCACCTGTCGCCCTTGTGCACCCGTCACTTGCGCTAGTCATCGCCATGTGTGCATGCCCGCATTCGCACATTCAGTCCTTCTGTTAGTTCCATTTTACACCCAATTATAGTGTTCATTTTGGTCCCTGCGGATACACGTTACCGCCAACGCCCCCCATTGGCATCGTGGGGTTAACCGGACTAGTACCCATATACGACACATATGGGTTAGAAGGGAAACCGTAACCACCAGGCTGGAACATGGGCGAAAACATCCCGCCTCCACCCATCAACGGCGAGCTCAACTGCGGTGCTATAGCCATGATCTTGAATTGTATGGTCAGACCTCGAATCATACCAACGTATAATCCAATCTCGGGGGGTGGAGGAACGTGGTTTCCGTATTTCTTCTCCATTTCCCCACGGAAGGGCCGCAGAATTTCCTCCAACTGCGTGCGGTATTCATCGGGGATGGTCTTGAACAAGTCGTCCCAACATTCGGCGCTTGCTTGAACAGCTGATGGTGATCTTGGAGGAAAGAAATTGGACGGGATGGGTGCTGAGAGACAGATGGTCAGATAATGCCGAATACAGCGACATTTGAAAGATTTCAACACATACTTGCTACATAAAAGTTGCGAACAGAGTAAATTTTGTTCCCAATTTCTATGATTGGCGGGGGAATCGGCGGAGCGGGCATTTGAGCGTGGACAGTGCCCGTGGGCACTCCTTGCAAGTGCCTCTCATCAGGTTCTGCGGCCAGGGCAGAACTTTTCTCCTGGCTATCCTGGAGCCTGACGTGCGGCAGACGTTGCTGGACTTGATCAAATTGTCCGGCTGCTTGCTTGTCTTGCAGCATGCGATCCGTTCTTTTTTGTTGCGATGTCTCAGGAGTTGCAGGTGTCGCAGAGCTAAGATCCAGCATTGATCGCTTTCCTTTGTCCAATTTTGTTTCCAGCGCGAGTTCATCAGTAGGACTTAATTTTGACAAGTCCAAATCAACCTCATCTTCATCTTGGGGACTTAATTTTGACAAGTCCAAATCAGCCAAATCTTGGGAATTCAAAGCTGCGTCTTTGCCAGTCGTGGCGTTACGCGCTTGCACCTGGGATTGCGGCTCCACTTGCACTCTGCGCGTACTTTGCTCTGGCGATGCCGCCTTCTCTTTCAGACTCGGGATGCTCTGATCCAAAGTGGGTTTCTTTCCCTTCTCAAAATTTGATTTCAGCGCCGCTTCATCATTCATAGTTAACTTGGTTAGATCCAAATCAACCTCCGGGGAATTCCAAACTGTATAACATGAATTCTGTTAGTCACAGTTCTATGCGCTCCCATTCGCTTTTGACCAGTCGGACCTTGCTGTTGGGATAGTTCTTCCTTAATAACCTTACGGGTATCCTTTTGTTGGGCCATGTGCATTAAATCTGCATACTGCAAAGTGTTACGATGTTACTTGGGGATCAAGCGAATGTTCAAATGTTTAAAAACAGCTGTGGCGGAAAGCAACTCACGGTCATGCCCCCATGATCGGTAAGGGAAATGTCAAGTTTTGGCGCTTTGCCAGGGATTCTGTCAGCTATAATGTCAAACTCCTCAGCTCTCATGTAGACCTTGCCATGGGTTCTTGCGTATTCGTTCGAGTTGAAGGTAGCTCCCTCTTGAATGCCAGTGCCAGGACTGGAAGTGGAGTCACTTCTTTTGGGCCGAGTGGACGACCCTTTTGTTGGAGTTCCAGCTACACGAAAAGCCAGATCCGGGGGGCCCAATGGCACACCACTCTTGCTCGGCAAAAGAGGTATTTTGATTGGTCTTGCAGACCGCACATTGTCGTCTTTTGACTGGGACACTTCTTCCCATGCATGTGGTTTGTTCATGGCGATCTTGTGCTACTAATAAGCTAACACATACCGATTAAGTCTTTCTCGCTTTACACGGAGCTCTCAGACGCACAACAAAAGGCCAGCATGGATAGAGAGCAATGCATTATGTCGCCTATTGCGAATTGAGAGTTTAGCTTACCTCGTAGTGGAGGACAAAAGGGTTGCCACGAACGTACAACCGTCAGCAGGATAAACGAAACCTGCACCAGGAGACGAACGGGCAGGTGAAAACGTTAGCCTGATGAAGTAGAAGCATTTGCAAAAGCACCTCGTCCTCAACTATTTACCAACCCAAAGAAATAAGGCTTCCGGCGCAAGTTCTTGGGAGCGTGGGAACTTTTCCAGACTTTGGAGCTGTCAAAGACCCCAGGATGAGTAAGCAAGTGGCACAGTCATACACCCTTAAAAACGATGAAGACGACTGAATTTTGATCATTCGGCAGGAATTTTCTAGCATTTCAATATGCTACGAACGTAACTGCATTGGTGCACAATATCTGGAACACGCATGCTTATGTATTAGTGCTATCGCCGTCGTTGGGGTTTGGGGATAAAGATATGATCGGTTTGCTTACTCATCAAAGCAAGACGCGTAGAGCCGGGCGGGTTGGTAAAGTGAGCACGAAATCCATAGTCCTAATATATTGCAAAGTATTATGATACAATGATATGTAATATGTAAATGTCATTCCAAGTTATCCTCAAGTAGTCCCGATGATTCAACATCAAAGAGCACTTCATTGTCAGGTTGTTTCTGCTTACGATCCTTCTTTCCTTTGAATAGAGATGGCTTCATCATTGAAGGGCGCGGAGGGTGAGCTGGAGCTACTTGCAAAGTTTCGCTTTCTGATGGAAGGTTATGCTTGCGCTTCTGGAAAAGTTTCTCCCGAACTAAAGCTCCAGTATTGGCTAGGACAGCACGGAGAGCCTCTACGTGAGAGCATTGATGAATATGATGCTCTTTGTACGGAAACGAAATTACCAAGTGTGCACCTCGTTTAACGGCATCAAGAAAATCCAACCATGTCCAGGTCTTATTCCGAAACTCGAGGGTTGGCATTCTGAAAGCGAACATGTACAGATCTTCAATGTTTTTTTCTTTCGAACCCTAATTTACGACTTAGTCTTATTTCCAACACAGGACAGAAAAGATAACGAACGCACCCGGTAACTCAGGCAATGCTGTCCACCAGGCATCTTAATGTAAATGAAGGAGCGATTTTCGGATGCACGGGCTTGCATTTGCTTGAGCTCATTGACTTTATGCTCTGTCTGCGTCACTTTCAAAGCCAAGTCTTCGCGCGAATCACTCCGGTTGCTTCCTCCTCGTTGATGCCCGTAACTAGAAAAGGCGCCAGTTTTGAATTTTCGGCGTCGTTCAAAGGTGGGTGACGCTTCGTTCTCGGATGCAGAGCCGTGTTTGCTGCTCGTTATCGATGCGATATCCTCTATGGCGCCAGACGAATGTCGGGAAGACTCAGAAGCATTCGACCGGATACTTCGCACGGTCAGCTGCTCTGGATCAACCTTAAAGCTCTTTCTCGAACTCCTATCCTCCGTATTACTGAGAGCACCATTGTCCTTTGCTTCAGCCCGAGCCCTTTTCTCGGGAAACAGATAGTAGACGATTTGTTTGGCCATATCGTATGTCACCTGAATCAGTAAGGGGAAAATATTGACTTCGAAATGGTCCACAACTTTGATTCCAGCGACAGGAGCCATCTCGCGCCAGTATACTCGCAACATTTTATGACGCGTAAAATCAACGTCACGCTTGTCCGGGTTGTAAGCGGCGATCACTTCTTTGAAGGCGTTTGGTGTTGTCATTTGATTCTCTACATGAACCTGATCGATATGCAAAGTATTTATGCTTGATTGATCTTCGTGTTGAATCCAGGTAAACTGTGCAACGTCCAGCGTCCACTGACACATAGGGGAGTTATCGTCCGCTAACATGCACCAGACAACCTTATCGACCGATACAAATGTCTGCCAAGATATAGCCACTGATTTGCGCTTTTGCTGCAAAATTTGCAGTGTTTTCAGAGCATTCACAATGACAATGAGCTCGTCTTGATGGTGAACCAGGTGACGTTGCAATTCCAAATTGCGGACCGCTAGTGCGCTTTCGTTTGGAGACTGTTTATCAGGCGTTGGAACTCCCCAACGAAGTAATGCATCAGCATGCCGTATCTTTTGCTGAAGGTTAATTACCGTCTCTTGCACTTTATGCAGATCATCCATCTGCTCTAGAACAAGCATCATCTTCTTCAGGCGTTCCGTGCGCTCCCCTCGAACAGGATCTCGGTATATCAGCAGGTTTCCAATAACATCATGGATTATCATATACTGGGCAGCATTGGCAGAAATAATAAACGTTGGGAAATTGACATGTAGAGTCTGGGTCAATTCGGGGCTGTTGATGGCTCTATCGGTCTTGAGATAGAGTGGGTTGGGCACATCTCGGTGGAAACTGGCAGAGGTGCGTTCCACCACCCTCTGAAGGTAACCAGAATGTGAAGAGTGATCGATAAGGCACTCGATCGGGACCCATACAGGCCATGGTCGTGCAGGGTCTTTAGCCGTTGCTGGATGTCGCTGCATGATGATATTGTCCAGGTCAAACTCGGGTGCCTCGTCCAGATCCGCCTTTCTCACGACAAAGAGTTGGGCATTTTGAATGCTGAGTATCGATCGCGTTTTGATAATTTGTTCGTTTCGATCACTGTACTCGTCAGGGGCTTGTGCAGAACAGGCTTGAGCATCAAGAACGAAGACGGAACGCAGCTGCATGCTTTCGGCGGCTACCACCACCGTTTCCAAATGGCTTGGATCGTTCTTTGGTTCCGCTTCCAGGTTCACCTGTGGATTAATAAGCTGGACGATGTAGTTACTTTCATACGTTTGATTCTCGGCAACGTAATCGGGTGAGTCGGGCTCTCTTGATGGTATATAGGCCTTTTGACTAGTAAACGCCGACGCTGAACCTCTGGTCGGGCTAGCACTGACGGATTCGTCGTCTTCGACTTCAGCTTCGTTCGGGACTGTGAAGTTTGTATCCAACTCTGACAAAAGCTTCAAGAGCAGTTCTTGCGCCATGGATGCATTCACATTCTTGACGGCCATCGTAGACCGCTTTGATCGTGATGGTGCTGGTGCCTTTGGTATTTCGAGAAGCGGATCAGAGAGATGGTCAACCAGCTCCGCGCCTCGCTTACGGTCTGCGACAGACGACACAAGTTGACTCATAATTCTTGTCGCTGTGCTGGACAGGCAGTACTTGACCGCTAGGCGCTTCTCTTGTAGGGCGAGCATATTGAAGATCAGGTTTCGCACTGCTTTTTTCCAAAGGAAGTTCACGTTATGAACGATATAATGGTGTTTGAACAGCGCAGAGGGTGGTAATCGCGCATCTGTGCGACTGAGAGTGGAGAAATCAAGTCCATCTGTAGTAACAAACACATGAATTTGTGATTTGTGACGGTTCGAAACATGGCTCGAAATTACCTCCTGTGTCAATTTTCTTTTGACAGGTCCGTATATATCGCTCGATGACTACTTTCTTTTCATGTAATACCGCCATTTTTTCTACAATGATTTGTGATTGCTATCAATAGAAATTGTAGTTAGCGCGTTTGTTGCCAACTTCCAGATATTGCAAACGGCTTATACCTGTCGGAGAGAGTCGTCAAAGAAAACAGCCATTCGGTATTCCAGACCCTTTTGCACCTCCAAGTAATGTCGAATGGAAGATTCGATCTCTCGTAGCCGATTTCTGAAGAGCGACATTTGCGCAGCGTAAACATCTATAACCAACAGAAAAAGGAATCAGATCAAGAGGGATATGAAAGGGGTCAGAGATCCAGAAATGCACCTCTCCGCATTCGCGTATTATCGTGTCCCGCCACCGTCGTTTGGTCACTACGTCTGAAATAAATGATTCGGGGAGACCATGCGAATGGAATCATCTTAACATTTTCCGCGCTGTCGCAATAACGGTAGTCCTGCGTAAACAGCCATTCTCGGGTATCATTCGCATCATGAGATGTATCCGGTGTCCCCTTTTCCGCGTCTCCCTCCATCCCCTGGCCCAATGATATGACCCTGACCTCGATTTCTGTGAATCCCATCTCTGACGCACTGAGATTCCATTTAATGGTAGACTTCCTAGTGAGCAGCTCCTCCTTTGGACGACGTTGCTTGATTAAATGTTGGATCCAAGTCATATCAACACCCATTTTTTCCGCACGACATCGAAGTCCAATCGCTCCGTTCCCTTCCTCGACTTCAGCTACGAAGCCAAGTAACAGAGGGTACATCGTGGTTACAAGTTGCAAGGTGCTGATCACACGGCCAAGCTTTTGCTTGGAAGGAGCTGGCCCAGTGCCCTCTTGGAAGATCTTGCCTCGACGGATGGGAAGGCTCGTCAATACGGACTGATACACTTGAGTGACCATGAAAAAGCGTTCCAAAGTATGCACACTCAAATTCAGGCAATTCATCGGTTCTGCCAAGCCAGAATAGAAAGGTCTTGGTGACTCTATCTTCAGCGTAACATGAATGCTTTGGGTTCGGAAGCCTTTGAACGAATCCCATATCTGGAGTAATCCACGTGGTAAGCAGAGTTATTAAAACATTGACCTCATCCACCGTGCGTATACCTCATATGGATGTTCAGAACGACAAAACTCTGGTGCCCGTAGCACCAGATCGGTGTGGACCTTCCGAACCAGCGCTTCTTTCCGACCTTTAAGCTTCTGCTGTGGAAGGAAGTCAAAACCAAGAGCGATCCGTGCTCCGCCTGTCATTCTTGCAATCACATCTGCCTGACCACAGTCGATTCCCGAGGAGGAAGCAATCTCATGTCGAGCAGTTGGGAGGGAAAATGCCAATTCCCCACACTCTATTGTTATGTCTTCCCCAGCCTGCTCGCTACCGTTGATATCCACGCAAACACCGTCCTCCAAGCAAATATCCACGCCCTCGGTTCCCCAGTGCTTTCGTCGATCGAAATAAGGTGATGTCGAACCAAGGATGCGACATCGGATATCACCTCCTCCAGTGATATTGATGACATTATGACCATGCAAAATGAGCCGAAGTTTATCCCACCAGCCGATAGGAGCACTAGGGTCGACGTTTGGCTTGGTGAATGTATCAAAGACGCCCATCACGTCGGCAATTCCGGGTTCGGTTGCAGCGCCCCAGCACAATTGGATAGTTGAGGATGTTGTGATCGTGGTGTTAAATGAGGTATACAACTTTGTCGGGTTCACGGTTCGGCCTATTCGCAGCGGTTCCTCCGCAATCGGGTCAAGAGGAATATATACGGTACGCTTTGACTCGGTTCCGGACGCTTGTTCAGCGATAATTAGCAATCCTTCTGTTTTCCAGCTGGAAGTAGCCGATTTTGGAATGTGCACGATGGGAAGCGGATAGTCTCTAATACGTAGAGACATTTCGCCTAAATTGATTGTGACATCCCTCGGGATGAGATCGTCATAGAGTGCTCGGGCAGGGGTATTGGGATCCATTTTATGTAGAGACTCTTCGACAGTCGATGCAGGAAGAGAGGGAGCTGACAGGCGAACAGATAGGTCGGTGAAAACAGCAGTCATCAGTGGAGGGAACCAAGCGTCTGGATGAGCGTGTGAGTTCCGAATACGATCAAGCCAGGCTCGTGAGTTGAATTCCTGTAGCATCCACCAAGCATTTTCAACTTCAATAGTTTTCCTGTGGAAACAGCATTATCAATAATTATAACGAAATGTTGCTCCCGATGAGCACAAAAACGCACCCTGTTATGGGGTTATAGTGATATCGACCGTCATCCATGGCTCGTAAGGCGGCGGCTTTCTTCTGAAAGGCCTTATCACGAGCTAGGCGGCCTTCTTGTTCTTCGGATCCCAGTAGGTAATTTCGCGAGAGAGCTGATTCAAAAGGATCATCCATGAGTTTAACTACAATCCGAACAACGGTAATCATGATCACGGGAATCTTCTCTGGCACGACATGAGTACGGCCATGGGCAGAACAGTGGGTTTTCGCGCGCATTCCCAAATGCCTGATGAGTAATAATTTAATCCCTTTTTGCAAATTGATGGAGTTTTCAATGATCGTTGACATTTTGAATCCATAGGGGACCGTGAAGTTTAGAAAGTTGATCTCGCAATTGACGACAGTTGTGTGTCTGACGCCTCCATTTATGGCCGGCTTCTTCTCAATCTGAAAAGTTGCATCCTTCACCAGCAGGATTTGGCCATGTTTGGGCTGCTCATGTTCTAGTAGTACATCCAGAGTGGCCTTACTGAGGTCCACACGTGTCGCACCGTCGTCCGTTAAAGTGATTGTAATGGGATCGAAGATCAGACGAACCGGCACTTCTTCTGGGAGGACAATGTTAAGTGTTACCCTATCAATAGTAACCATGCCTCGTTGCTTATTTCGCGACGGTACTGCTTCCACGTCATGGTTCTCCGCCTTCTCCACACTGAAAAGCTTCGCAAGCTTGACACAAAATAATGTGGCCATCAGACCTACATAGAATGTTTTCATACTAAAGTGTATGGTGACTTCGTCAATCTTTAAGTTTGGGCCGGTGGGAAACTCACTCGGCTCTGCGTCAACATATAACTCCAGTCGACGTACGTCCAAGACAACGTCTTCTCTGGTCCCAGTGGCGAGAGCGTTCGTATCAGAATGACCTTCTTCATTTAATTCACAATCACTGATACTCCGTAACCGGATATCATTCACCTCCAAGCGGCTCGAATATCGCGTCGCTGTTGTAGTTGTTGTTGTCCTTGCTGTTCTTGACTTTTCCCTTTTGTCGCCCTCTCCCGTGTTACGCGAGCTCTGCAACAATACGTTCTCTATCCGCAGAGCCAGCGCATTTTTCGTATCCTCCCCAACGACAAGGCAGCGGATTGGAGCGGTGGCGATTTGCGAATAGATGCTTATTTCGAAGTTGGATGGCTGATTGGGAGTTGGGCCTGCACGTTTCTTGGGCATAGGAGGAAGCGTCATGATCATAGAGCTGAGAGACGCCATAAGGGTGAAATAGTCGATACACCCTCCACATGTCAACCGCGAAAGATCCACTGTGGTTTCCCCAATTTTACCGTTCACGTTAACATGGAACCGTGGAATGCCTTGGTCGTTTCCGCCGGGAGGTACTAAGTGAATAACCAGATGTATGTTACGCATCGCAAATAGTACATCACGCAGTTCCGGTGGTGTTTCGTTTATATCATCGTGGCTTCCGCGAGTCACTGCTATTCGTAGGCGTTCGATATTAAAGGATGTCTCAACAACTAGTGGAAGTTCCTGTCCTCCACGGGTCTCAGAACCCTTGTGTCCCTCTTCCATGGACGCTGGTTGGGCAACAACCTTGATTTTCATCTGTATGTCGTTCAGGGCAATCGCCACGAAAGCAGTCTCATTAGAGGTGATTGAGGTTTGATAGCTGGTAATTTCGGTCACTAGCATGGGACGCGACACTTCCAGATCGGCAGTTGGACGAAAATGGCGAAGTAAACCTATCGAGATCCTGATTATCTTGGCAGTACTCGTCTTTTTTATTGTGGTTGTAGGAGGTTTGGAAGGAGTGTGCGTTCGTTCTCTTGAAAGCCAATAAAAGAGGCATAACAATTCATCGGAAAGGGCAATCCGGGGGGTATCAATGAAGCATTTCATTCCGATATCGAGCCAATAAGGCGGTTCCGTATTCTCTCTTATTCGCCGTGGTTTCATATCCGGTAAGGGGAACTGCAGGTCAAGGCAGAGTGCACGAATGAACAGCAAGTGCCAAGTCGGATGGTCCATATTCTTAAAGTGGAACAAGTCTACATAGATGCCGCTGACCGCAAGTTTCAAGATGATGCAACGAGGATGGCCACTCTCATCCTGTAAATTACATGACAAGGATATGTTGCTGGCCGTGATGAGTAACGACGGAAAAACGTTCTCTCTCTGGTAATCACGAAGCCCGTCCGCTGCTGACGGGTTGAATGTGACGGAGGTTCTCGTACACACAACATGAACAGAGGGCTTAATATCGACCATTGCAGCCAGCTTCCATGGGAGACTCGCCAGTTGAAGGATCGCAACCTTCACGTCCATGTCTTCCTGCTCATCTCGGCCCACTGGCCCCGACATATGCAGCTGATCAGAATCCAGTTTTTCGAGACCGTGCCTATGCCTCGAAGTTGGTATGCTTTCCGGGAGATCTTCTCCGTTTTGAACCTCGTCGTGCAGTCTTCGACCGATAGAATCAATAATCCGTCCCAAATCACTGGCTGACACGCAAATGCCATTGAGTCGTATTTCCAGGTGAGGACGCTCAATACGGCCCAGCACTGAAATATGCGCTAAGAAGCTGATCGTGCTGGTGCTATCCGCAACGAGAAGTTGAATCGGCACCTCGGTCGAAGGAGAATGTCCTGTTACGACAAAGGGTGATATAGTGAGGATACACGAGAAGTTCGGTGGTCGCACTTTTGGTTTTACGGCATCCGCCGGTTCTTCCCATCCATCAGAATCCAAAGCAAATTCAAGACTATCTTGGTGGTAACGTAGCATCTCTTCTCCGTCCTGTCGGTGGATCGAAACATCCAAATCATCGATACGGATGTCCACTATTTGAGAAAAGATGTGTATAAAACTATTTCGCAGCATTCGCCCCAATTTATCCAGACTCTGTCGTAAAAGCTGAACTCGAGCATATCGAGAAGGCTGTGATCGTCCAGATATGACGGCCTGGTCGGTTGTGCACAAGATCACCTTTGGCGTCGTCACCCGGAGACTGATCCAGGAAGATCGCTTTTTAGTAGGTCGGTGAAATTCCACCCACAAAAGATCTACATGTAATTGCACCAGTTGTAGACGACGATGCCCATTATTCTTCCCTCCCCGTTTGGCTCTAGCATGTCGAATAGATTCAGCGAGACTCTGTTCAAATCCTGCGAATTGGTGTGATGGTGCATACGATACTCCAGACACAGATGTCAAGCTGATGCCCGCAACGCTAAAGCCAAACCGGTTCTTGATTTCCTTCAACACACGGCTCCACAATAGTTTGAAAAATACATAAGTCACAAAACCCAGGGCTATCGGTAGAATGAAATGCGGTAGTGCCGCCATGTTTGTGGGCAGACGATCCGAGGATTATCTTCTAAAATCAACACTTAATGGGCTGTAACGTGGAGCCGGTCGCTCTGGCCTCGCAGTGGGAATTACTCACATGTCATAGAGCTTTCCGTTTCCCCCAACCCATTCAACTGCCATCTCTCCAAATCTTGTAATCCCACGAATAGGTGCAGGTTGGAACTTCTTGCTTGGGGGGCTCAGCTTCGCGTCTTTGACGTGATAATCAACCGATCAGCTATGGAACCCTTAATCCTTTGGTTTACACATCATTGCCTAGTCATTCCGAATAAACAAGAGTTGCAAAGGCTGGGGAGGGCAAGGTTAAGGAGCGAACATATTCGCATTTGCCAACAACAAAAACATCCAAAAAATCTTGTAATTTGAAAGGACGGGGATGCAAAGTGAAGAATGACCAAGTGGGTAAATTCATTGGAGCATCAACTATCAACAAGCTGACTGTTGTATAGGGGTCTATAGGGGTCAATGACAGCAAAAGTCATCTAAACAAGAATAAAGTTGAACCTTAAAATAGATTTGATTTGTGGCTAGACCTTTTAACTTGAGCTTAAAAACCAAATCCCGGTCCCCAGGAATTTGACCGACAAAAAAGCCCTGGGCAATCAAGAAATGTACCTCGTTGATGATCCCGCCTGTGTCTATGGCCCCGCAACAAATAGCTCAACGTTTGAGGGACCTATTGGGTCTTATCACGGAGCCTCTAGAGCTTGTAAAGGCGTCAACCTTCGCTGGCTCACCACTCTTATTCCATGTATAACGATCGCTACAAACATCGTCAACGCTTACTTTTCATATCACCTTCTGCTGGCCCGACGAAGGACTAAATACAACGGACTGCTGTTTCTGCTCCCAATCGTGGCAATTTGTGGTTCAATCTTTGACTTGATGGCGGGAATAACTTACTTTCATATGTGGGGAAATCCTGACGTGTCCCACCTCTCTAAAGTTTGCTACTTCCTTGGCAGCTTTATGATTGCGTGGGTGCAAGAGTTTCGCATGGATTTCCTCCTTGTAGCGTATGGGAGACCCAGGTCCTTTGCGCGAAAGGCAGTGATTGCCAACACTCTTATCGGCATTGTGCTCGCTGCGCTGACCCTCGCCTCTTGGTTTCTCGGAAGGTACGGACGAGCCGTCCCTTTCGGCTACGGACTACCGTAAGTAGATATTGGGTTAACAGGAATTAATGGTGGCTAAGGATATCACTCTCTGATTTTCAGCTATGCGATTTGGTTGGCTTGGGTCACAGCAATTGATTGCCTATTATCAGTAGCTTTGCTACGCATGTCGTACCAGCAAACGGCCTTGCTGAGATCGTATGATAAGTTAACGATATCTGAAGTCCAAACCTTTGCGCATCGTTTCAAGATTGCCGCCGTGGCTCAACTGCTGGTCATCGTCATTGCGACTGTGTTCTTTCAGTTTTCGTCTGGGAACAATACGATGGGTTATAGTTTGGGGATGTTGACCACATTAAGTGTTCCAGCGCAGATATCGGTTATCATCTATTCAATATGGACTTTACAATCCATGGAACGTGCTCGAACTGGTGCTCCTCGTGTGAACCCATCAACGAAGCGGTCACTGCAATTTCTGAACGTGACCGATTCCGCAAGGACGGCCACCAGGACGACGTAGGATGCCTTGTTTGCTCACAAGTAACGCGCAGTGAGTGGTTGGGAGGCACGTGACCAAGCGTTTCGTCGTCGTCGTCGTGCTTTTTAAGAGCGTTGGCCGACGTTGTTGAAAAGGAGAACGTTGCCAGATGGGTAATGAAAGGAACGCTGCTGAGGGCTTTGGTTTGTAGAGATCTCGGGCTGGAGCAGGACATGCGAACGGCGATGGGCCACCAAATAGTGCAGTGTACTATGCATCTAATACCTTCATAATAGTTGATAATTATTTAATAGCTATTCGCATCTAGTATTGTAGAGGCTTTCTGCCATATAGTTTCACCCCAACATTGCTGTGTATCTTTATCCATTCTGCATTTTCGATGCATGCACTCGGTTGGGGTAATGCCAGTATCACGTGATGCACCTTCCATCTCGCCCCAACAGTCTTCTCCTGGTTTCCCCTCGTTGCGGCCTTGCGAAAGACAACCTCGATAATGCAGCAGGATTGTTGCGTCTTGTAGGTATGTATGGAGTGCGTTCAGAGTAGCGCATGGTTCAATGCGGTCATAATAGCTTTCGCCTAACCTGCCGGCTATCGCCTTACTTAGGAACAGGATGAGTGGACTGTAGTCAAATAACAGATTCAATCAAACAATCTAGACCGAACTTACTCGAGAGAAGAGTTTGGCTGGTACAACGTGCCAACCGGGAGTAACCATTCTGGGTTATCTGGTGTGGTAGCAGGGGGCGCGGACGATCTAAGGTAAAGGACGTACAATTCAACTACTATCGAATACATTCTTGGGCAGTTCAGTCTGTAGCCAGTATGACCATAGTGGGCCGAGTTCGTTGTAACTACCAACTTCATAAAGACATGAGCCGCAAATATACCTGAAACCACCCGTGAATCGCGAATAGTCTCGACGACTGTGCTCACCCGCATCTGTTTTCTTTCCGTACTATGATAGGAGAGCGAATATGACAACGGCGCTTACCAAAACTATTTTGGCTACGCCAGAGACAGACCTCGACCATGTTCACTCATCCATCTCTTCATCTGCTGTCGGTCCTGGGTCCAGATTACGCGGTTCGTTAGTCCATCGTAAGGTTCTACAGTCCTCCTCTGGCGACACGGCCGTGCAGACGTCCACTGCGGGGCGTAGGGTGTCACGCTTACGAGCAGAGAGAGGAACTACGGTAGATTCAGAAGGGTCAAATGATGCATCTACATCCTCTTCCGTGTCTTGTGGGCGTAGACGGTTGGAATTTGTGGACCTCTCCGATTATGATGATGTCCTCTGTGACATTCTTTTGGACTCGGTCTATCTAGGTTTCCGCACTCACAAGATGAACGGGGAATACTACGGGGTCCCTGAGCAGGGTCACGCACGTCTATCTAAATCCGGCTCAGAGGGTCAGAGGCAACGGCCTGCTGGGATTGATCGCACTCGGATTGATAGTGACGCCTTGGCAGCTGTAGTTGTGGATATTGTTAGGGACCAGATTCTTGAGAATAAAAGCATCGATAGTGCCTCTACAGCGCTAATGAAGTGCCTGATCGGACCGGCCTCTATCAAATGGTATGCTGGCTCAATGGTGTGGCCCATACCCTTATCATTATTATTCATTTTAATCTCCTTTCCAAAGTGACGGGGCGCCATCCTCCGTCATTAAACGGTCTTTTCAAGCTTTTCGGCCTTTTTTTGAAGGTAGATCTAGAGACCAGCTAGAAGACTTCCGAGAGTGAGAATGACAGTCTTTGTTTGGTTCTGAAAACGACCAAAAGCTGACGTTGAATAATACTTGCAGTCATGCAAAGCGGTATTTGGGCATGTATCATCCTGCTGCTGGTTACGAGATTGCGCAGACATCCCGGTATAAGTCATCGGGCAAAGTTGAAGCATGCATTATAGCTACACGAGAATTCAATGCTGGAGATCAAATCCCACATTGCACTGGTGTTATCGCTGAGCTGGATGAGGATGACGAAGAGTACCTCGTGAACAGAGACTTTAGCGTCATGTTTTCAACAAAGAAGGATTGCATGTGTCTGTTCCTTGGGCCAGCACGATTCGTGAATCATGATTGCGATCCAAACTGCAAGGTAAATATGTAGAGATCAGAACTGAATGTGAATTTTACTGGGTTGATAACTGGTGATTTTGAACGTCCAGTTCATTTTGCTTAATGAGCGTGCCAATCTCATTTGCTTCAAAGTGCTGAGGGACATAAAAGTAGGCGAGGAATTAACGACATTCTACGGAAGTAACTACTTTGGAGAAGATAATAAGGAATGTTTATGTGAAACATGCGAAAGGTACTTGGACACGAAACAGCTCTTGATAGGAACATCTTCTTATCCGGATGGTAAATAGACTTCAAAAAGGGGGATTCACACCAGCTGATTCACTGTCAGGCGTCCTTGGTGACGATGAATACGAGAAGCCCATAGTGGCTAAGCTCCGAAGGAATCAAGCCCGTACCCAAACCTGGTCCTATTATCGGAATGTTTTCGCGGGTATTGATTTTGGCGATAAAGGCAATGGCAGTGATGTGGACATGGATGGTTCTGCTAAATGTGGCACCTGTGGTGGTGAGCTTACGGAGGACGATCTAGCTGCCCCTCATTTTCGTACGTCGAAGAATGCACCCACAGGCGCGAAAACGTTGGGTAGTAAAGAATGCCAGCGTTGCGTTCGTCATATGAGAATCTTTGGGGTGAAGTGGCCCACCCGAAAGACAAAGAAGGGGCGACTGCCGAATCTCTTAACGAACATGATCGAAAAGGTGCACATCCTACTCCGATTGAAGCTATCCTTGAATCCATTCTAATTCGTATTCTACGACGTAGAGCACTGGAATAAATCCAAGATCAGGCTCCCGAAGGAAGTCAAGTGGCACCCCAGCTACCTCACGAATCTCTGGAAAGCTACCCTCTCAGGCAATCGAAGGAAGAGGTCGGTCTCGATCACGATCAGTCATGACGTCTGAGGATAGTGATGGCCAAAAAGAACGCCGCTCGACTTCGGTTAGCCTAAACTCGTCAAGATTGCAAGCTGTCGAAGCGGCTGGTATGGACTGTTTCTCAGAGTGTTCGATAACATTTCTTCACACATTACTTTCATAGACGGTCTGAGAGACGATTTGGGGTCTGATATCCTCGATAGCATCCGTAGGGCGAGACGTACCAAGCGACAAGAGGGAAAATATTTCGAAATGCTCCATGGACCAGAAACCAAAGTATGAAATTGTCTAGACTAAATTTGCACCTTAACATATTTCTCACAAGTCTGTACTTTTAGCGCAAGCGCGATGCCGCCATCCAAAAGCGGGAAGAAGTCGCAAAAGTACCCGGAAAACTTGTGCCAGACCGTGGGTGTTCCCTTCAAGTGCAGACTTCCCCATCGTTTTGCAGGTATTCACAGAAAATGGTTGCTTTTTCCTAGTCGATCAAGTACATGCTGTCTTCGTCTATCCGGACGATGCCGCTTACCCGTATTGGTGGCCAGCAATGGTGAGGTGCAGATGATCAGCTTCGTTATCATGAAACTAGCACTCATCGGATGCTTTACACCTCTAGGTGGTGCCGATTTCGGAGATCGATGAGAGCATGCCAGAGGTCGAGCGACCGAACCAGAGGATTGTTTCATACTTCGAGAACCATTCGTTGTAAGTCCGCGTGAGTTAAATGTGCAATATGGCCGATCTTCCTTTACAACTTCGACGATACAGTTCAGCGGTGGATCCGCAAGAAATACGCTTGTTCATCCCAGATGAGGAGCCATATCTCACGTTTTCAAAAATCCCCGGATTTGGTAATGACAAGGCGGTGAAAAAAGCGTTAAGATTCATCGAAACTGGAACGTGCAAAGGATGGCACTGGAAAAAATGGGGTCTCAGCGCAAAGCTGAAAACCGATGATGCCAACGGGAAAAAGCGATCTGGAAAGGTTCGGTCAAGGGGATGCCCAATTCCTTGCCCTTTCACTAATGATGGAACTTCCACTCACTCCAGAGCGTGAGGAAAAGTGATCCTGGGTCCCTCCGTCGAGCAGTGCATAATAGCCGAGAATACTCTGAAGGTCCAGCTGCACTGATTTCTGGTTCCGAGAGTGAGGCTAGAATATCTAGACGGCGGCGAGGAGGACGTGCAGCAGAGACATCCGGAAAGAGTGCGTGTTGAAGTTTAATTCTTCTTTTTGTGGATCCCGTTTTGAAATGTCCAGGTTCTATCCTGCAGATAAGAGTGCATCCGCTACTCCACCTGAACTTGAATCTGTGGATCAGGCCCAAGACAATGTGTCTGACGGCCCTCTGCCCGTCTTGCGAACCGTTCCGCGACGCTTGCGGTCGTCATTGCAGATGGGTGCGAGCAATCATGGCAGAATCTCTGACGTCGCATCCATAGATGGTGGGGACTTTCATGGTGAGGAGCTGGTTGACGTGGAAGGCATTTCCGACAGTGCAACTCCTGCCGATGAAGAACATGCGACATTCGAATCGGCCGATGTGTCTGCGTCTGGGCTTATTATTTCAGACGTTGCCAGGGATACGATTTCTGCCGAACAAACTGGTTCATCCTTCATAGCAGAAAACAAAGCGCTATGCACCGTTTCGCCGTCAAAACAATCAGACGGCTTGTTCCCTGAGACCCTTTCTTCAGACGAGGAAGAGGAAGAAGATGAAGTGGTTCTAGTTCATGTAAAAACATTATCACAACGATGGGACGGTCTAGCGGCGCGTGGTCGATTCAGGGACGTCATGAATTCCCCCTTCACTCAATTTGCGCCGATCTTGGCGAAGCATGCCAGCCGGCGCCCTGCGCGTGTGTCAACTGCACAAACACTGGAACCAAGTCAGCCAGTGGATGAGAGTACTATGCTGACTGCCGCTGGAAGGCAGGTTCTTCCGAATGTTTTGCGACGGTTGACATTGCATGACCATGACAATAAGGGTCCTGGTGGTGACGATGTCCTATCTACATTTACCGTCTACCAATCTAGAAAGCCGGCTGTCGCTACCGAGAGTTGTCCGGTGAGGAATTCACCAGAAGGACGCTTTGCCCTGCAAAAGGATGGGAACGATGGAGATGTTCCTTGTTCTGGTGATATGGCACTTGCTCACAATATCCGTTGTACACAATCCCGACCATTTCAAATCGATCAATTATCAACGTCCTCTCAGTATATGACCGAGCGCACATCAAGTCAAAACCAGCCATGTTATCGAAGAGGAGACTGGGTGATAGCAGAGATAGACGTCAAGTGGTACGTGGCGCGAATCGTTGATATTGCTGTCAACGATGAGTCCTATCTGCTGCACTTTTGGGGCAAGCCAGTTAGGTAAGTTATCGCAGATCCCTTATATCAATCACGGCTATTGTAAATATATGTTTCCGTACAAACAGCGCTGAGAAATGGGTAAGCTCTCTCTTCATGCGCCCGTTGAAAGAGCGAGTTGTAGCAAAAATGCAACCAGAATGCGCAGATGGTAACGTAACGCACGGCCCTCCTGTAACTTTGCTGGCCCTTTTAACACAAAATTGCGGCATAGGGTTTCAGACGTGCCAGGTGGAGCAAGAGCTCGATCGGATTTGGGACAGCATGTCGTCCGCAGGTACGTCTCAACCTTTCTTCAGTCTCGTTGCATTGTCTCATACATGTGTCAGTACCGGCTAGCGGTTGTGATAGAGGACTGATCAATGTCAGTACTGGAAGTAGCGGCAAACAGCGGTCTCGTTTCTGCGACGGTACATTAGTCAGTCCACAGCAATCTGGTCGAAACGACTCTGATGGACCTCACCGCGATTTGACAAAATGCTCAGGAAGACAGGAGAGTCTCGATCGAAAATTGAAAAACATTACAGCTGCCGACGTTTTATGGACTCGCGGTGATTATGGGTTTGCGAAGAATCCCCGGAACAGAGCCATACGCTGGCGTCCAAGTACGGCATATGCACAATACCTACGAAAATGGCAGCAGAGACCGGAAAAGGCCTCGAGTGATTCAGAGGATGAAGATGTTCGGTTTACACAAACTCGTTCAAACCAATATCGTTGTCGTTCACGGAGCGTCAGTTCGGCGTCTGACGATGGGCGGTGTGCACGATCGAAGCGCTTGAGGCATTCTTCTAGAGAACAATATGGTAACTCATCCATACCCGGCAAATCCCAAGGCAGAACTGCTGATGAATCACCTTATGTTATTCCACCAACGTGCCTTCAAGGCGGAGTACAACGTAAGCGATTTTAGCCAGACGCCCTTCTTATCTGTACCTGGATTTGACCCGAGCTCTCCTACAGCGAGAGATAAAGCACGAATTTGCAGATTCTATTCCGGTCATCCAAAATCCTGTAAATATGGAGAGCGCTGCTGGTATGATCCTTTGGTCCGTCAGCTGGTGTGACAGGCAGCGGCTAATGAAGCACTTTGGTCACGTCACAGGAATCGTCATCTGGAGCCCAATGACTCGATCAATCCTGGGACTCATCATAGGATGTCTTCTGGTAGAGCACAAGAAGATCTAATGGAATCCGATTCGGCGGTACTGAATATCGAGGCGTGCTTTCCTCTATCCCATGGAACTGAACCAAATACCCCGTCAAGACTATCTAAATTGACTGCTGTCAATGTCGCGGATGCACCAGCTGCATTTCCGGTGGCGCTTTTGATTCCCGAATGCACCGACGTTATAGACCCTAGGACATCCACCGCATTCGGTCCGGGGTATGTACCCAATCCAGGACCGATTGCAGTGCAGAACGGCAACATTTCAGCATGCAACGACTCACCGATCAAAGAGGACCGATATGAGAAGAACAAGCAGGTTTTTTACCAAGCGGTACCTGAGATAGACCCGGATCAAGAGGTGTCTACATACCTCACTCAGGTACCGGAAGCTCCCACAGAGGTAGAGATCCATAATCCTGGAAACCACAATACGTGTGTTCCTTTCACCACCACCGCTCTCAATGAGCATCATGACGACAAAGCGACCCGACCCGCATCGTCACATTTGCCTGGAGAACTCGCGATGAATTCGGGCAAGCAATGTGATACTGGCAGTTGGACGGTAGCGCTAGACGCTTCACTCCGGTTGCCCCAGGATGCATATATTGAGTCAAGCAAACTCGCGAATATTCCTTGTCAGATATCTGGAAGAGATCCGACGGGGTCATCACCTCTTCACGCCGGGCCGTGGAGCGCATACACTTCGTCGCACAGTAATACTTTGACGGTAGGAGCTCCTCGTGAGTCCGTATCGTTCTGTACGCCTTGTACACCACCTGGAACACGTCCCATTCTACTTCCCGACCGCAAACGAGCAAATAGTACGAAATCCTCGATCCCGAGAGCAGTAGTAGGGTCTCCCACCCCGGTGCGATATCATGGGATATCTTATTCTGTTCCTCCACGACTGCAGCTACCTCATGATTACATGGACGTTTCTGGTGGCCAGCTAGAACATCGCCGCAAATCATCAGAGACTGGCTGTGGAGGCGGACACAAGCGTCGAAAAACAGAGGTCTACCTTGAGGAACTATCCTTTGCCACCCTTCCGTCACCGCGTACCGATACTCCGTCCATCAGACACAAAAAAGCCATTATTCAAATCAACTGTGAATCAGCGTTATTTAGTCCTGTCGAAGCCCCGATCTCGTCCATGGTGCACGACGCAAGTGAGTCGAAACTTGATTTCTTAACGCGGGACCAGGAGCTCAAGTTGTTGGATTCACCGGGGCGGATGTGCTATAGGGGGATGACAAGACGTCAAATTGACACGCCAATGGAAGATGATGACGCCTCCACTAGCAGGAAGACCATAGGAGCTTTGCCGAATCTGACATCGCAGAGTGATGGGAACGACCCGGACGTACCGGAAGACAATGTGGCATTGTCAAGCAAGATGGATGCTAATGTCGCAGATACCAGGGACACAGTGAACGCACATACGCCCTCCCAATCTGTATTGCATGGAGATCACCGTGGTAGTGTCCGTCGAAAGCGTGGTAGCACCTTGGAAATTGTCATTGATGTGTCGGATCGGCCAAAGCATTATACAAGAGCTTTAGTATAGAGTTGTGTGCACCTGGTGGTTTTTTGCTGCACGTCCGGAGATGATTGTAAATAACCTGTAAGACTAATATTTATGTAAAAAGAACAAGTAAATTCTAATTCCTTTAAGCAATATTTTCGCTGTTTTTATAGGTGGGTAACGAGAGAGAGAGTGTGTGTGTACTACAATTCCCGGTTACTACAAAAAAAGAAACTCAAAAGAAGCTACCCTTAACCCTAAATCTAAATTCCTAAAAACTTACTACTAAATCTACGAATGAAATGGGAGGTAATGATCATGTTTTTTTAATGGAAGCAGGTATTGCGCAAGCCTATAAAAAAACAAAGGAGGAGGGGCATGAGCTTCTTGGACACACCAAGAACAAAACTACTTTTTTTCTTGCCAAAACTTACTCTGTTCGTGCACAGGCATCTCATGCTTCTTGAAAGTATTCAATTCCTCCCTAATCTGCACTTTCATCTGTGGTGTCAACTTTCTGAACGTGGCATTTCCGTCCGGTTTCCTATTATACTCGCTCTTCCTAAAGGTCGGCAGCACTTCTACCGTTTCTGCAAACATTAGAATTCTCCTCTCAGCCAACTGCTCTGGGTCTGGCCGTTCACGCAACCGCGAATCTAGGGTATCCGACAATTGTGATTTCCTTAACCGTTCCTGTGCGGCAACCAGAGAAGGATCGATGCCTCCAGCTTTTAAAATGTTTAATTCCTCGAGGGCTTCCTTTTCTGGTCGTTTTTTAAGTATGGAGCGTAAAGAATCTTGTCGTTCTTCGAAATTCAAGGTTTTTTGTAAATCCAACGGACCGACGGGTGTATTCCCACCAAACAAGCTGGGATCCGCGATATTTTCATTAGAATCAACGCGAAGGATGTTGCGGAGTTTAAGATCGACCTTGTTGGGTCGGTTTCCGATTTTTCTATTGAGTGTGTCCTTTGTTTTTTCGGATTCGAGGGCTATTTTTTGTTGGATGATGATGTTTGAGACGGAGGGGTTTAGGTCGTCTTCACGGAGGATGTTGCGTTGCATGAGTTCTTCAGGGCCTTGTCGGCGGGAGAGTTTTTTGCCTAGGTCTGTTTATGCATAAAGGTGATAAGTAGAAGTTTCTTGAACCGTCTGTGGTGCAATGTGGGGGAACTTTTTGCTTACCGGATACTATCCTAGTGAAACCTTTCCCTTGCATATCGCCGTTGAGACCTGCGATTCCCCCTGGGCCGGCCATGGCCGCTGCTACGGATGAGTGTGAGTTAACAGCTGCAGACTCCATTTCGTTTCGGGGCTTTCAAGTAAATAAAAAAGTGGAGGGAGGGGAGGGATGTTGTGGTAGAGAGCGAGGAATGTGGACGGTAAAACTATCACGAACGGAAAATCGACCAAGTAATATGTTACCAACAGCAGATAGTCCTTGAATGCCAAAAACCCTAGTCTACAATAGAGGGAGGGGGAAAAAGACCATATGCACAATCCTTTATAAAGCAACAGCCATGTCAATGATACGGAACGAAAAAGCCATTTGCCATGCAATCCATGCCCAAGTCTAAAAATAGGAATGGATGACAGTAGCAAAAATGGGGTTTTTTTACTTTGATCAATTACTACGCTTGTTCGATGAAGAAATCCGGTTGAGGGATGGGGGGAATGGGTTGTGTTGACGAAAATAGGATACGATAGACATTTTAAATAACTCGAGAGGCGCGATCATATTGCAAAGGACAATCGGTATGCAAAAAGGGTATCGTACTTGTCCACACGAGCTCTTTGACTTTTTTTCTTTTTAGAGTATCTGCGAGTGGAGGAGAGTTTATGGTGGGGGTTTTGCAACTTTTGGTACCGTGATAGACGAGATGTTAACTTGAGGTACATCCATAAACAAGTAGAATATGGAAGAAATTTTCCATAGTAAAGATCGCCAATGTCGCCGGCGTTCGTTGTGAGGTGCAGGAGAGATCTATGGAAACCCGTCCTAGTAGCTACTGAGTTGTCTCCCATCGTGGCGTACTGTGTTATGTTGTTATGTAGATAATGTTGATATTCCTTTCGGTCATTTAATACCCAACGCTTGTAGAATAAACGACATCATTCACGGCGACTCCCTTCGAATCACCACTGGGTCCATATGGCAAACTGCATATCAAACAACTTTCAATACAAAAAGGAGATCACAAAAACTACTGATATATTCCAACAAAACAAGTATTTTCTTCAACAAGTTGGAACACTGACCAACTCATTTTATATTGTGTTCAATGTACTACTACGCTAACCTAATCCTACGAATAAAATATTCAAGATCCATCTAGGTCTCCCGCTTGATCTCCCACAGTGCGATATGGTTCCTCAAAACTGCAATCTGCCTTTCCAAAGAGTCAAGCAAGCTGCGCGCATCCCCAGGTGCCATATTCTGGACCTTTGACTGGAAAGTGTCCAACTCTGCAGCTTGGAACAGGCCACTGGGTACAGGTTGGGGAGGGGGCGAGCGGCGAACCTCGTCGTCAGAGCTACTATCGTCATCAGAATCACGGGGTCGCTTAAGAGAACTTGTTCCAGCCGGGGTCGGAGTTACCGCGACCGGAGAGCTCGACAGAGGTATGAGCTGGACAGTTGTTGACGAACCGCTAGTTGCCGTTGGAACAATTACGGCGTATCCATTTCCGCTACCAGATGTCACGACGGGTAACTGAAGAGTCGATTGCGCTTTCTGGCGCACATTAGCCGGGCGATGGGTTTGATATTGCTTGTAATACAACCCTGAGAAACAGTCTTGATGTTACTACCACGTGCCACACCAAAATGCACAATTGTCACTTATTTACCACATGCATTGCACAAACTATGCAACCGATCTGCGGTTCGCCTCCACAAGGGAGTTCTATTCGTTCCACAGTTGTAACAAGTAAGGTTACGTGTATTCTCGCGTATCTTCTTTCTCTCCGCCTTGGAAAGCTTTGCCAGGTCAATGGACGGTAAAAGCTGGATATCAGAAGGTTGAGAAGATGTGGCAACAAAGGGTGTTCTGCCAGCCACGTGCTGCTGCAAAACAAGACTCTGAGCCAATGCCGCTGCGGCTGTGGCAGTCGTGTTGACAATATCCAACTGGCTTTGAGACGCAACGCCAGTCCCATTTGCCATCGCCAAGGCGATACCAGCATTAAAGGCAGCCAAAGGCGCCGACTTTGCAAGCTCCGAAGGAGACTGCGAGATTTGCGGGGTAACTGACGTCAAACGAGCAGTTTGCATGTCATGCAAACTGACAGGCGGCGTCTGTTGGGAGCCAACACGCGGCTGGTCCCAATCTGCTGCTGTGGTAGTGAGAATGGAACTGTTGTGAGTCGTAGTCACAGGAGTGTGCTGCTCGGAGGTACTGGCAGTGTCGACAAACGGCCCTGCGCAGCTGCCAAACAAGGTTTCCGAAATCAAGTCATTCAAATCCGTAAAGTTGGGGAGATCGTCTCCAAAAATGTCCCCAACCAACGGTTCCTGCGGCGGCGACGACACGCCATCAGAGAGTATAGGGCTCGTAGCATCACGGCCTGCAAAATGGAAACTTGAGAACTTTGACCTTTTGCAGTAGGCCAACGATCTAATGACATACCCTGGTCGGGCCATGCGCTGAGGCCACTATCGCATCCAAGCAAGCTCCAATCAGAAGGGTACGACATGGTAGCTTCGGATGTCATTGTTACAATGTTTTATAAATGTACCAAAGTGTACAGTTTCGGGTGGAAAGCAAACGGTTCGTTGTTTGCAGTGTGTTCGATGCAGTGTCCGTAAATCAATCGTTTGGCAAGTGCGGACAGGTAAGTGTGGCCGATAGGAAATCAGAAAGTGAGGTGCAAAAGGCACGTAAAAATCGGTATATGGGAAAAGGTGAAAATATCGCTTCTCAGGTCAACAAAGTATCTTGCAAAGGTGTGTGCGCTCGCTCCTCGTTCAATCGCAATCGCAGCCAACGTGGTCGCCAGTGACAGTGAAAAAGAAGTATGCCATTTGAAGCTAACAAATAACAGAGTGAAATAGTTGCAGAGTCCACCTCGACAAGGTCAATGAAGGTGGGTTCCAGCTGTGTTTATGAAAGAGGGCGTGCACACTCGACAGAACAGCGAGTTTCCGGCCGGCCCAAAAGTAAGAAAAAGAAATAGAAACTTGAGAAAACAAGTATAAGACGAGCGAGAGCGAGAGCGAGGCAAGTGAGAGCGTTTTTGCGGAGCGAGCAACAACAAGGAAACCGTTCCCCAGCGCCGCCGCAATAGTGCAATCGCGATTCAAGAAAAAAGAGAATGCACAGAGCTCAGCACCTCAATTTCGTACGATGCTGAACGCTGCAGAGGAAAAGTAAACTCTTACGCCGAGAGCGTTGGAAAGAAAAAAAAACCCAAATCGCTCAGATGCTGAGCGCTTTTTGTACCGTTCGACGGCAGAGTCCCGTTGGGGGGGATGGAAAGATGCCCAAGTATAAAAAATAAAAAAACGCGCTGTGACTAATGGGATTATCACATGGAATTCCTTCCGCAATTTCCCGCTTCTTTAAATGACTTTCATCGTCGTCGTTCTTCTTGAAGAAATGTTATTTTGGCAAACAAAGGACTATAAACAATAATTGTAAAAACACATTGCATCTAATCATCATCCAACTAGAAAAACAATCAACGCTCTCCAATGTATCCTTCCTTTTCTAGCAATAAAATAATTTCATGTACAATTTGAGAAACGGGCATCTTGGAAGCATCCACTCGGATATCAGGCTTTTCAGGTGCTTCATAGGGATCATCAATTCCAGTAAAGCCTAATAATGCCCATTACGACAATTAGTTGGCAGTTAGAGAAAGATGGTGAAATACACAATATTCCTTACCCTTGATGAGACCCTGTTTTGCTCGCTCGTATGTGCCAGACCGGTCCCGCTTGATGCAATCATCCAATGGCGTTGCCACATGCACAAGGAAAAAGGCACCCGCCTTCTCCACAACCTTTCGAGCTTCATTACGAGCAGCCTCGTAAGGGGCAATAGGAGCAGCAATCACAGCACCCCCGCTCTTTGTGATCTCGCCCGCGACAAAGGCGATACGGCTAATGTTGAGGTCACGGTCCCGCTTGGAAAAGCCCAGCTCAGAGGAGAGCTCTGAACGAATCGTTTCGCCCAAGAGCAAAGTCGTTGGCCGCTGTCCACCTTGGTTCAACGACATTTGCAACGCTTGAGCTACTTCAGCTGCACCACTGTTCCAGTAACCGGTAAAGAATACAGTGAAACCTTGCTTGGATCGTGGCGGATGGCTCTCTCGCAAGATTATCTGTACTTCGGGATATGTGAACCAATCCGGGATCGGGGCACCAGTCTAAGAAAATCAATGAGATTATGCAATCGGAAATGCCAATCGGACATGAATTTAAATCTACCCTCAATCTCCGTCGAAGTTCTGTTCCAGAAATGTTCAAGGTCTTGACACCCTCAGGCACCTCATCGGCCGGAATATACTCGTCAGTCTCGGGAACGTAAGCAACCATTTGGAATGGCACTACTTCAATGTCGAGCTCGTCCTTGTACTTTGCGACCAGGTCCTATAGATCGAGCAGCATTGATGAGATTCGTCTACCAAATAGAAACATTATCCATAACCCTATCCTACCTGGGCATCGTACGGGCCATAGAAATCCTTGCCTTGGGAGTTTTTGCCTGGACCAGCATGGTCACGTCCCACAATAAAGTGAGTGCACCCTGACCACAAACCCATCGAGTGAGTAAAGGATTAAAGAGGTTTGGCAAACTATGCAACATACCAAAGTTTTTGCGGATAATGGCGTGCCAAAGAGCTTCGCGTGGGCCACCCATTCGCATCGCCAGAGGAAGGAGCGACAGAGCAGCCATTCCTTGAGGGTACTTTCGAAGAATCGCCTTGTAAACACGCACACGAGTAAAGTGGTCAATATCACCAGGCTTTGTCATGCCAACGACTGAGAAAAAAGTACTGATTGTTAATGATCAATGATGCAAGACTTTGCCAGGTATAGGATAAGGGGTATACCTGGGTGAATGAGAACATTGCATTGTCTCGAGCGCGCGGCACGCACAGTGAGCTCACGGTGAGCTCGGTGCATGGGGTTTCGTGTTTGAAAGGCAACCACACGCGTCCAGTTCAACTTTTTAAAGTAGGCACGAAGCTCCGCGGGAGTGTCTATCGATACACATTGCATGAGAAACGATGCCAAGCGGCACTTGCAAGTTTACGAGTAGCCACTTACAGCGGGTTTCAACGTAGTCATAGTGTGCAGGAAGGGAAATGGCCTCAAGAGATCCACCAACGTAGTGATCCTTTGCGACGTTGTGCAGGTAGTGGACAGCAGGGTGGGCCACGTCGTCGGCACCAAAGATGGCAATAGCTTCGCGCTTCTTGTCGGGAGTGTAAACATCTTGCACTGTAAACAAAACCAGTGTCAGATCGGCCAAGAACGCGTCAGTGGAGCAATCCACGATCTAGTGGCGAAAGATGCAAATGCTTACCAGTCAAGATGGCGAGAATGCCGTCGTTCTGAGGGTTACGAAGGGCGACTCGTGATCCAGCTTGGAGCTTGCCATCAGATATCTAATCTTTACAATTTTAGAACTCGATCTGGATTTCATACATAATGAAACAAGTGCTCGTACCTGCTTTTCGCTAAGATCCAAAGTGATGGGCATCGACCATACCAAGCCATTGGCCAATCTGACATTGTCCAAAACGCTCTCATAGTCCGCCTTGTTCATGAACCCTTCCAGAGGCGAAAATCCTCCATTCAACAGCAGCTCCAAGTCGCACAATTGGCGCTCGTTCAATACAATCGAATAGAGCTTTTCGGCTTCCGCAAGGAGCTCCGCCTGGCGAGGAAGGTCCCGCGCAATAAGGTCTTTCAGGCTACCGCCGTGGGGTGTGTTGGCCATTGTATGTGTGTAAAAGTTTGGGCAAGATGGAGTGAACTGTGGGGGGAAGGACGAAAACGCTGGGCCTTTTTCAAGTTGCCTTGGCTGACTAAGGACGGATGACGAATCCGATGGTTGATCTGAGGCTTTGATTGGCCGACTGGTCACGCAATCGTCGGCCAATACGCGCGTTGCTTTTGGGACTTGCAGATGAACTTACGCAACCGCCATTGGAAGACATTTAGCAAAAGATGAGAATATCGCCCTTTTTGTTATTTCATGATATGTCTTGTGGATATGGATAAAGGTAATAAGAACAAGTGATGGACATTTCCTGGTCATCAGGCATTGCATCCGAATGAACATGAATGCCCCTTGCAACCGCTCGCATTTCTTCTCATGAGCATGTACAATGCACGTAAGTGCTTCCATTGTGTTGCGATGCTCCATCATCAAACGATATCTCAAAAAAACTTAAAAAAAAGGTTCAGATGCAGTCTCGTAATCAAGATCACGCATGTGGCTTGTATCTCCACATTCACACAGTCACGTTGCCATTCAATTTCATGCGCCACACGAATCTGGGCGGGGGCAGCGCGGAGAAGGATTGGCAACTGCATGCAAAAGTCCCTTCTTGCAAAAGAATCAGCACCCATAGCCAACCTCTTCCTTTGTTGGTTCGGTCAACTCACCCTTACGTCCCATTTGATCAAAGATGGTACGGATTAGCGTTGGATTTTTCGGCGGAGGCTCGATGGGCGGATGGATGGCGGTGATGATGGATGGATGGATGTTTGAGAGGTTGGAGGGAGGACTCGACATGTTGCATGACATGTGCAATTTGACTTTCGGTTTTTACATTTGTGGAGTGCGGAAGTATGGTTGATTACGGGGTGTCAAGGAAGAGGGTTGTGTGTTGAGGCGGCTAGGCAATTCCTCTGATTGGGTTACCTGAACATTGTCAAAATGAGGATCTGAGGAGATTTGGATGCATGTGCTGATTGGAGGGACGGAAGGAGACTTTGGAGGAGGCGACTGCTTCAGAGAGAGACGAGGAGGATCTGTGAACAAGCTGGGAGTAACTTGCGTGGTGGCAATCACTAATGTCAAGTTTCTTGCCCACAGACCAAGGGTACTCAGGCCTTCGGTAAGCGTCACACCAAGTCGCACACCCTCTGCCGCAGGTGTGGACGCCGCTCCTTCCACAACCAAAAGAAGACCTGCGCGCAGTGTGGTTACCCTGCCGCAAAGATTCGTCACTGTAAGTTTGAATGTCGCGCACTGTAAGAATACCAAGAGATGGTGTATCTTACGATGGCCATTTTTTTTAGTCGAGTGGAGCGAAAAGGGTAAGCGCAGAAAGACCACCGGCACTGGGCGTATGAGGTACTTGAAGACTGTTGCTCGTCGCTTCAAGAACGGTTTCCGTGAAGGTAAGCCTTGCTTTAATTTTGCATCTTGACGACTGATCTCCTGGCTAATGTATCTACTCTATCAGGTACTGCTGCCAAGCCTAAGGCTCGTGCTGCTGCTCCCTCTTCGTAAATGTGATGCCGGTAGTGGGGATGTCCATATATAGTGATTTTGAGAATATAATGGCATTCGGATGACAGCTTCATTCCTGGACTGTTGGATTTCGCTGGAAACGTTATGGCAATCTCTTGTTGGACGCGGAGGAAATGCATGGAATGTAATCATAGAGGATTGAAAGCGCTGGAGAGACATGCATCGTTTTCAATGAATGAAATGCTCGTTCTTTGCTGCAAAACCCTTGGAATCCATTGCGTGGCTCATTTTAAGGCAAATTCCTAGGGTGTTTGCCCGTACCATGGAATTCATAGAAGCCTTATTGCTGTGCCGCTGCTCTCATTGGCTGTATTTGTATGACTGTGCCGCAAGCCTCCTTGATCTTCCACCTTGTAGCGCAGCACACTGTTGCGTTCAACTTTCCAGTATCCTTTGCCTTTGTCATCGACTCTGGCCGTGAACGATCGCATCTATAATTACTACAAAGACGCCCCGAGTACAGCGCTGATTCTCTCTCGTGGTCATAATCTCCTCACTGTCCTGGGATTCCCTCTAGAAGGTTAGGAGGATCGCGTGCCGACCTGTCATCACAGCGGATTCTGATCGTAAAGTAAACCAACGCGTATAGCAATTTTGCAAAAGTGACGAGCAAGTGCGGTTGTATGCCATGTCAAATTCAGACCAAAGAGCAGAGGACATTGCCGCACATGTATGTATATTATAGTCTGTTGAAGATGACGGGGTTGACTGGGGAGATCTGTGAAAAGACGGCTAGGCGGCCTGGGTACAACACCTTTGGTGTTGGTTCCTTTGTAGTGCGCGCGATACGGTTTCCTTTTGATTGTTTGCCTTATCCCATTCGCAATGACTAATGTTCCCCGCGCTCTTTTATTTTGTATTTCTCTTTTGGTCTCGCGGCCGATAGCGTGAGGAGATCTACTACAGCAGCCGGTACAGTGACGATGAGAACGAATATCGCCATGTGACGCTGCCCAAACAAATTGGTAAGTTGACTGGAAAAGATATGTGATTGACACATGTGCTTATTATTTCTTCATCCCGCATATTCATATATTAGCGCGATGGGTTCCGGAAGGTATGAAAAAGACATTAAGACTTTACAACCCGTATTTTACATATTCCTTATGTTACATTGTTTAGGCCGCCTAATGTCTGAAGAGGAATGGCGTGACCTGGGTGTGCAGCAAAGTGCAGGATGGGAACACTACATGATTCATGGTACGCCTTTTGCTTGCATGTGTATTTTATTCCCCTACTGTTCAGCAGAAATGCTCATTATGAACGTACATCCTAGCTCCGGAGCCTCACATTTTGCTCTTCCGCCGAGAGAAGGATTATCAGGTTTGTATGATTGTTAAAAGCTCGATGACGAGGGTTTGGCGAGGTTTTGATAAAGAAACACATCCATTTCACAGCTAAAGTATCCCAACGGCAAGCCGAAACAGTCAACATCAAGCACAACGACTGCAACAAAGGCCGGAGCAGTGGGCGGGTTGGCAGGCTAATTCAAGATGGACAGTACTCAGTTATTGCTTGGGGTGTTTAGTTTTATTTTTTGTATATAGGACAGTAGATATCCGTGGTGATACATGGCTAGGTGATGATGGTGGAGGACGTTTCTAAGCGTCGTTCTCTTGATGTGGCGGTGGTTGTAATTCGTCTGCGAATGTGTGTACTTTATGTCCGAGAATAAGGTCATTCTATATGTGAGCAGCTGCTGATTCACAAAGTGATGGGGCCTACCTCCTGAAAATTCCGCGACAATGGGTATCAGATACAAAAGCCTAGAGCAAGTAACTTAAACAAGAACGTACCAGCCATAGCAAGGATTTGTTTGGCGGTGGTTTGATCATGAAGGTTCACGTCGGCTCGGCGGGTCGCATCTCGTTCCTCAAATTTCCACTCACGACGTTGAATCTGGCTAGCCTTTTCTCCGCCTTAAGGTACCGGCAAGGTTATACACTACTTGGGGCCTTTCAACGGGAACTTGTACACATACCCAATCCAATGACCTGTGCATTTTCAAAATCTGTCGTGAGCACAGTTAAAGCAAAATGACACGCACAACAACTCAACGCTCACCTCCACATCATCCACATCAAACGTCAGTTTATCACCCTCGTATCCTGTAAAATCGTACGTTGCAAGTTTATTCGCCAAAACCGGCTGATAGGTCGCTGTCTGGAGGTCTGTAGATAAACTAGTCGACATGTTACGAAATCTGTTGACGTGAATCAACGGGACGGTCAAGACAAAACTTACTTGAAATTATTCGCTTCGCCACCAAACCCCAAAACACCCTTCTCAGCAGAAAAGAATGCGAAATGGTCACCAGCAGGTGCGGACTTTGCACGGTGGACTCGGAATGTCGGTTCCAGTTGGAATAGGAGAAATCCAGGCGTTCCCCAAAATTGGCGGCTCTTTTTCCAGGGTCTGCAGTGTTGGGATGACCGTAAATGTAAGGTCCGAATACTCTGTCGAGTCAAATATGGTACTTGCCCGTCTATATAGGCACCGACAACAATTGCCGGTTGATTGGCATCTATTTTGGACGGAAGAGAGCCAGATATGATAAGAAGGGTTGGCCTTGGATCTAAAAGCAGAAACTTGATCAGTGAGCACCAACAGTTATTAGCTGTGGTAATCGAACAGTATACATTTTAGCGTATGATACTCGAACCGGTTACTGCTCAACAAATACAAAATGTCAGCGATCAAGAAACAGATCCCAATCGAGAGAGAACACGTACATACTGTATCCCTATAAAAATCAAAATACACATTCAGAAAAAAAAAAAAAAAAACAGCCTGAAAGCGCACCAGAATCTTGCACTATGCGAAAGCGTACATCTCGTCTAGCGGAAAAGAGAACCTCCCATTGCATCTGTGCCTCGCTCTCCTCGTTCTTAGCGGTCGGCTGCCAAGCTGGTAAGAATGTAGATAACAGCCAAACAAGGCCATCGGATAGGATTTCACTTTCCCCGTGCAACGTAGGCAAATGTTTGCTTCCCGTTTCCGTGCTTGGGAGGCCCGAATTGAACGCAAGCAGGCGGTGAGAGATGACAGTTTGGAGTGGTTTAAAGATAAACGGCGCGTTTTTATTGAGCCAAGTGTGAAGCTGGGATATCGATATCATCTTGTCGCCGCTTTTCGCAGGTCCAGCAGCAGAGTGGAAGATTTGATGCGCAAGTTGACCGATACGAGGAGATGTGGGTAGCAGGTCCTCCTGAGGCAATCTTAGTTCCCCTCCATTCAAAGTTTGGAGCTCTGCCACAGCTGCAGCTGCACAACCACTTAGGATTTCAGAGAGATCCGTCTCATTCAGTTCGCTACGACCGCGATTCAAATAAGATAGAACACAAACGCATCGATCCAAAACTTGTGCCGTCTGCTCTTTGTCTGTCGGGGCCAATAAACTCTCATCCAATAGTACGTACAGCGCTTCAAGTAGCGCTTCATACGTTAGGGTTGGTGTGTTGTGCGTGGTGCAGATACCGTTGTATAGACGAGAGACAAGCGGATCTGGAAGGCCTACGAGGTCCTACAAGCGTGTCAGAGGGAGACGTTCTGCTCAAGAAGATCTCAAATAGTACAAGTACCGTAAATGTGTTCTTTGTTAGCACCCGATCAGTACCACTCTGCTGTGTATCTACGCCAGCTACTCGACGCACAATGCGCCGCACTGTGGGAGAGAGCCTTTGTTCTAAGTCAACCACATTGTTTGGGGCCGTTCCAAGTGATGCGTGTGATGCTTGTGCAGTTGCTGGAACGTCGTCAGGTCTGTGCGAGGTTGACTGTGAGCTGCCCATTTTGACGATCAGATTTCAGTGGTAAAGAACTGACGAAGTTGCCAGCCACGATCGCGCATTGCGTAAGCCAACCAATGGCTTGCATGACTGCAAATGCATAGGAAAGCGCAAGAACGGAAAGCAGCTCATACTGCAATGCCGATTGTATTTTCCTCAAATGACAAGTACTTGTATGTATCAGTGCCGTATAGGATTTCATATCAAAATGGTAGGGTACGAATACAAGTGGTGTGGTATAAACACAATCACAATTACATAACAAGACACTTGTCTTTCTTCTTGTCTCCCTTTGCGCTCCCGCTGCTCCTGCGCGAGGTATCACCTTGCCCTGCCCTCCCATGACTATGACTCGCATATTCCGCCTCTTGCTGTCTTCGCACATATGCATCATGTCTGACGTTCTCCTCCTCCTGGAGTGAGAGTGCTAGCGCCAAGTCCGATGACGCTTGAGTGGCCTCGCGTCCTTGACCTCCGACATCCACGTAGTCCTCCAGGCCGATCATGCTAGGCTGTTGTCCTCCTGAAAGGTTTGCACTCGGGATATGCTCTGATTCGCCAGACGTTTCGAATCGGTTAAAGCAACCATCCACAAATGACGAGTCTCCTTCCACGTTATCCATTGTCTCCCACACGACAGCTTCGGCTCCTACGAATCCTTGGTCGGTAACAAGTGTATACAATGCAATTGTACCGTCCTTTCCGACCCGCTTGAACAAAGTGCAAAAATGATTGTTGCGGAATAATACCGCCAGCGAATTAGGTTCCAAAGTTTCACATAGAGTTTGTAGTCCATGGTAGGTCAGCTGTGACGCGGTTGCATCTAAAAACCCTTTGCATACAAGGCCCTCATGAATGAGTTGGTCGCGCTTCCGAGATGCCTCTTCATATTCTTCTTCGGTCACCATTTTCTCTTTGCCTTTTGCTTGATGTGCCGCTGCAATCTCACCCTCGATAACCTTTTCCACAACTTGATTGTAACTTCCGCATTCAGAAACTACCACACGATACGTCTCCTCATCTTGGGGATCTACGGTCCAGCCATGACATAATATAATTTTGAAGAGATCAAACACCAGGAGACTGGAGGTTACTTCGAAGGAGAAGGGTGAATCGAAGCGTACATTGACATCCAATCCTGTTTGTAATGTCTGCATGTATAATGGATCAGTATGTGCACAGTACAAAGTGAAATGTGTATTTGAAGAAAGAGTTGATACCCACTGGTATGATCTCAAGGACATCTGTGAAATTCTTTGAAAAGTCTGCGGATGTATGACGGACGGATGAAAACGATGGTGATGTAGGGGATGATGCATTGGGACTACTCAGGGGTAGCCGGGTTGTCAGCCAGTCTCCTATTAGCTCAACAATATATTCATAATCCACTTCATCTCTTTCATATCTGATTTCGATATCTCCCCTCAACAGCAGCACATTGCAGAGTGCGAGGAGCGGACAAGGTCCATTGCGATTTTGCGTGATAATCTTGAGTCTTCGTGGGGTATCCGTCCTTGGATCCAAGTACGTGATCGGTTTAAGTCTGTAAGATTTATCAGCCGATTGCTGTGCGGGAAGATCGGACTGCGGGGGAGGGTGCGGCGAAGGTGACGGAAGGGATGAGCGACGAGGACCAACAGGCGGACGCTGAGGCTCATGTTGTTCTTGGGACGTCCCATCTGCTACAGTTGGAGCGTTTCCCGTGTTCTCTGCTGTATTTTCAATGGATTGACTTGTTGCTGTGTGTGAACGTGTCTCAACCTCTTTCGTAGAGTCGGTTATTTCTGGATGGTGTGATGTGGTTGGGGTGGAAGCTAGCAGCTCAGTTGGCAAAGACTGCGATTGTGACGGTACAGATTCCAACTTTGAGACATTCAATAGGGTAGCTTCATGCAGAGAGGACACGCCCGGTTCCTCTTGTGATAGCGACTCTTGTGCTCTTTCTGCTGGTGCTTGGCGCTCCTCAAGGAGACCCACATGCTTCTCCGGCACGATAGAGTCGTTCGCGTTCGCAGCCTGTGTGGTATTTGCCGTAGGCTCTACGGGAGGCGCTTGTACATCCTTGTCGTTTATAGCAGCAACGTCAGATGGTGGAGAGCTGACTGTGCGTTCAATTTCGCCTGCCGCGGTTGAAGAGAGGTTGATATCCTGGGGTTGTTCATGTTCGACGGTTGTGTCGCTCGCTTTGGCATCGCTACCAGCCCGCGAGGATGGTGACTTTTGCTCTGGGCCGTCATGTATCTCGTATGAATATGGGTCGTCGTCGTCTGCTGCTGCTGTGAGCTGCTGCTGCTGCTGCTGCTCTGACATTGTTCAACCCAAAAGCCCAAACTCCTTCAGCCCTCGTCGTGCACACAAAAGACTGTTTATCAAGAAAGCACGCGCTCTGAACGCTGGTTACGTGTTTAACGCCTGCTATGCCAACTACATAGTGCGGAGCCGATGGGTATTGGCACTAGTACAGTGATTCCAACCAATTGAATCATAATTTTACTCGATTTAGACTCATGAACTATGGTTTGATCCAAAAATCCTATATAAGTCATCGTGCCCATTTTCCCAGGCTTTCATCTTTTTCCACAGATATCATCATGCCATCAAAGAAAAAGCAAAAACTCGAAAAACTCGACAAACCTACTTGCTTACATACCTGCAACAAGACTCCCTTTGCAAAAGCTTTCCTGCCAAACGAGATCTACCGCCAACGGCTTCTAGATTACATCGCCATCATCCATCAACTTGCTGACCACGCTTCCCACGCTCTCAAATTCTACATCCTATCTGCACCATCCTTCACCGTGAACGAGGAGACCATCGAAGCGATTCTCTATCTTCTCAACAAAGGAGAGGCATGGCAACCAAAAACTGATGCAAAGAAGGCGCTACGCAGATGCTTGTTGCCATACATTCAACGGTACTGCCACATCATCGGCTTCGTTCATCCAAATCTACAAAAAGAGCAGCAATCAGTCAATTACCTGACAGTGAGTATGATGACGAACCTGAAAGTCAACGTTCAAGAGCATCTCATGCAGATGCTCCTTTGGTATATCAATCTGCAGCTTGACGTGAAGGGACAGAAGCAGCGACTGCCACTGAAAAGCGATGCGCGGAAAGCTTTCTTTACTCGGCTACGCTACTTGAAGTCGGTTTTCCTTTTCGAAACAATGCCAGAATCGCTGGATGACCTGAGCATTCTTGAAAACGAGATTTTAGAAGAGATCTGGACACTTAACCTGCCATTTCCTGATCAAGACAAGCCGCTTGCCTACCTCATTGCCATCGACGCGATGTCCTTCTTTCCTGCATACTGCCGACTGTCAAAGTTGTTCGAGCAGCAAGGCTTTCGACAGTTCAGCGCGATACCTCTGCGCCGCTCTCTCATCCAAAGCCATGTGCGGATTGACACCGTCATCCTCTACTCTCATGTTCTTTGCATCACGCGACGAGAAGCAGAAGCCGTAGAGAAGGTCGATTTATGGTTGCGCGTCTGTAATCTACGTACCAAAGCTTTTCGGTCTCGCTGTGGTATGCATTTTGAAGGCTCGATCACGACGGACGGTACCTCGGTGTCAGTTTACTTGAAACATCCTGAAGCTGACAAGTATGGAAAACGCAGCGGAGGGAAAAAGTCAGCAAACACGATGGAGGCAGAGGTTAAAGCGCTTTATGTGGAAAACAACTTATCTGCTTGTCAAGAGAACTTTGTTGTTATCGACCCAAACAAGCGCGATCTTCTCTACTGCCAAGACAGCATTGGTACGACGTTCCGTTACACCGCCAACCAGCGAGCCGTGGAGACAGGTAGCCGGCGATTTGCAAAGAGACGAGAAGCAATGAAGAAAGAAGCTGGAGTTGACCTCATAGAATCACGTATCCCAAGCCACAAGATGATGAACGTCATGGACTTTACTCGCTACCTTCTCGTTCGTCGCGCAGATTCGGATCGTCGCAAGGAATTCTACTCCCACCCTGCCCACACACGGTGGAAGTGGCATGCATTTATAAACCGTCAGAAGAGTGAATCGAACCTCATATCCAACATGCACAACAAGTTTGGGAGGAACTTTACCATTGTGATGGGTGATTGGAGCGACGCCGGTCGAACTACGAGATTTCAGACCTCATCAAAGACAAAAGGCTGGCGCACCCTCTTTAAGCGCAACCGCATTGATTGTTTCCTTCTCGACGAGTACAAGACCTCATCTGTCTGCCCTCACTGTTCCTCTGACGTTGAAAAAGGCTTCAAAACACGACCTCATTCAAGACCTTATCGACGACGAGAAGGCAAGATTGAAAAAGTCCACGGATTGCTGGGTTGTACCAACCCTAACTGTCAGCAAGACTGGACGATGCGCTACTGGAATCGAGATACGCTGTCAACCTGCAACATGCTGATGATCGTGCAATCAATGTTGGATGGGCACTGTAGACCAGAGGTGTTCAGCAGGAGGAGTGTTCCAGCCGTAGCATAGAGCGAGAGATTGGTTAGATTAGCCTTTCCGAGCCGGTTGTCGCGCGGTTCAATCCCTGGTGCGGGTGCTAGTGCCAATACCCATCGGCTCCGCACTAACCAACTCCCATTTAGCGATAGCACCCTTCTTGAAACTCGGAATCCTGCTCGTTTCCTTCCTTTCTGGACAACGACCTGCGCCTTATTTGGACCAAAAAGCCTCCATACCAGATAACAAAAACGCAAAGTCCTTTGCTGAGCAGCCTATCCAAGAAGACCTGTAGATCAGACGCGACCACATGTCTTCTGGAAGCGAATCGTCGCCGTCAGAGAGCTCCTACTTTAGCCGCAAGAATGGAGTGGAGAACATATCCTTGACCCGGTTACCCAATCTCGCCTCTCCCAGGTTAATGACACCAACTTCGCAACTCGCAGAGACTGCTGTGGGAGTGAGGGAAGCTGCAAAATGCATAGGTATTTGACATTTTGCTGACAGAGCCTTGGCGCATTTTCACAAAGACTTCACCATGAACTTTTCTTATTGGGGTCAACGCTCCCCCAACCTTGCCAGAGATAGTAGTAATCCCTTTTTTCTTTTAGGACGTGCCTTGGTGAAGTTGGAGCGCCCGCAAACTGTCATGCTCGTGGCAAAAGCACTAGACGCAAAGATTATCAAATTCACCCGGCAATTAGCCTGCCATCTTATCGACACCCCCCGAACGTCTTGCGGACACAAGGGGTTAACTGTGTAGGTTGCAAGAGTGTAATTCCAAACCCGGCGATTGATTGGGCACATTGTTAACAAGCGCTAATTTCCCTTTAGATATATTGATTCCAAATTTCGCACTCATCCTGCATTCAGCTTTGACCGGCTACTGGCTTCTCATCCCCACTATGCCGATCAGCTCAAGTTTTGGACGCCAGAACTGTGCGCAACGCAAACAGATCACATCGATTTCATCATCACTCTTGGCGGAGACGGAACGGTAATCTACACGTCGTGGCTCTTCCAGCACGCGCAAGTACCTCCAGTTGTTCCCTTCGATCTGGGTTCGCTTGGATTTTTGACCAACTTCAACATCACAAACATACGCGATGTTCTGCAGCGAGTGATTGGGTGCCGTGGTGCTGGAGTTAGGGTGAACTTGCGTATGAGACTTAGCTGCACGGTTTGGAGGTCGGACTTTAAAAGCAAAAATAAAGAGGTCTTAGAAGGTCGGACGGCTGAGAAAAAGAGACGGGAAGATTTGTGTAGTATCAAGGGCGACGAGGAAGAAGCAGATGGCCGTTCAAAGATAGGGAGACGAGCTTCGAGTCAGCAACCTGATCCTGGCACTACACTGAATGGGTTACCCGCCTATTCTTCCGACGACCTAATATCTACCACTCCCGCACCACGACTGAACGATGAACATGCGACTTCCGATATTGGCGACTTATTAGATGAGATCTCTTTGCAATTGATGTCAAAAGTTGATCCAGACGAGCTCGACCCAGGACCTGGGACACCGAAACGGATCCGATCAATGCAGTCACTGGGTACAACGCTCCCCAGTGCTGACAATGCAAAACCTGTGCCAACAGAAACCTTCCAAATATTGAATGACTTGGTAGTCGATCGTGGACCGAGCGCATATATGAGCCAATTGGAGTTGTTTGTGGACGATAGACATTTGACTACTGTTCAGGCTGACGGTCTTGTTCTCTCTACACCAACGGGGTCAACAGCTTACTCGGTATGTAAAATGCAAACTGTCGGTCATGTCGACAGAATACAAATTGATATTATCAAATATGCTCTGAACAGCTGTCAGCTGGAGGCTCCTTAGTACATCCCGAAGTCCCTTCCGTCCTCGTTACCCCTATCTGTCCACATACACTTTCCTTCAGACCAATGCTCCTTCCCGATTCCACTGATATACGAATTCAAGTCCCACGAGATTCGCGGACGTCTGCGTGGGCTAGTTTCGATGGTCGACACAGAATAGAGTTGAAGAAGGGCGACTATGTTACTGTGACCATGTCGCGATGGCCCATGCCTACTGTTTGCGAGGTAGATCAGGGTACAGATTGGTCTGAAAGTTTGAGAAGATGTTTGCATTGGAACGAGCGCACACGCCAGAAACCGTTTGTTGGTGAACAAGACAAGAGGTTGGAGAAAGTTGGGGACTCGTTGACGCAACTAGACAGTGAGCTTTCATCAAGCAGTGAAACGAGAACGTCGTTCAACGGCGACGTATCTGATGGTTCTTATAGGTGTGAGGACATATGTGAACAAGATGAACAGCGTGAAGATGACGACCCCGGGTTAAGGATGTGACGACGGAGTATTACTACATTTAGGCAGTATGGGCATCCTGTTTTGGACGTATTTTGGCAAAGTAGAAGGTCTTACTTGGATGGAATCCGAGGCTACATTCAAGAAGGCTGCCGGGAATGATTGTTTCTCGGAATGTAAAGATATACTACACGAATTCGGATCGAATGGACTTTACAGAGACTAATCACATACTACAGTATTCCGTGGGCGCCAGAGAAAAAATTGAGTAGATGGGATGCGAAGATATCGGGATCTTGGTCTGCAAATATACATTCTGTCGTCAGGATGATTGTAGTGTTTTGTCGTACCCAGGACAGAGGGACGAGATGGGTCAACAACAGTGCGTGCTCGATTCATGAATTTGCTGGCAGCTGCACCGTAGGGGAAAATCTGCCTATGTACATATCGCAATCAGTACAGTACCGCGATATCGCGGTGGGGGCCAGAAAAATATTTGAATGCTTGCAGAGATGCCGAGACCAGGCGAAAAATATGTAGTGCTACGGTGGGAACCTTATAGCCAAGATGCACTGCCAACTTGATACATACCAATGCGGGCGCATGAATAATACAGTTGCTGCCGTGGTGATGTGGAATGTTGTTTCTTGATGATATCTTATGCCTGCATCGTTTGTTTGTAACGATGGAAAATGCCTAAATCTAACGCATGTTGAGTAAAGAGTCGCGGAATCTACTACCAGTCATTGATGGTCCTATTCTGTTTATTTATATAGCTTGCTTGGATGCCAGCAATTGTAAGGGTCTATCGACAATAGCATCGCTTTGCCGGCCTCTACTCGTATACAAGCAGTCTCTGTATATTCCGCCTCTCTATAGAAACCTTCCATAATGGTTGTCGAACTTGGATGAGATAAAACCCTTTCGCATATCTAGTCGCGCAATGTTATACCAATACACTCTGGAGTAGCCAAACTCCAAGAGCCACGGCCAGTGATGCTTTCATAGGCAATGCTGGAAGGGAATACCCGGTATTACCCTGACTGCCGGTGCCCGAACGTGGTTGACCGCTAGGAGTCGCTGGTGCGGCTAGTCGAGCAAAGCCGACTTGACGGTCACCCCAATTCCATGCAGTGTAAAATGCTCTGTGATACACACAAGTCAGTACAAGACTTTCAAAATGGGCAACGGGTATACGAAACTATTGATCTCACCTCAAGATGTTCATGCCCATCAAGGCCGCACCACCCAGAGCACCTTCAGTACCCAAGCTCACAAATCCCAGGACACATCCCGTTTCTCCTCTTATAAAAGAGTTTTGGATGTAAATACTCGGGGGGATGGACACCGTCTTTCCGCCAAGGGTCAATGTCAGATCCTGAAGAGTCTTGATCTTGTCGCAACTGACTTTGTAAATTTGGAGGCCGGATGCGCCTGCTTGAGCCAGGAGGGTCCCACCGATTGACTGTCCGAGTTTTGTTACAAAGGATTGGGGGAATAGGGAAAGGCTGGAACCTGTTCAAGACATGGCGTCAATTCAAAAAGAGGGATCACATCTCACTCCTCGTTGCCGTCTACTTACCAGTATCCAGGATGATCGGAAGCCCTGCGACCTGATTTTCAGTTCCATCAGGATACTTTACAGCTCCCATAACCGCCTTCCACATTCCTGCAGTACCGGCCGCCATAACAGGGTCGATGGCGCTAGAGTTGGCAAAGGTTGGAACATCGACCCAAGTGAGGTCACCGGAAAACTTTGTAGTGTCGATGCCACCAAGAGTCAACAATCCTGGTTTACCGTCCAGTGTCGGGTAAAGACCGAATATTGGTTTGATGCCCGCATCGCTAAGTTGACCAGTAACGGATCGCCCAAGACTACTTCCACTTAGTCTGCCAGGGGTCCCAGCAGTGGCTAAGAGACGGCAGACAGTAAGTCATATATGAATCGAACACCGGGAAGGGTATCCAATTATCTTACCATTGGAACTTGGCATTCCCATTCCAAGCATGGCAGTGTAGGTTATGACATTTGTACTCGCCTGCTTGTAGCTCAGCACACGAAGGAAGGTAAAGTTTGACATTGTAACCCCTCCAACGGTCGTGGTATCTCTTGACGCAACTCCTGTTACGGCAGTACCATCTGCGTACGCAAGCGTGACAGACGGTCCTGTAGTGGTGGTGAATGTCGAACTGGAGATAACACGTATTTCGTTAATATGGGCGAGCGATGGACACAATGCAGATGTTTGGGCAAAAGTATAGTGGACAAACCTTTTGGAGCCGTCATAGGTAGTATCCTTTACACAGCCTGTATCCAGGCATTCTTTGGCTTTCAGAAAAGCGTCGTATGAACCTGTGTCGACGATGGCTTTGAACGACTGAGGAGGTGTGCCAACGTCGATGCCCACGAGGTTCTACAGAAACATGCAAGTCAAAAAAACAAGCGCACAAAAAAGGGGATATACCCTGAGAATGGAACCCTTACAATAGTACTGTCTGCCAACTCTGATGTGGATGAATCCCTACGTGAAATATCTCCCTTGGTTTCATGGCTTCGGAGCTCCTCTAAAGCGCTGTCAACAAGGGGATAAACAACATGTTTTCAATCAACAAATCGGAGAGCTTATACGACACCCACTGTTCGAGCTTTTCTCGAAGAGGATTAAGAGCACTTGCACATGAGGCCAAGAAAAGAGTCGCCGCGATAAGCGATGAACGCATCACGAAACAGAACGGCAAAGTGGAAAGGTCTAGTTGTGCGTTGCGTCAACTTTGGGTGATCGAAAGTTGGGTTCTAAAATCCTTTTGCTTTAAAAGCATTTTTCAAAAGAGCACTTTTGGGGGTTGATTTGCGGAGGAAGCACAAAAAAATTCGCCCGCACAGCCCGTTTGTCCCAAATCAACCCAAAACGTTGCCTCGAACTGATTTTTTCGGCCTCGCCGTTTTGGCATTTTGGCAAACGTTGAAATCGGGCGAGTTTAAAAATAAGGTTTTTGTAAACGAAACAAGGTTTTGTTGAAAGTGTTCCAAAAGAAACACGAGGCATTGAAAACAAAAGGTGTTCTAAAACGACCGAGGTGTGCTAAAATGAAGGTTAAACACCCGAGATGTGCTAAAAAAACGTCAATATGGGTTCGATACGCATCTACTCCTGCTTTCATCTTGATCTTTTTTTTTTTTTTCTTTAGCAAATGTTATTGATATGCAAAACTTTGATGCTACGACACAAAACTTGAATCTACATCATCAACTGCCTCTGCCGCAAGTTTACCCACAATCCATCCCTCCACCTAACGATGGGCAACGGAACACGCTCCAGCCTAATTCCGTCCAACTTTTTCCACTCAAACTCCCTGATCAACATGCTACCAATAATCCCCATCTCCAGGCGAGCAAATTGCATGCCAAGGCAGTGCCGGTGCCCAGCCCCAAACGTAGCGAGCGAAAAGTTTGAGATGGGCTTTTCGGTGTGCGCTCTGGCGGACTTGGACCAGCGACTTGGATCAAAGGTGTCGGGATTGGTGTATGTGGCTGGGTCTCTGTTATGATCAAGACAGTCAGCTTGAGCATTTTGCAAAACACTCGGAGAGGTTTACCTATTGGTAGACAAGATATCAAAGGCCACATGAGACCCTTCAGGTATAACCACCGGATTATGACCATCTTCCAGATAAATCAAATCCTTGGCAGTCTTGCGAGTAATCTGCATGGCCACAGGATACATTCGTTCGACCTCCCGAAACGTTTCCTGAAGGCGATGCATGTTCCGTAAATCATCTTGGGTGGGAGTGAATGGCTTATCGGGACATGCAGAAGCGAGCTCATCCTGCTCTTGGCGGAGTGTGTCCACAAGAGCAGGGTTCTGAAGACAGGTTGCGATGAAGGAGGATATGGTTGCTGCGGTAGTTTCATGCCCGGCAACGACGAGAAGAACAGCGTGCAACGCTAGTTCATTGACAGGCAACCTGCAATGGAGAGCCAAGTATAAATACACACTTCATGTCAGGATGTGTGAGCACGGACTTCATACCGGTTCCCTTCCTCATCAGTACTCTTCATTAACAGCCATAATGGATCAACCTCTTTCGGTTCGTAGCCCTCATCAAGCAACGCCATCCGCTTGCTTATTATCTTTTCAACATCTTCCTGGATACGCAGTTTGGCCTCTTTAGACTTTTTCACCGAATCCCAGCTTGAGAAAGGCCAAGGCATGAAACCTCTCAATAGATCTTGATACCGTGACACCAATCCAGAGGAAAAGTCATGTTCGTCTTCAGGAATGTCGGCACCGAGGAGTAGCGTAAATGCGATCCGCAAAGTAAGCTGCTTAATTTCGGCTTGGAGGTCTACAGAAGGGGACGTTGTCCAATGTAACAGTTCGGCGCGGGCCATGCGATGGATTCGAGGAAGATATGCCCGGAGAGCATCGAGCTTAAAGGCAGGTGTAAGGAGACGCCGGGTATGAGTATGTTCTTCGCCGTCTTGAGCAAGGAGTGAACCGGCGAAAATATGAGCAAAGCGTGGGCGCATAGCTCTTTGCCTACGATGAGAGCTCGTAAACCGAGACATGTACCAGCCTCTTGATTCCTTATGAGACTTACCCAGATATCAAATGATTCTTTTCCGCAACAAGAAGCCACTTGGCAGCACGCTCCCCATTGACCCAATACGTCCATCCAAAAGGTGTTAAACTCTTGTAAACACGGCCTCGACTGAGGCGAATATCACTTATTGTGGCCGGATCCATACGGTTTTTGAGCAATACAAGAAATAATGGGTCGAGACGTTTACGTGCCCTTGCATAGATCATAGCAAAGAACTAGGATTGGCATAAACAAATTGTAAACCTACGGCCTAGCATTGGCAATGTGGGGCCACTTACAAAAACGCAAGCCAGTGAGGCATATGCCCACAAAGGGACAAAAGTACGGTCAAGGATGCCAGTATTTCCGAGCATGTTTGATAACTCGTCGTCAAAATCGTGATGGTCCAGGACTGAAACTGCATGCCATCTTTTTATAACAACTGTTTACAGACTGCAGTCGATCGGCATCCGAGCGGTGCCCCGGAATTCCATCCTTGAAAATGATGGGCTTCACCAGCCCTTTTTTCGTTATGACGCATTGCGAAAAGCCCTTCAAGTTGTGTCAGGCTTTGGCTGAATCCCCCCGCGTGTGGTCTTTTGGGACTGTTGACAGTCGACGTATATGCCTTTCAAAACAGCTTGCTTTTGACGGGTTATTCACTTTTACTTAGGATTACAGGTAATGCCAATGCGCAAGGTGCAAACGACGTGGTAAAAGATATACAGATATAATAGGCAGTAGGTGGACTCAATATGTTATTCAAATGGGGTGCTTACAAACACTATACATTACAAGACGATTTCATCCAAAGGGCTTTTTATCGTCCAGGATCTATCCTACGCAATTGCCTGTTTCTTGCCTTTACGATCAAATATTTTCTTAATTTTCTGTAGGAAGCCCCCAGATCCCTTTTCAACCTTTACGCTTCCAGACGTGGATGTTGACGACCGTGGCTGGCCAGACGCATTTTTCATCAGGGCAAAGTATATATTCTGAGCAAATTCATTTTCGGATTTGGGGTCGATCATTGGTGAAATGACGAATTCGATCGGACTGCTCGGGCATCGAGATGCTGCAGTGAAGAACTGAGAGTCGATAGAGACATTGCTTGCGACCACGTGTAAGGGTAAAGCTCTGATGGACCCCCCCGTAGGTCGTCGTGGTTGAACGTTGACCTCTTGGGTGTCAAATAGCGTTCGCTCTTGAGGAGATGACAGGGGTGGAAGATCTTTGTCGGGATTGGCGGACACGAAGAGAATTTGGGAGGTTGCTACAGCCCGAATCATTCCAAGGCCTGAGCTCTCCATTCGCAGTGATTGACTGTTGGCTGGAGATGAAGTTTCAATGGACGAGAAAATCTGAACTGTTGCTGCTGATCTCTCCATTTCAAAGAAGCAGAATCAAGGAACTCTTGTGAAAAATATCTGGTATGAAGAGATTCTGATCTGGAAAAGCACCAATTGTACGAAGGAAGGAGATGCCTTGGAGCTGCTCTTTTTAAAACTTTTTTTTTAGCATTACAGATCAGAAGCTCCGGGATGTGGGCGTCAAAAAACCTCGAAATAGTACCATCGGGGCGGACGTGACAACGAACAAACGTCAACTTTATTATTAAGGATCACCTTTCTTACAACCTCAACCTTAAATAAACATTGGCGACTCTATTTTTGGATTATAAAGCTTCCTAATATACCAGATATTTGACGTCTAAATGGATACGCTCTAAAAAGGGCATGTCAAAACAAAATGTCAAATTGCCCCGTGGTATCCCCAAATACCTCCTCAGTGAGGATCACCAGAAAGCTAGTATTATTCCCGATCCGCATGATTCGAGGTTTACAATCGGATCATTTTGAGACTCCGCAAGCCCATGGCGCGACCAAAGAAAGGCTCCGTCGGCGATAGGGACAATTCAGTTGCACAGGACAAGACCGACGCTGCGGCGTCGTCGGCTCGCTCTCGGTCTCGTAAAAGCATCACTCAAGCGAGCATCGCGGCATCAGGAGTTGGAGCGGCTCCGACATTGGCTACGGGAGCAGCATCCTCTACACTCTCTGCTGGTAGCGAGAAACGCTCAAATATTGCAGAAGAACCTCCAACCTCAGACTACATTCGGGTGAGTATAAGACAATTTAGATCTTTCACTACCGGTGTTTGTCTCATTTGCACACCCCAAAAGGTCGACCCAACACTCATCGAAAGAACAGGACTGAGTGCAGCCGAGCTACAAGAACTAGTTGAAATCTTTTCGCTGGTAGATGTTGATCATGGAGGAACGATTTCAAAGGATGAGTTGGCTACGCTGATGAAGACCTTGGGTTTGAGGGTATCAAAGGTGAGCACCATCACCGGACCTTTCTCCCTTGTGCCCATGAGTGATGGAGATCCGTCTAGGTGGAGCTGGACACCATGGTGAATGAGATTGACGCTGCTGGAACTGGAGAAATTGATTTCGAATGTGAGATTCTTTGTGATCTCAGCAGCTTTTACCACCATTTTTCACCTGACAAAAATGACAAAACATCTTGTTTATCCCGGCAGCATTCGTACTGGCCATGTCCCGCAAGGTGCAGACCTCGATAACCGCCGAGCAGATACGCAGAGCGTTTAAAATGTAAATTCATCACAGCAGTTCTCTGTTTGATTCCACCTAGCACAGTTTCAACCATTGCAGCCCAGTTTCGACCAGGATGATCCCCTCCACAACGGCACTCTCACCATGGAAGGATTAGTTAGGATCCTTACAGATTACGGGGACCAAGACAAAAGGCTGAGCAGAGAGGAGGCGGAAGATATGATCTCGCAGGTGGGTATGGGGCCGCCTTTCAACGTTTCCTTTGCGGATCTTTGAACTCTTTACTATCCTCAGGTTGCACCACAAGCTCAGACTGGGATCTTTGACTATACTCAGTTTATACAAATGTACTTTGGAAAAGAACAGTGAACTGAACCACATCTGTTTAGAGTTGAATAAGGCGCCTTGCTCTGAAGCCTCCTCCCAAACCCCATACATTGGCACTCCTTTAACCGCCCGTTCACCTTGCAACTGACTTGACTATTCTTGATATCTAAATCTCCTGCAGAGGAAAACGACCCAACTTCAAACTCAGTTGCTTACGTTATATGGACTGTTGTCTAGGGAACAATTTGAGGTGACTTTACCACCAAGATGTGGCACAGAATGACCGCAAGGGCCGCCCGAAATTTGGGTTTTGAAAGTCGGGCTGCGACAAGGTTATGGAGATTTGGAAACATCAGCTTGTTTTTTTTTCCAAAGGTTTTTTTTTTAACAAAGATATCGCTGGCCCTCCCGACGTCGTTGCCTTTACAAGGTTCTGGCGGAACTTTGTATCAACGGCGGACCCCTCTAGGCTTCGTCGACAAGAGGCCGTGAGGTCGGAACTGTGGCCTTGGTAAGGTATTTGGAGTCGAGAAGGGCTTACCCAGCAATGCCTTCACGTACACTGCCATCGGCTCCCACCACCTTCCGATGGATTCCATTCCTTTTGGGCGTGCTGGTCCTTTTTCCACTGGTGCACGCGCAAGTACCGCTGCCGACCTTTTCTCTCCCTTCTGGTCTTCCGACTTCCATTCCTTCGTCGCTCCCTTCGTCAGTTCCCACATCTCTACCGCAGGGAGGTCCTTGTCGGAACCAGGCAGACTGTGCTGTCGCTCCTGGAACATCCTGTAACATACCTCCTGGAGCCGCAGGTGGGGTTTGCTTGCCGAGCACGGCAACATCAACTCAATCTCCCACGACCACGCAAAGTCCAGCACCAAAAGTTCTGTGTAATAGCAATGCAACGTTGTCGTGTCCTCTTGGATCTATATGTTTAAACGGCGTGTGTGAGACTGCGGGGGATGCGGTAAAGAAACTGCCAACATGGGTAGGTGGAAACGTTGCACTTTTTCCGTCGGAAAATGACGATTTTATGGCGTCTAAGCTAAAGCATGTTCTATCAGGTTTATGTCGTCATCGCTCTTGGCGCACTATTGATTCTAGGAGGATGTGCAACACTATTTTGTTGCTGCTGCAATCTGTGTTGTTTCGCTGGACGAGCCGCAAAGGCAACGGCGAGTGCTGGCTTAGCTGTGCCTAGACAGCTTTCAAAGGGCATGGCAAAAGCAACCGGACTCTCTGGCGGTGGCAATTCTAGATATGCGACCGATGCAGTTTACGGAGCTGCGGGCTCTCCGCGTTCCCCTAATGACGGCCCCGCCCCACTCCCTAGCGGTTATCGGAAACCGGTCGACTATTTTCAAACGGTAGAGACAGTTCCAGAACCACCACCTCCGATCGCATCCCCATCGCATCATGTACCCGGCGCTGCTCTAGCCGCTGAGCAGAACTACGATTATTCAGCGTATCCCTCGACACCTCAAGCGGGGTATTCCCCCTCGCCATATTCTCCATACGCTGCTACATCACTCGCGACAAACTATTTTACCCCCATGGATTCGAACCCCTCTCCCCTTCATCGAGTTTCCGCATACGGGGATCCACGGACTGTAGAATCACCAAATACACGGTTCTCCGTCTATCCACCATTAGCAACCGATGCTTCTTACCCACAGCCTCAACCTCGGCGCTATTCTCATAGCCAGGATATCTATCCTCCACCACCAACAGGTGAATTTGCATATTGGGATGCTCAGCGCCGCTTCCATCAAGGTTACAAGGACGAGGAGGGGATCGTTCATCGTGGCTATTGGGATGAAGAGGGGGAGTTCCACCTTTTATCGTTGCCCCGAGGGGAGCGTGGACAAGGAGAGATATATACCGGTGTACACTCTCCACATCCTGTCTCATCGGAGGCTATACAGGATGATCCGGTGTATGCGAACAGGGACTTTGAGGCCGAAACGAAGAGCTTTAGTTTTGGAGCAACAGCTGCGAGCGGTAGTGTCAGAACAGTCGGTACAAGAGAAAAAGAAAGAGAAAAGTACACGAGCGGCGTGTGATTCAAGGGCTGAAAGCGTTCGTAAACTAATCGGTGACGGCTTGCTTTGAGAATATTTTCGGTCAGAGAGGGCAATGTACATAGATGTTCGCGTACGGACACATTTCAAAAAGTTTTATATAGATGTAAGAGGCTGGATATTAGATGTTTACGAGCTTATTCTACGGGGGATTTCTTTTTACGGTAGTGTGTATGTTGTTAGTATTTTACTTCTATGTATAACAAGACTGGGGGAGAGGAGAATGAGAGATGAATAGATGCAGAAATTCCAAAAGTAGTGAAATATTGCTATTTACTAGTGCATGAGGAAACCTTTGCTGGATGCACAGAACGAACATGTATCATTGCCTGCCCATCCGGAAAGGAATTGTTGCATTGGGTCGGTGCACCTATTATACCGCACCAGGGCAATAGTGATCCCCTTAATGAGGTCCCAAGGATGGGTTCATATTAAGATCTGTCATTCCCAAATAGAAACAACGTAAAATGACAGGTGTCTTGCATTCGTGATAAGAATAGAACATGTCTCCAAATATCCCGAACCCTGATCAGACGTCTTTTGTCGGAAATAAACCAGGTGTGGTAAAACACCCCCAATTTTGAATGATCGATTCTATTCATGAGCAAGTTTAAATTATTCAGACATTGTTGGTTGATATGATCGTTCAAAACTAGTCTAATAGTCTAACTGATAGAGTAACAATAGTTGTTGCCAGCAAGCGGTATAGACACTCTAATTTTGAGCATTAAGGATGGGTACGAAGGAGGATGGGCCCGGCGAAGAAACGACGACAAATCGCCCGGACGAGGACTCGGCAGAGCGGCCAGCCTTGTCTGCAAAATCCAGAAAGCCTCGGCAAGTGCCCGTCACACTTTCGACACCCGATGATGGAGGTGGCTTCTTTTTTGGGCAGGGAGGGGAGGAAGTGACGGAATCTGCTTCGGCAAAGATTACTCGAAGACTTGCTGCCCAACGACGAGTTCCATCAGCTAAAATGGATCGTTCGCCTTCTAACGAGGGAAAAGTTGAAGTCAAATCTAACACCATCGTTGCTGTTCATGAAGCTTTGACAGAAGCGCTTCCGGATATGCCAGCGCAAGCACCAGAGATGGGTGGAGCTGAATCAACACCTCCAAGCATCTTTTCGTTTGGCGAACTAGATCTCGCCGAAGTCATTGACCGCATTCTCTCGAAACTCGAAGCCGAGAAATCTCACTTGATTGGGACTCCATCAACGACTGAGGACATCCGGTTCCGCACTCAATCCCACATCATCACTGAACTCGGGCGTCGAATTGACCGATCTCAACGATATTCTCAGGATCTACAGGACCAAATTAGCAATTTACAGAAAGAAAAGGCCGAGATATTGGAGCAATGTGAGAGATTGAAAGAGAGGATTCGCGAAGTGGAAGAAGCAGCTGAGGAGGTGGCAAGGAATGTTACCTGGTCTCGTGTTCAATCTGCCAGACAGAGTAGAGTCCAAGAGACTAGACAGAGTTCAGCTGGTAGACCCAGCACGGTCGAAATACAGTTTCCTCCAATAGTCGTCCAAAGAGAAGATTTGGAACGGGAGGCAAACTTGATACGAAAGCTTGGTGCGGACGAACGGGAGCACAGTGAAGAGGTTGTCGAGAACGACTTTTATGATCCCTTTGAAGATGGTGCGTACTGTATGCTACATTTCAGATGAATAAACAATATTCTCATTTTAATATTTGCAGGGGAACTGGCACAACGGCCGGTAGCTTCTCGAATTACAAAGGACATGCTCCTAGATGCCGCTGCTATGCTTGCAGGAAAAAAACCTTTCGATCCACCGACGACGCTCAGCGTTGGGCTAAAGTCGGTCAAAACGGACGAACGATCCATAAGGTATTGAGGGGAATGACCCAACAGCTTTGTTAAGTTCACTACTAACAAACCTGCTGCGTTTACAGCCCTAATCCTTATCGCCGTCTCCTCAAATCCCCCAACCAACTCACAGCCACGTCTTACTTTCCCCGGAATCTCACCCGTCTAGCCCACAGCGCTGCAGACCACACCCACCACATCTCTCAAGTCCTCTTTCAGCAAACGAAGCAACTCCTTTCCGTTACAACGCCTGATGAATTCATTGCTGTTCTTCAATCTCAATTGAATGAAATGACTAGCGCAATGCACCTTTGTCTAAACGTATTAGCAGAGGAGCATCGGGCCTGTGAAAAGTGGAAAGCAAGATGTGTTCGCCTAGTTGGAAGAACTGGTGAGAACGGCACTGGAGGGAGAGGAGGCGGGGCAGATGGAACAGGTCTAAAAGGGCTCAGAAAAAAACAGTATTTGGTCAATGCCTTAATGCCGATGGTAAAACCGAGGAAAAAGATGAGAAAGTTTGTAGTTCCAAGACGAGGGGACAAACATGCTGCCGTCGGGACTACACCTATGCCTGCCCAGCGGCTTCGGAAGCCGGTCGGGAGCAGTCGACCAAGGTATATCGAAGAATTTGAAGAACGGGAAGCCAGAGAATTCGCCGCATCAACTCGGGCAAAAACCGCTCCTGTCATGCGACGATCTAGCACAGATGCGGCGCCCATCGTCGTTCCTACTGGCACTATCCCATCAACAGCATCACCAGCTTTGATACCGCAAGCAACTTCAACACCGACGACAGCCGCGTATCCAACTCCTCCTCGTACAGCATACAAAACCCACGTCAAGAAGAATCACAACCATCCGGCTCTCCATGGCGAGTTCCACCACACCCACCGAGAAAGACCAAACCCGCCTTCTTCCGGACGACATGCACAAGTGGTCGTTCCCCCCATCTCGACCCCTGCGCCATTTCCAGTCTCGGAAAAGAAGCGACAGGATGGACAAAGTGGGTTAGACATGTGTATGGTACGAAAGAGTGGCAGAGATGATGATCAGCAAATGCTAGACAATTCCCTTCGAGATGCTACAAAACATTTGAGAAGGCTAAAAGTTGTATAAATAGATGGGGGCTTTTGTAGATAGCGATTTCCAATAGAAAGCGAAAAAATCCGTTCAATGTGTCAACAAGACACAGAGTTTAAGAGCGACTTTTGTCATATTCATATACACGATGCCCCACCGGAGACGGTCAATAAAAATCAGCTTATATAAACAATGGAATGATCTTCCACTTTTCTAAAATCCCAGCCCGGACAAACCCATTCAAAAATAACGGGCTCGTCCACAATAGCCAAGCCATGGCCCAAATTCTTCCAGCCCACCAACTGTTTCGGCCCACAAATCGATTGAAGCCCAACCTCGCAAGCAGCTTGGTAAATCCAACTTCCAGACACACTCCGACCCCTTGCAGAGTGAAGAAAGCCAGTTGTTCTCCATCCATCTTTCCGAAAAACATCCACATGATGTATTCATGCATCAACCCACTGTAAATAAAGGTGGCCATGCCCGCTACCAGATGCTTCCAAGGACTCACGGGAAAGTTTACCTTGTCCTTGACGTACTCTGGACACCCGAGGCCCCTTAAGACAGGCAAATAGACCAAATCCCGCAGCTCGCCTTTAGTGAGGACGTTCCATCTTCGGTTCCAAAAGTCTCTAAGACTGGTTGCCAGGAAAGGCATATTGTGCACGGGAGGCACACTGTCGACGCTTGAGCCTAGCAAGATGCAGAACAAGGTCGCCAACGGAATGTACAGGATGTTCATTGCCAGGTATATTCCAAAAGCATATAGGTAGCTTTGGATGAGGAGAGGCCGATTTGTGACCACTGTGTTATGGAGGAGAACGGTCGTAATGGTCCCGTCGTGAGGGCGAGCCGGATGGCTTCGAAAGTACAAATAGATATAGTTAATGGCAATATAACTTATCGTTACATTGGCAATCAATCTGGAGACCGGGGTGAGAAGGGGATGAGTGCGTTGCCTCTTGCCACGACGCGCCTGTTCCTTCAAGGTGCGTTTCTTCTCTGCAATATCGGCGTCGTCATCGCTCTTTTTCAAACTCTTTCCATCCGGTCGAAGAAACATCAGCTTTGTCAACCCTGACAAACTTTTCTCATATAACCCTTTATTCGACCATCGCAGCCCAACGTTGACAAACTTTGTTGTGGTGATCAGCGAGAACACCTTGCCAAACACATTTGCGACCAAAGAATCACCAGCTTTTACAATGACATTTGGCAGCAATAGCATAAACAGTGCGATGGACAGAACTAGGAACGGCCGAAGCCGGGGACACAAGTTCGAGAGCCGGAGGGTTTGGTGCCCGAGTGGAACAATGGATTGGAGCGCGAGAACATAGTGAAGAGTTGGAAGTTCAAAGGTAGCATGGGAATTCATGTTCGTCACTCTCCCAGCGCCCGCCTTTGCTAAAGGTTCAAGGATTGGTGCGGGAACGCGGGATGGAGATAATGGGGGTGTTCAATCTTAAAACTGCATCGTTCTCCCTCGGACCTTCAAGGGTAGCGTGATGTTTTGCTGAGTAACTCCCGCTCGCGATCGCGATGCTCGTCCGAACAATTGTCCGATTGAACCCAAAAGGAGTTTAAAGTTAGTTGCTCTTTTTTCCAGGGCAAGAAATCAACTGCTCAAGGATGGGATCGTCGTCATAGAGTTCTTTATAGATTGTAATGGTGAAAACTGAATTTAGTGTTTGCTGTTTATCTATCAATTCTCCATATGGCACTATGCCCTGGTCTGTTTCTGATGTCAAGGTCTAAAAGAGCATCAATGGAGATAATCAAGAGAGAGAACGATATTCCTAACTCATCAGTCCAGAGCTCTTTTGAGAGCATCTCTTCCCAGGTGGTTTTCGTGTCGATATCCTACTCAGTAAACCCAATAATCCGCTTGGCTATGTGCCTTTTTCGGCGTCGGCTATCACAAACTTAATTGATCAACAGCTATCACTGCCCAAACGCACTGCCATTTCAACGTTTAACGTTTGGGGCAGCCTTTACGGTCCATGTACTTGTATCCAACCTGTACAAAAAAGAAGAAAACACAGCGCAGAGTGACGACAAAAAAACACTCTTGAACGTGTCAAAAAGCGGAAGCTGACTCGAGTGCTTAGCAGCGCGTCGTGCTTTGAGTTTCGACGTTTTTTGACAGCTTTCAGGTCCGTGTTGTTTTGGCCCTGGACTTTTGGTTTATCATCTTGAAGAAGCCAACGGATTCCCTGGCAGCTAAAAGAAGCGAGAGAAAACGACTTATCCCTTGCTTTTATCCTTTGGCGTAATGTTCACTGCTATCATAGATTCTATCGTTCGGCACATCCGTTCCCGTAAGCGCAAGGCGGATGTTATCGATGGAGAACTCGGAACGTTGAAGGGATCTGCAGAGACTTCCGGTAAACATGAAATAGTTCAGTCCAAAGCAGAGCCCCCTGCAACGATCGGTCGAAAAGCGGGTAGAATGATTGCAAAACTTGCACCAAGATGGGATAGTGTTCGACGAGACGGACTGATTACTGAAGCGGATGGAATTGAAACACTACTGGATGAGAGCCACCTTTGCAGGTCAACCGACACTGTAATGGTACCAAAGAAAGTGAAGTAAGTTCCTTTCCATATGCCGCATCTCAGTTCACCCATCAACGGGTAGCCTAATGTGTTATCTGGCAGCCGCTTCCCAACCACACACCATCGGGCACTACTCCCGTCCCATCCCCTCCACCCCTACCTCCAAGCCCACCATACACTCCTGATCGCTCATCTCGGGACCACATCAAAGCCTTGGAAGACCTCTTTGAGCCACTGTGCGAAGAATCTTTCGGTGTAATCGGTCAGAAGCCACCAAAGAAGATCAGAAGGGTCAAATCTGGAGAGTTGATTGTCACTGACTCTGTTAAGGAGAAATACAGGAGAGTAAGGAAGAATAGAAGGGGCTGATAGTTGTCCTTGTGTGCATAGCTCTTTTGTATGTACCGTTGTACCGTACATGTAGAAGTATTTGTGGGGATTCGCAGGACTTGAGTTATATTAGGGAGTTTTGGCAGAATAGACTGTCTAGTGGTAATGCTCAAGAAGGACCCGAGAAAGCTATACGCAGGAATAGCCAATAATGGTGAAAAAGCCATGCTAGAGATAGGCTTCAGGGACACTTGCGGTCTAGTTGCTTCTGTATGCTCCAAATGCCTGTGTGTCCTTGGTTGGTGTACTTAGATATTCACATTCTTACAATGTCATGAACCTATTGGGACAGTGAATTCCGATCTTGCTAGTCAAACTAGCAATTTATTTTTGCTATCGGGAATTAATAGGGTCCTTGAAAGGGTTCAATCAGGCTTGCCGTTAACCTACCCTCATTTCCACAATGCCGTAACCTTATTTACCGGCGTGGATCAACCCTGAGTCTTAATTCAGTGCGATTTGCTCGCCTTCAGCACTCTGAAGTAAACTAGATGCCTTCAGCGACGGGATACGCAAACATAATGGAATGGCCTGCTGAAGATCAGCTATTACGGTCAGTTGCAATCATCTTTATAGAGTCATTCAGCCAGTGGCTTTATATTTTGCGTATCGTAGGCAATGGCCGTTTGGAACACGGCCCACCACATTCAGATCCCAAAAGATCAACGACGAAATCAAGGTTTTCTCCGATCGATGGCGAAGGGAAGTCACCACCGGAGCAATGCCAAAGCTATGGACCCGTGAGAACAGCGCTACATTGTCGGCAGGAGGGCATGGGCGAGCAGCTATCCCTGTGACGCAGTCCAGCATCCCTAGGCATTCAGCAAAGGAAGAGAGAACACATCGGAATCATCTGGATGTTGAGTTCAACCATCAGACGAGATTGTTTGGTGTCCGCTCTTCACTAGCAAAAGACCCATCAAGGCTTCAAGGGTCCACGATGGAAAGACATATCCGCCCCGATTCTTCCCAATCAGAAGACCGTCTGATGCGATGCTCATTCTATAATCGATCTCCAGAAGCGATCCCGTACTCTCATGGACCCAGTAAATGGGAAAGTGGACGTAGAACAACAACAGCAGCCTCAACACTGAAAAAGCCATCCGTACCTTATATCGAACACAAAGTCCCTGCAGTAGGTTTATGTGTTTCCACTGACCCCGTAGAAATACCGACGCCAGTGTCAACCCTTCCGCAACTCAAAAGTGCCGCGGCACGTAAGCCTGCCAAAACCCCTAGTAGTACTCGCGAGCAAGATGACCTCGATCTCAAACTTGAGCTATGTGATCTAGTGCAGAACGAACGAAACGAAGCGGACAATTATTACGGGCTGATACAAGAGCTGAATCAGAGAGAGGAGAGAGCAAAGATATCATTGCTAAAAAGGGATGCTCGAACTTTTCGCAAACTTCAGAAAAAGGTCGCTGGTCTTGTAAAAGAGCATTGCTCGCCAAAAGTAGCATCCGTACGGCGGCGAAGTCAAATGGAAGAGTTTCTTGCAGGAAAACATCGAGACAGCGTCTTTTTGGAGGTGAGCATAATCAAGTTTCGTGATGATCATTCCCACCATAACATGTCTTTGATAGAATCAATACTTGCAAGTTGGCGCACCTTGAAAGATGAATGTAGATATGTGTTGCATTTAATGCAGCTGCCTCACTGGCTTTTATTTGCATACAGAGAATAACAAATGGCCTAACAAAGGCATTATAGAATCACTAGTGAAATTCATGCAATTCATAGTTGCCGTTTACGCTCTTTTGTTTGTCGCCTGCCCTGCGATACAAAGATCGTAGGAAGGGATTTGACAGACAGCAGTCCATCAACGACTACTTCCAACCTGGGTTATAACCTACAGACAATCCTATTTTTTGCTACCTCCTTGGGCCATCAAAGCAGCATGCACCTCATCATCCAGGACCCCCATACCATTCACAACGGCACTGCATACACAAATTATCAAAAGTCTACTTGCACAAGGAAGAAATAAGCAAACGTCCCAATTCGACTCGTTGTTGGCATGGCAACTCATGCCAATAGCTGCCACATCATCGCGTTTCGATGAATTGACCTCATCAAAAACACTCTCCAAAAATGCCCCTAGGTCTTAACCGTAAGTAGACTGTTTTTGTTTTGGTCCTGGCCCTGTTCGCTAAAGCAACTATTGTCACATTACAGCTGCCGAATTTCTCCATATTGCGGGCGCTGTTTCCGGTTTTTCTGGTGTAGCTCTGGGTGCCTTTGGAGCGCATGGTCTCCAAAAGAAACTAGCCCACCTTCCCGATGCTGCCTACCGGGTCTCTAATTGGAAAACGGCAGCATCGTATCAATTGGTACATACTCTAGCGGTACTATATGTTAGTCAGCGATTGGGTAAGTCTTTACAAAAGCTCTGGAATGAAATAGGTACCCATCAGTAATGACTTTGTTTTGACATAGGGGCACGTCCGCATCGATCGGCGTTATCCGGATACCTTTTCCTGATTGGAAATGTTCTCTTTAGCGGGAGCATTTACCTTCTTTCGCTGGATACGCAGAGGAAATATAGTCGAATGTTGGGTCCTGTTACACCTATTGGAGGAATGTGTTACTTGGCTGGATGGGTTGCGCTCATCTGGGCATGAATCAAGACGGGACGGGGACGTATGAATGGTGGCTGACGATGAGAAAGGTTGGTTTATATATCCTGTGACATGTCAAAAATCGCAATAACATCCTTTCAGTGCACCAATATCATTATTTTTCACAACACCTATGATACAAGGTCAAATGCTATCTACCTAACGCTAATTAAAAACAGTTTTCAATTTGGATCTGACTCATATAAAAACGGAAACAGCTGAATATCTATAACTTGGCCCCTTGCTTGGACGCCTGACGGAGAGCCATCTAAAAGTCGAATTGCGGGAATAAGTCACCCTACTTTACCCAATAAACCATATGCGGACTTACTTTGATGCCTTGATCAAGCATGATCTCTTCTGAACCACCTGGAATGGTGTACTACAAGACGAGAGAGGAAAGGTTAATATGACAACTTGATAAAGAGCGGTTTGCGCTAGTTGCATAAAACACAAAAACAGCAACGTACGGCCTTAACGTCTCGCGCTAAGCGCTCAATCTTCTCTCCCTGCCCGCCTCGAGTATACCCTAACCCTCCAAATATCTGAATAGCTTCTCGTACACAGAACTCAAACGTGACAGTGCACTGAGCTTTCAGCAAGGCAATGCTACCTATGGTGGCAGGGGGGATGTATCGTCAGGAACAGAGATTTTGAAGGAACATATCAACGGTGACTTACCACCCAAAAATTTATCCTGCTCTTCCTTTGGCAGGATCTTGGTCTGATACGTCACATCCTCAACCCATCGTTGAGTAGATTCGATCTGTCTCGCCATGTGGGCTAATTTTGCGCGGATAACGGGGTGGTCCACCAGTCGCTTTCCAAATGTCCTCCGCTTGGATCCGTATTTGATAGACTCTTCTAGGCAGACGCGGGCAAATCGTACGGCGTTCTGGCATATTCCTAGTCGCTCATGGCTAAAAAACACACGATGTCGTACATTTGGTTATAATGGAAGGCGAGACATGATACCGAATCAATGTCTTACTTGAAGTTGTACATGGTATATTTAAAGCCTTCGTGTTCTTTACCAATGAGATTTGCTACCGGTACCTTGACGTCCTCTATCATCGTCAAAAAAAGCCAGTCAGTACTGTCGAGAAAAAACCGCAAATGACGAAAGCACTTTGGCGCTTACCAAAGGTGATGTACGTCGTGCCAGATGGCTTAGAAGGAAATCAATATAAGCAAACAACAGCGACCCCATATGTCGAAACATCATGACATACCCAAACCCCAGTACACTTCATCCTCTTTGTCGTGACGCCTTCTGTCCGCTCCACTACAATCATAGATACACCACCATGACCCTTGCCCCCCGTTCGACATGCCACAGTAAAATAATCGGCAAAAACACCTAGGAGCGACTTGAAATTGAGCACCAACTTGATATAGATTTGATAATTGCGGCGAGAATAAATGCTTACCGTTCGTAATCCACTTCTTTTCACCATTGACGATGTAATGTGTGCCATCGGGTGATTTAACGGCTTCGGTTACTAATCCCGAGACATCCGATCCAGCACTCGCTGTACAAGATTTTTAATGAGCCACCCTCACTATCCAGCTGAACAGGGACCATGATCTTACGTTCGGTGATGCCCAGACAGATTCGCTTTTCTCCTCCCAAAACCTTGGGGACGACTCGACGTTTAAGTTCTTCGGAGCCAAAATGGAGGATGGGTGGTAACCCAATGCGGACGCCTAGCATCAGATAATGATCATCAATCGGGAGGTCACTTGGTCGACAACAGTCAAGACCTACTCACCACTAACAACAGCCCAAAGAACGCCAATACTTCCCACACGAGCCAGCTCATCAGTGACAACAAGTTCGTGGAATGGATCCCATTCTTCTGGCGAAATGTTGGCAGGTGGGGGATAGGGACAGTATTCTGTTGGCCAGGGACATCCGATGATAGCTCCAAGGATGCCGACTTCCGCGAACCGTTTAAAGAGACTTGCAGGCACATTTTGAGCTTCGTCCCACTATGATGTCAATTGAGAACAGACCGTCTCGGACCAGTTACAGGCGTACATCTATACCTCATGACAAAAGGGCATGACTTCATGATCCACAAACTCACGCATAACGGCACGAAGACGACGGTGGCTTTCATTGTCTATGAACAAAATGATGTGCGGTAAGCTTTCAGTCCCTTATCATATACCTGGCTTAATGGTACTCACAATAGGGAGACGCCTAAGTCAATGAAACGAAAATAAGATGGAGGGTGTCAGGGTCATTTTGGCATTCAGTAGTTGCGCGAAAAGCGATATTTACCCAATTCTGATACCATGCTGGATCTCCAAAGGGCACCTGTTCACCAAATTGGCCTCTGTACACCGCGGGATCTGATGACTTTGTCTCCTTAGCATGAAGATGACTTGTTGCTGATGAAACGGCTGTCTCGGTGGGCTGGGCGCTTGCAATATCACCAACATAGAGTTTGGATCCCCACATTTGCATGACAGAACCTTTGTTATGAAACTAACAAAAGACCTTGCATGAGTCTATATCGATAACCCATTGAATGGGCACACTATACCTGGGCAAATTGTTCAGAGGCATCCTGTCCAGCGACCTTTAGCAAGATCTTCTTTCCACTATCGATACGAAACCTCGGTATTAGCCACTTGTTTACGGCTCACCATATGTAGACCCTAGTTTGATCATGTGCCCTTTGCACGTACCCAGGATGATGCTTTTGAAAGTCGGTAATGTCATAGACTGAAATATAAACATCGCAGTCGTTAGATGCCGCATCAAAAGCCATCAGCTTCAACATCCATCCTACCCTTTCCATCGATGATGATGTAGCAATCATCTGGTCCATAGCAAAACCTCATCAGCCCATTGAAATGAATTGGCAACTGACACTAAAAGGCATCCCACCTGGCTTGTTATGTTGCGCGACTTGCTCAACTGTAAAGGATTTCGCCATTGTGATATGTTGCTATAAGGTTTCCGACGTTGATAGCGGATAATGGACGACACAAAGGACAGCGATGCAAGACGGGCAGGCGGTCAAAGCCCAAAAGGCCCTTTTTGTGGTGAAGCGGAGCGACAGCTTACGTGACCGTCTCGGCTTTTCAGAACAACAACGTGATACAATACCAGCACTATGCCTACGTAATTCACGATCGCTGATTTGCTAATCAAATCCAAGCCACTCGGACGTTGCATTTGAGGATGGATGTTGGGCGTAGATTGCAAGCAAAGGCCGCTAGGACAAGAACGTAGCAGCAATGCACAAGAGATTCCTTCTCGACGTTTGACTATAGACCAGTTTTGAACCAACTAGACCACCACCCATGTGCATATACCGTCGTTTGTCCCCATATTTCTCGATCACTGAACTTGCAGCAAATGTATCCAACCGCACGCCATCTTGTGCGCAGAAGTTAGTTGGGCGGTTTATCAATGTAACAATCACCATTCAGTTATTTCTGTTGCATTTGGGTAGAGATCTTGCTTCAGCAATTAAGTATATAGGGAACGTTTAAAGATTTATCAGATGTTCATTCACGGCACATCGAAAATCCACGGATTCATGATTTGATATTATTCCAAAGTCCAAGGACAAGGACAAGGAGGTTCTGCAGAAAAGGCGCACCTGGAAACCACCTATACTTTGGCCCTGATGGTCGGTACCTTTTACGTTTACAAAATGACAAGAACCTCACGACAAGCACAGGTAAATCTTTCAATGTGCAAAAACAAAATGCAAGGAACTCCTCATATTAAGCAGAAAATGGCGGTATATACATATGACATAACTGACAAGGAAAAAACACAAGATACAATATACGTCCTTTACTTTTGCTCCCCTATTCGGCGGCCTGAGCCACCGTAGCTTGCTCTGGGTCGGGGTAGGGAAGAGTCCTGACGTCGTCCATAATATACCGGTCGGACGTGTTGTAGAATGTCGAGCGACGGTGAGAAAAGGCCAAGAAAGAGTCCTTGCCCTGGTAAGCACCCATTCCACTCTCACCAACTCCGCCGAACGGAAGGTTGGTAGGGATGATGTGCACGACGACATCGTTCACACATGTTCCACCAGAACGGGTGCTTTCGAGGACGAGGTTGGATTCCTTCTCGTCATCGGTGAAGATGTAAAGGGCCAAGGGGGTGTCCTTGCTGTTGATGAGATCGATAGTCTCATCAAGGTTTTCAAAAGTGACGACGGGGAGAATGGGAGCAAAGAGCTCGTCTTCCATCAACGAGTCTTCGGCGGATGGGAGGTCTACAATGGTAGGAGCGAGGTAGAGGGATTCTTCATCGCGGTCGTTACCGTGAAGGACTTTTCCCTTTGAACGATCGAGCAGAGAAGTGACGCGTTTCCAGTGGTGGTGGTTGACGACTCGGCTGTAGGACGAGCTCTCCTTGGGGTTTTCACCCCAGTTCTCGACAACCTTCTTTTTGATCTCAGCAATAAGTTCGTCCTTGATCGACTTTTCGACCAATAAGTAGTCGGGGGCGATGCAAGTCTGGCCATTGTTCAAAAACTTGCCGTGGGTGATTCGGAGGGCAGCGGTCTTGATGTCGGCATTTTTAGTGACAATGACAGGGGACTTTCCGCCAAGCTCAAGAATGACGGGTGTAAGGTGCTTGGCGGCAGCCGTCATGATGATTCTGCCAACGTGGCCGTTACCAGTGTACAAAATCTTGTCCCACTTGAGCTCCAGAAGCTTGGTGGATTCGGGAATGCCGCCGTTCACAATCTTGTACGCATCGTTGTCGAGGTACTTTGGGATAAGATCAGCGAGGACGCGCGAGGTGTTGGCAGAGACTTCAGAGGGCTTCACGACTGCCGTGCAACCGGCAGCGATCGCGCCGATCAAAGGAGATAAAGTGAGACGGAGAGGGTAGTTCCATGGAGCAATGATCAAGACATTGCCTAGAGGCTCATGGCGAATGGCCATTCTCTTTCCAGTGAAGAATGGTGCAGGAGCCTCAGGTTCTTCACCCTTGACCCACTCATCGAGGAGCTCAACGGCCTCCATGGCGTGTTGCTGAAGAGCCATGATCTCGAACATTGTGGTTTCTTGCGGGTGCTTGCTGAGGTCGGCATTCACCGCCTGGCACAAGGCTGGTATGTTCTCGCTAAGGAGCTCATTGAGTTTACGAAGTTGAGTCTTGCGGTACTCGACAGGGCGTGTCTTCTTGCTCATAAACGTCTTGCGGGTAGTAGCGTGAGCATCTTCAATGGCCTCGATGGGTGTGTACTTGAGAGTGTTTGAGACAGTCATTGTGTAAGTATGAATTGGTTTGTTTGTGTGCTTTGTAACTAGAATTGTGCGAGGCGACGGGATGCCTTATTTATATCCTTTGATCCCAATGTCAAGATGACAAACCACAATCCGACAGCAGAAAGCGGGGCTTGGGGGCGCATCGGCCAGACACAAACCCGCATTTCCGCCGCATTTTACCCCAGACGGCCGGGTTTGAACGCCAGAGTAGCGCAGGCGTCAGCAAGTGGAATCGCATGTAAAAAAAAGGTTTGGAACGTGAGTTGTAATACGGCAGTTTTCTGTTTCATCCCCTCCGTCAACTGGCAGTTCTTGGCTGATTTCACACTATTTTTTTGCATTGCGGCCCAACGCCTTCTTTTTTTTTTGCTTGTTTGGAGCGTGCCGGTGGGGGACGCGCGGTGCAAGTGTTCCAAATGTCATGACACTCTCTCCGCCGACCTTTTTGTTACCGTGTTGAACACTTGCTGCGACGCTGGTGCATAAAGGTCGTTTTTACGCAACTGTTCAATTGGGCCATTCTTTGGTATTGCAGAGCTCCGTTTTGCCGAAATCATATGGTCTTCCCCCTCCGCTAGTGTATTGTTCTGTTGTGTGCGTGATCAAGTTGCAAATCAACAAAACAACTGAGCCTTAATAGAAAAATTAAATTGTTTCTGGAATACGGGAATATACTATACCAATTAACAGGCGCCCGTGTTTGTACACAGCACGCTTGTCCGAGCGGTCTAAGGAGCTGGTCTCAAGTTCCAGTCTCGAAAGAGGCGTGAGTTCGAATCTCACAGCGTGCATGGCTTTAGATACAATATCCTTTTTTTTCACAACCTCACCAGTGATGCGCTTAGAACATTTTGGATGATCTTGAAAACCATGCTGGAGAGTTTAGGAGGAAAGGCTACGGCATTTAAGCGACGAGTTCGTAGCACTCGTCTTCCCAGTCTGTGCGAGTTCAGGGCACTAGTACAGTGAATTACATTGTTCAAGGGCGAAATTTGGTTCGTATGCGCAAACCAAATCAACAATGAGAATCAATGGTGTAGGGAACAACACATGCGCAGGTCCGACATCTGATACATATTTTACTAGAAGTAAAGCTTTTGGTCATGACAAGGACCAGAACAATGTTTTGGCTCTCCCTTAGGCTGCAACCCTTTTAACAACCACCAACCCCAGAATCGCCGCAACGACGCCAGAGCCAATGCTTGCAACCTCCTCCATCTTGGCAGCCACGTCCATGAACCAAGGTCTAACCCACTCTGCACCATTTTGTAAAACATTAGCGCCCATCCATTCTTCCTTTCCAATGAATTTAAAAGATCGGTACAACGCCCTTGCAAGCATGCCAAATGTCCTGTCAGCCTTTTCATGGTGCGAGATGTGAGAAGAGTAGGGCGATACGAGCACATCATCGACAAAGAGGAGGGCAGATGGCGTGTTGGGAATGAGGGTGTATGCGCCGGTCGAGGGAGGAAGGGTGTGGGTGTTGGTCGCAGTAACAGTGACACGGGACTAGCACCAGGATGATTGTCAATCATTGGGTACCTAGAAAAAGAAAACTAGTAGTTTGATGAACTTACATATTGTTGGTGGTAAATTTGTTGACCAATCTTGATGTGCATGGCTTGAACAAGGACGGGGGTATCGTTCTCTTCAACATCCGCCGCGATAAGGTGGGTTGCGGTTAGGGTGATCTTTCCAGTCTGCATATAAAAAGTAAGATTCTGAAAGTGGACCGCAGTGTGTCCGTACCAACGTTTACCTTTCCATCGTCCGTAACGTATTCGACGTCGGTAAAGGCAGGTTGGCCAGACAAGTTGACCAAAAAGGCAACCTCACTCCACTCTGTGGTCCTCTCTTCACCCACAGCAACCATCACCTTCATACCTGGTTTAACATCCCTGAACGGTACCTTGACGGCTTTTCCTTCCTTTTGGACACGAACTGTCGCATCGCCAGGGAAACATCCCTCACATGTATTTGCAACCTCGTCACAACGGGTCGACAAGGTTGGGTTGTCGCAAAGGGTGTCGCAGGCCACACCAGGGGGAACGTGGACGCGGTTAGCGTCTTCGCTAGCAGAACGCTGAACGTAGGCCAGTCGCCAAGCAGGTTGGTTTGCTGCGGCTTTGTACCCGGAGCGACAAGCACATTGGTAGAGATTGGTGGTGCCTACAAACGGGTTCTGAGCGACATATTTCGTGCAGGATGCTGTTTCATGGCACTTGGGGGAGAATGTTAATCCACAGTCGTCGAGACAATGTTGAATGTCATTTGCGCTTTAAAATTACCTGAGCACCGCCTGGGGTGGTTGAACACTGCTGACACATCACTAGAAAGTTGGATTTTAGTTGCAATGATACTAGAGGGTACTTAATTCCCCATTCATCAATGAACAAAAACCTACTGGGCTGAGAAATGGTTTTGGTACACCAAACGGGGTGCTTATCCTCGCACGGCCGAACATTGATGGCCATTTTCCCTTTCGGGCTCAAAGTAACAGCCATACAAGCTCCATTGTAACTATCACCATTCCACGAGCCAATCCAAACAATCTTGTCCTTGGCCAATGCTGCATTGGCATCAGGACAGGAATTCTGAAAGTAGGTGGTAATGGCATTCCAGTCATAGGAAGTTTTGTCGCCAAAAGTTAATTTGCCGAGTTCGTAGGGCCCACCAGGAGCATTCGCACATGCAGTGATGGCTTCAGCATGGCTCTTTGGGGCATCGTAAATAAAAGCATGCTTGTTTTCGACTAGTGTACTCGCGTAGAATTGGTCAAAAAGGCAGACTCCATTCTCTTGTTGGCGCCTGTCGATGGCTGCACGACGAACACGGGCGGATTGGTCTTGACCGCCAGTGTACTGGTAGACGAGAACACCTGGAATGTTGAATGCGTAAGGCAAAACTCTTGCAGCAGATGGGATTGCTCTGATATGCAAAGCCGATAAAGGTACTACTTACCAATGCCGACACACACGGCCAAGACCGTCAAACGGAAAATGTTCAAAGCCATGATGCAAAGAAATATTCTTTTTTTAAAGGTTGAGATACCTAGCAAAACTCTTCCGTGATAACTATACAGAATCTGAAAATTCCTCAGTCTGCAGTAGCGTTGTCCAAAGAAAGACAACAAGAACCAATGCCTTTGCTTTTATACATGCCCCACTTCCCCCCCCCCCCCCCCCCCCCCTTTTCCCCCTTGGGAAAGGCCCCAGGATTTTACTATCCCCCCTTTCTATACGTCACCCGCAAAAGGGGGGGGGCCAACGATTTTTCCAAATTGTTTGGCCCAAAAAAATGGGAAAAAAAAAGGGGGGGGGGGACGCGGTTTTCCCCTGGGTTTTTGCCCCGGGGGGGGTCTTTCCCGCTTGGCGGCTGGGAAAAGATCGGTAACGAACCCTACCCCTAAACGAATGCCTTGGGGGGGAAAAAAAACGGGA